CGCGAGACGGGTGGAAAAGGGCTTCCCTAATGGAGCATACGGACGGAGGTTTATGATAAAGTGCAGCTCAATGGCTAGAGCCAATTCCAGCAGCCATAGCTTGTTACGGTATTCAATGTGGAAGCCAAAATCGCGGATTGTGTGAGAAAAGCAACGACTACCGCAACCGCCGTAGCTGGAACGCGGCAAATCCCAACACGATGGGAAAGACGGATGGCTCGAGTGTGTCTTGGTGTTGAGATAAGAGAAGGAGAGGCGAACCGGACGCAGCATCAGTGGTGCAATGCCAGTCATTCGACGACGCCGCGCGGTGGTTGATAGACCGTCCCATCCGTTGACGGCTGAAAGTCCATACCTACAGGCGACTGGACTTCGACTTCGAAGTATGTTGGGAGGTGCGCAAGGATATTCTTGTGTGCGCGGTATTTGTGTCCGGCATGTGTGTCCCTTGGCATTATAACGACCATCAAGCTCAGACTGAACTGAATGGTGGGGCGTTTTGCGGAACGCTCGTTATAGGTCTCCATTGTTCCGGCCATTCAATAGGTTCATTTTCCAGTTACCTATGCATTGATCAATGTAGGTCATTCGATTGCCATCGGCGGACCAAGAGGTACCAGCATGATGTTTGTAAGTTTAGACAGATAGCTCTGTCCAATTCACTCCTCCAAACCCTATCATTTCACCCATCTGTGACTCCATAAGAATAAGAAGATGGGCTCTTGTATAGCTCTTATGCGCGTGTTGAATGAGCTGGCGAAGGCCAAGACCAATGACTCTTCCTCTCAGAAAGCTGAAAGAGCCTCACTGCTAAATAAACTCCAAAGTCTGATACCTTTGCACCCAGTGGTGGTCAGAGGTGTCTGAGCCGGTAGCGTCATGTGCTATTCCAGCCAAGCCAGACTCTGCAGCTGGATGTTGGTAGTGTATGGGAAAATACTGTGGAGGACCTCCTGAACAGCGGGTGGAAGGGAAAGATATTGGATCTGTTCGACGCTCGTAGGGATCTCCTCTGTATTATTCGCGGGGGCACCAGAACCAGGACGAGGAAGAATCGGGCCAAACTTGGACTGCGTACGGCCTTTCTGAATTGCTGCAGCTGCCTGGGTAGTTGTTGTGCGAGCCACGAGCCTGTACGCCATACTGTCCTTTGCAGGAAGCGCCCAGGGCCAATATTCCCTAGGCCAACTGCATGAGATTCAAGCTTCCTTTCCGGGTCGTGTGCATCAAACCGGGCAGGTGATCTTATCCGGACGGGTCCATTCAGGCGGAATCGTATTGTCTTTGTTGTAGTCGTCTAGGAACGAACTGCTGTACGTTTCCAAATGACTTGGCAAGACGCAATCCGTGGTGTTCCGATGATTCAATGAACCAGAAGATCTTGTCTGCTGCCGGTGGGGAGGGTGACAATGCCCTGTTTGGTCAGAAGGGTCTATCAACGTTTACCGCGAGGAGGAAATGGCTCAATCAGAATAATTTACCTCCTCACATATCTAGACTTATGGGCTTTCACTCTCCAAGAACCACGGGCGTTATCCTAGCTTTGCGTTTTCCTTCGCCACAGCTGCCTAGACGAGCTGGGCTTGGATGGAAAAGTCGTCGAGTCTTCCATGGAGTTATCTTGAAGGGAGAGAATGGGTAGATCAATTGGATGGGGGTAAGGATGAGCGTTTGAGTGGATTTCTTCTCTTTTCCAATTTGAGTGAGTTTCTTATTTCAAAGCAGATTGAGGGAGTCTGAAAAAGTCTCGCGTGTTGTGCTGATACGCTGCATTTGACCAACGCACCAACCGAGTCACCAACAGACGCCGCATAGATGTTTGGCGACAAAGCCGAGAATCTTGAGTTGGTTCTTTGGGGGTTGGAGGTTTCGGGACGATCAGGTCTAGCAATTCAAGTCAACGAGGGTCTGTATTCTTGTTGAAACTACGAGCATACCACCTAGGTAGCTGGACTCCGTGAAGGGGAGATTACGGGGAGATGAGAACCAGGTTCTGGCCTGACCTATAGACGATGATTCTCTTTAGATGGAAGCATTCGCAGAGCCGAGATGGGGTTTGTGTGGACAAATGTGAGTAGCCATCCTAGCCGTTGCATTTATCGCCACAGAAGGGGCAGGGAACGGCAGCCGTTGAGGCCGGGCTGGGCCTGGTGGGTGTTTCTCCCTATGTCATCGTTAGAGCTGTACCAAAACTCTGGGATGTGGGCTTAACTGATGTTGAACTCTTGGAATCATTGATAATGGCAGGTAGCGGACCAATCGGGAACACAGCAGTGTCCAAGATTTGTCCCGTGCATGGACACGCCCTCGACGCGAGGGTCCATTCCTCGGCTGCATCACCAGGGGAAGCAAAAATGGGGTCCAGCTTAAGACTTTCTGGTGTCTGTCTTGCATAATGCTGCTCGCCGTCGGCCTGATTGATGGATGGCTGCAGAGACTGGACGCCCTCAAAGGAGATGAGCAGCGGCGTCGCGCTTAAGAGAGCGTTAAAAGTGCCCAGAAACCATTGGAGAGTTGCGTGTTGGAACGTCGGGCCTATGACCGGAGGAGTATCAGCTGGAACCGGATTGTCCGGGAGCCAGCCCAGCGAAGGAATGCAACATCTACCTGTTGCTGGTGATAGAGTGGTGTTCGAGCTGGGGAGACAAAGTCCCAAACATGGCGTTGAATCGTATCTTCGCGTGCCACGCAATCTCGCAACGGATCTTGGCAAAGTATCAGCTATGCCTTACAGTAGGCATATCAGGGATACACTGACTGGTGCCTCTTTGGGTTTCTGCTCTGCAGCTTTTTGGCACAGTTGCCGTTATGGTCGGGTAGTAATTTCCGCGTACATGTTCGGGTTCTGGATCTGGGAGAAGTCGCCCGTGGGCCAGATCTAGGGCTTGCGTATCGCATGGAGAAAGTTACCAAAAGTCAGTCGACATATTCAACTCTTGAGTAGCCGTGGGGAGCTTCTGGGCGAGGCCCCAATGTGCCCGAATGCCGGATTGACCACTTGAGGTCTCCGTGGTACCACGAGGGTGAGTGGTCTATCTTCGACTAAAGCGTCATCAGGCATCTGTCTCGTCGTCATTCAGTGATGGGCCAGCGGTCCAAATTCCGTCAAGCTCGAGCGGGGTCTCTGGACGCAGCACCTTATCTCAATTTTCCGGCCCTCAAGCAGCCTACATCGTATAGTACGGTCGGAAGACATCACAGCCATCATGAGGCCGCCGCGCAATATCCCGAACACGAAACTGAACGACGGCTCTCATGTGCACTCCGCAAAAGGATTGGATTCGGCTCGTATACTTTCGTCCGCAATACGCAGTTTCCGTTCCTGCTGCCAGAAAGCACCTGCAGTGCCACACGTGGGAGTTTCCTCATGTACCCGTGGACCCCGATTGCTGAAGCCTAAGTTTCCAAATGAGAATCGATGAAAAAGTCGGGTTGGTTAGCGAGGATAGGTACTGGTGAGGTATAGGTTCCATGGGACACCAACCAACGAGAGGGCCTCTCCCAGTCATATCACATACGCAAGGACCCAACGCATAGTCATCCTCAGAGAACTGGTCGTGGGTGTAAACCATTCTGATGATGGTCTTGTGGTGTCCGCCACCGACCGTCATGCCGGTTTGGCTTGGTCGCCGAGAACCTGTCCGTTTCGTTCTGCTTGAGGTATGCGAGTTGGGCCCTTTCAACTTGACCGCCTGGTATTGAATGGTAGGCATTATTTGTCAAGGAGAGCCATCCCATCCTTGAGATTAGCTGGGGCCCTATTGTTTTTCTGCTCGACCGGGAATCTGGAAGATGACATGGCACCTTAAGTTCCTTCGCCGCGTCACGGCTCCGGTGTAGGTGTCAATCCCGGGCCCAGGGCCCAGGACTTTAGTCGTTCGTGTCAGTTTCTGACCTGTCTACCACGGGTCGGATACACCTAGTGTGTTACGCCAGGCTAGAGGAACGGACGGAGATCGAAAGTGCCTGGACCACTTTCTCGTCTGCTGCCGCTGTGTCCGATTGTTCCTTCAACAGATCTGTCAGCACGGACCCGATGCTGCCTGGCAAAATAGAGCGGTTTGTGCATGGTTTTCAAGCGCCTGATTGTCGTGCTGTCGGCCGCGAGAGGCCCAGAATAGCAAGTGATTATTGGTTCAGTGGACCGGGCGCTTAAGAAACAAGCAAATCGCTTCAGGCTTGTGGCTTGTGGTTTATGTCGTCGTACTGGGGTACGGTACGCTTGGTCGGGATTATAGCGTTCGTAGGTATGAGAAGTTGGCGTGATAGATGGATCGTTACGTAGTTGATTAGGGAATGGATATAAATCGTTGAAGCTGTTCCAGACACTTAGTTATTGTCCCATGTTCTGTCCAATTTACTGCAAACGCAGAAGAGTCTTAAGGCAAGGGGAGGGGGCGTATAGTGTAGGGGAGAAGATGCAGAATGTGTGAAAAGTTCTCTAAAACGGGGATGATGGGGAGTTAAGTACCTTACTCTGAGAGACGGAGAGGTCACTCTGGAAGATTGCTTGAAGTAAAACGTAAAGATTATGGTGAAAGAAAGAGAAATCTCTGGGATTGAAGTGGGTGATGGGTATTGAGGTGGTGAAGAGGTGCAAACGGGTCCAGGACTTAGCCCTAAGTCACTTGACGTCGGTACTATAGACCCATAGTGGTGAATCTACCCAGCCGTCAGGGCCATAAGCTCAATGACACCTCATTCGGATCCTGTCTACAGATAATTCTAGCTTGTTTATTCAGCTCCTCTCCTCGGTAATCAGACTGTCGAAGCCGGCCTACTGTACACAGTCCGCTGTCACTCCCACGCGACCCTCAACGAGCGTGCCCGTCGACGTTTGCAACACCCCTCACAATGCCCAGATACCCAAACCTACCCACTCAGCGTCAAATCCCAGATAGGTAAGTGTCCCGCGGTGATTGCCGCTCATTGGCCATGAAACCCCAGAGCCGCTTCACGGAGGCATCTACCATGCCCCAATATTGAATATACGCAGGCCCATGAAGATTCACCTCACCATTCACCATGCTCTCATTGGAGTACTTGCCAACCAGCTTCACTCCAGAGTGTGCCGTACACTGTGGAAGACACATCGACGCCTCTGGCTGCAAACGGAGTGTTTTCACAGTCTACCCTGGGATCAAGCTTATAGCCCTAACCCGGCCTTCAACTCTCCCAGTCTATCCGAAAGCAAGGGGCAACATAGACGTACCTGCCAATTCTTCGGATCATTCCCCAGCCGACCAACAAGTAGGTCGCTCCCTCCTGTGACTGGAATCAGTCTTGCATTCTACACGGCGGACAAGGTCTGCCGAAGAAGTCTGGTTATCTACGGCCGCGCTCTGATGGCAGCGATCTGCCTGATCGTCGGTGGGCTCGGCTTCATGAAGCAAACAAGTGCATCTGGCATGGCACTTGTCGCGCTATGCTCTTTCTGGGCGTTTGTGTATGCAAACACGCTCGCTCCTATCGGTAAGCTGCATGAGCCTCGGACTGTCATTCGTTGATTTACTGATTAAAATTCAAGTACAGGCTGGATTAGTCTGGTCGAAATATCTAGCCCCAGTCTTCGGGCTAAGACAACCTCGTTTGCGGTGACTATCCAGTATCTCACTGGGATTCTATTTGTGAGTTGAGGTCTCTCTCCTCGCGAGAATTATAACTCCCAACTCCGAATTTTAGAACTACTGCGTGCCACTTATGCTCTCGAACCAGTATGCCGGCTGGGGACAGAAAATTGGATTATTTTTCGGCGGTATCACGCTTTTGTATCTCATCCCTTTCATTCTGCTCTTCCCTGAAACCAAGGGTCGCACCTACCGCGAGCTGGATGAGTTGCTTGAGCGCAAGATTCCCGCATGGCGGTTCGCATCAACAAAGACCTCGCCTCAGGCGGAGATGGAAAACGCGGAGGGGAGACGTGATTAGCGGCGAGGACTTGCAGGCAGTGTTTGGGTCGCTGCGGCTCTAGGCGCTGTTGGTGATGCCAGAAATGCGCGTGACAAATCAGGCAGGAAGATTTCAATAGGCGGCTAAGCATGTCTGTCCTTCCTCCTGACTTTCAAGAGTTTATTGAGTTTCGATGTGTGTCCAACTTCAAGAAGTTACATCAAAGGCAGTGATTCCTTGATATTGTTCTCTTCTACGCCCACGTTAAGTGCCAACCTTAAACCCCGCCTCATGTGTCAAGACGGCTTATACTACACCTATTTGTCAAGTTTCTTTGTCTCTCTCAGGACTCACTACGCCACCATCCCAGGTCAATCTTATCTTATGGCCTACAATAAGCTGATCGTTATGGGCCGGCAGGAGATCCCAACGGGGGGCCAAGACTGATTCTTTGTCTCATATTGCTTGACCGGTGCCAACACTTTGTGCAACCTCAACACGCCAGCCCCCTGTCTTTCCTAGAAAAACTCCACCAGTCCTGCTGGCTTTGCTCTTGCTCTTGTCCCTCTCTTTGAGTAAACGATTATCGGCAATCTCAGACCCGAATTCGCCGGTTCGTGGACTGGAAACCGCATGGCTTGGCTGCAGATTGGCAAATCAGGTCAAGCATCAGGTCATTTCCCAGTGTCGATCAGCTCGGCCAGGCTGAAACATCTCTCAAAATGCGCCCCAAACATCGGGTGCACGTTTGCTTCCATTTTACGTACGGGAATAAGCCCCCAACGGTTCTCTGGGATCCGGGACCCGGGTTCACGTCGTTTCAGACCTAGCGTTTAAAAGGAGCAGTATCCGCCTTTGAAAGCAGGTATGCCGCGTCTATAAGGCTGGAGTTGACACGATGCGAAGCTTTCTACTCATTCTGGCGGGTGTTGCCAATGTGCTGGGCTTCCCTGTCGCCTCCCGGCACGTTGTCCACGAACGACGAGATGTTCTACCCGAATACTGGATTGAGGAGTCGCGGCTTGACAAACAAGAAAGGCTTCCTGTGCGGATTGGCCTCGCCCAGTCTAACTTGGACCATGGCCATGACCTTTTGATGGAAACGTATGTTTCTTGCGATATGGGACAGGATATCACTGACGATTTAGTTCCGACCCGGCTTCCTCACGGTATGGGAAATACCTCTCTGCAGAAGAGGTGCACGGTCTATTTGCTCCGTCAGAAGACAGCATTGAACAGGTCCGAGCTTGGTTAGAGTCCAAAGGCATAGTTGCCAGCCGTATCTCGCATTCGATCAACAGGCAATGGCTACAATTCGACGCGTCGGCCGAGGAGATGGAGTGGCTTCTCCAGACCGAATACTACCTCTACTCGCATACCGAATCTGGTAGATCGCATATTGCGTGTCGCGAGTATGTTTGCTTATCTTTTCATGATGTTGTTGCTGACTCGGTCGGTCAGGTACTACGTTCCGGAGTCGGTTCAGTCGCACATTGACTACATCACACCGGGCGTCAAGCTTCTTGAGTTGGATGACACCGAGTCGTCAAGGCGGAAGATGAAGAAGTGGAACCCTGATGACGGTGTGGCGCTGTTTCCCCGGGCATCGGATATTGATTTGGAGGAGATGCTGAAGAACGGCCTCCCCGGATGCGATGTGGTGATTAGTCCAGACTGCATTCGAAGTGTGTCTCCTTCTTCCTGTGGCAAAGTTCTTGACTAACAAAACAGAGATCTACAAGATACCCGAGGGCAAAAGCGCAAGTCCTGGAAACGAGCTGGGGATATTCCAGACATTGGGCGATCTGTACAGCCAGATTGACCTGGACCGGTTCTTTTCAGCACTGGCACCGTACGTTTTGACCCTCGCGACTTGTGACGATTCTAATGTCGATAGTGAAATACCTCTGGAGACTCATCCGAGATTGAACGCAGTCAACGGCGCCGAAGCACCCGCACCGTCCCTTGAACTCGCCGGCCCCGAATCCAGCTTAGACTTCCAAGTTTCATATCCGATCATCTGGCCGCAGAATTCAATCCTTTACCAGACAGACGACCCCGTCTACCAGAACAACTACACCTTCCGGGGCTACTTCAACAACTTCCTCGATGCCATAGACGGCTCATACTGCGACCCATCGGAGGAAGAGCTAGACCCCCCTTATCCAAACCCGGCACCTGGAGGATACAAAGGCGAAAAGATGTGTGGTGTATACGAGCCAACAAACGTCATTTCCATCTCGTATGGTGGTGCGGAATCCTCACTCCCAATCCGGTACATGCGGCGCCAATGTCTGGAGTATATGAAGCTGGGTCTGCAGGGGGTGTCGGTGGTCTTCGCTGCGGGCAACCATGGCGTAGCAACAGAATTCTGCTTGGGAACGGACGGAAAGGTCTTCTCACCAGACTTCCCGGCAACCTGTCCGTATATCACGGCTGTCGGAGCCACGACGGTACCCCCCGGAGGCGACGACGCGCATAGACCCAAGGAAATTGCGGTGAGAACGTTTGGCTCGGGTGGAGGATTTAGCAACGTCTTTGGAAGGCCAGGCTATCAGCAGTCCACAGTCCAGAAGTACTTGCGCAAAACAGATCTCGATTACCCATACTATGAAAGCATCGATAACAGCAGCTTCGCCGAGAACGGAGGAATCTACAACCGCATTGGCCGCGCATATCCAGACGTCTCTGCTATCGGCGACAACATCCTTCTTTTTTACAGAGGCAAACCTCTCCTGGGTGGGGGTACATCCGCTAGCGCGCCCATTTTCGGGGCGATACTCACCCGGATCAACGAGGAGCGACTGGCAGCCGGGATGCCGACGGTCGGGTTCGTGAATCCGGTGCTGTATGCGCATCCGGAGGCCTTTCGCGACGTGACTGAGGGGAGCAATGCAGGATGTGGCACCGAAGGGTTTCCTGCGACCAAGGGCTGGGATCCGATTACTGGGCTGGGGACACCGGTGTATCCGAAATTGTTGAAGGTATTCATGGAGTTGGAGACTTGCTAGCAATATCGATATGTAGATTGTCAATTTAGATGCCATGTCGCCCGCTGTCACAATGTATATCCAAGCTGACCCTTATTCAAAGGTGGAGTAATGCAGCCGCATCTTCAGCTCGGACATGAGCCTCCTCCGAAGGGATCGGATCGATGAGCCCGGCCCAGTGCTTGGGATAAAAAGGATAAAATGAATTGCAATGACAGCGCATGACTCAAGGTGAATCTTCTACACAGCCTTGGCCGGCGCCAACAGACTCGAAGGAAATTATCCAAAAATGCCTTAAGGCCCGGATCTCCAGACCCATTTCCAAGCCTTATTTACCAATTGTCCAAGTAAAATATTCTATTTACAGGGACTCGGATGCCAGACCCACTATGTGGCTAATGATTAGCGATGATTCTTCATATGTAGGAATAACTCATGCCTTGGTATACTCTACCTTTCTACATTGAGAGGCAAAAGAGGTAGGGATATAGACAAGGTAAAAGGAATAAAAATAAAAAGAATATCTATTAGGGTTTTTATTAAATCTATTAAGTAACACTAATTAGGAGTTATCTATCTTATAGTAAATATAATATTATCTAATAAAGGCCCTGGACTGCCTCCTAATGCCCGTATCTTTAAAAAAAAAAAAAAAAAAAAAGTAATAAAAAGTCCTTAAGGGCCTTAACTACTAACAAACAGCCTATAGAAGAGCTATAATACCCTGGAAAAGCCAAGTTCATGGTAATTCTAGTTAGTCAATCTTTCTATGTTCCTAGTTGGCCAATCTTTCTATGTTCCTAGTTGGCCTCGACAACACAATCCTCTCGAGCGCCATCCCCAAAATCACTGATCGATTTCATGCCCTGGGAGGGAAGACACGACCCAGATGGGAACCTGGCAACGTACCTTCCTATTTAGTTCCTCAATCCGGCACCCAGGTTACCGGACCCCCCGTTTTCCGGGCTGCCGTCCGCGGGGGAAGGCACGACCCTGTCTGTTGTAAACCACTATCTGTTCGAATTTGGCAGCTGCAAAGTACGTCGGAATCAAGGCGGACTTACAGGACTGTAAGCTTGTATGCCAGCCCAAGACTGAGTCTTGAGGAGGAGGATGGATGAGCGAGCTCGTACCGATGCTGTTAGTGCATGACTTACAAAGACGACTTTGATTCTGCTATTTGGGGATGGGTACGTGGGGTGTGGATTTATATATATATATATATATATATATATATACATCGTTCGTTTCTAAGTCCCGGAGGAGGTCGATACGAGGATGTGGGTGCCAGACTGTTTCTTGGAATAGGGCGAGTGTCCAAGCAACAGGTAACATGATACCTGATGTCGTCGGGGCCAGGCCGGGTCCGGTATGATACTTCGTAGAAGAGACTCGGAATTCTCAGAGGATTTTCAAGAGCGAAGAGTCGTCTCGGGATACACAGAAAATGGCGGGAGGCGTGTGCACAAGTATATATTTCGTAGCGGACGCGAGACTGGACGAGAGACCCAGGGAACCATTTGTTCGTTGCAATCGGCCCTCGCAACTCTTAGTTGATACATGCACTGCCAGTTTACGCCAACTACGGCCGGAGTACAGAGTCGCAACTAGTCTGGCGCGCAAGCATAAGAAATGACTCGCTGCAGAATGCCGACCTCGATCCTCTTTCAGGTTCATGCCAGGACTACAAATATATCCTCAGAGTTCACATCAAAGCCAATCATGGTACATTAAGTGCAGAAGACCACGCTATCTATGTTGACAAAGCAAGCCCAAGCCTTAACAAATGCAAAACACCATACAAGAAATCAGCAGAAAGACGATGCATAGTACCACAGCCGATAACCGTATTCCAACGCCTATACATCTCATAGACAGTAGAAAGCCACCAGACACGAACCGTAAATAGAAGAATGGAAAGATAAAGGAAATAAGTGACAAGGATAGGGTTGTATAGTACTATACAGTCAATTCGAGATTCGGACCAGTTGCTTTGCGCTCATAAAAGCTGCCGTTGGTGCTCGCCAGCCACACAGCAAAACTACCCAGACAGCCGAGACGAGGCTCGCGAGAGCAGACTCATTTTCAATCCAGTTCAAAGACCCAACAAAGGAAATATACGTCAAGATCGTTAGTCGTCGTAGACCCTGCTACACGCATCGGATACGGGGAGGCGACCAGCTCCCAAAAAAGAGAATGGAACGGAACGGAACGGGATGAAATGGAGGGGCCAGCTCCTTCTTTGTATTATTAGGTAGTTAGGGTATGATTTCGCAGGGGAGCGTGTGAAAAGAAAGGTAAGTGTGTCCGTCTAGTCGTTCACCATATCATTCAGGGCCATTTTTCGACGCTTGGCGGGCCGTGACGAGTCTCCATCCTCGATATCGGATCCCCGGCGCTCGTCGTGTGTGCGAGTTCCTGGAAGTTGCTGCGGGTAGCCCTCACTGGGAGAGCTCCCGCCCAGCTGGCTTAAATAGCTCATCTCGGGTGCGATCTGGCGCATCTGGTTGCTCGGTGATGTTGGTTCCACGTATCCAGTCTGCTGCTGCTGCTGCTGGCGCGGGTCTTGCATTTGGGACGGCGGCTGGTGCTGCTGCGACGGTGACCATGTTGAATACGGATCGTTCGGTCGGGGTTGGGGATTCGACACGGGTGAAGGATATATCGGAGGGAGTCTGACCGGAGACTCTGCCATACTCATACTTTCACGGGGATCTCTAGGGGCGGGGACGGCGCTTTCACCCATCGGTATCCGGTTCACCGCTCTTGTTCCCTCTGGGTACGAAGAAATCGGGACGCCGTACGGTTGGTGGTATTGAGGAGGCGACGGAACATGGGGTAACCCTTGCCCTGGATATGTCGGAATGGGCCTTCCCACTCCCACACCTGCAGGCATACGGCCAGCTGCCAGAGCCGGATTATAGCCTGCAGCCATGGGAACGTATCCTGGCGGGGAAACTGCAGTCATAGACTGCGCACTTCCCGACGACGAAAACCGTCTGTGGCCTATGGCTCTTTGTGTTGTCAAGGCAGGGTCAATTCCATGTGGATACCCTATCGGCCATCGCTGGGGCTGCCCCGGAGCCAGCCGCACTCCCATCGGCCCTGCTTGAGAGCTGTGCATGTGGAGATCTGTCATCGGGCGAAGCTCGCGAGAAGAGGTTGCGCGGTGCATTGAGCGTCTTGTCTGCGCTCCCTGGTCTCCAAGTCCTCCTCTAGTATCCATCTGGGTCGCGTATGTCCTAACCGATCCCTCTTCGGCTTTCAGTGGCGGTCGTCCTCGTTTCTTGTGCGTGACATCGATACATGTAGACTATAAATTTTAGTGTCTGCTGCGTCAAAAACTGGATAGATTCATATCTACTGCTCACCTCTTTGTTCGACAACACACACCTCCGACACGGCCGAGCCGGGTCGCATCCCAGATGCTTCTTCTTGCAGTTCACACATGCGGATGCAACATGTGCTTTGGTTCGCCGCGTGGTCTTCTGTGGGAGTGTACGAGATGCTGGCCCAGCAGCGGAAGCTCCAAACGTAGGTTGCGGATACGTCGCAGTCAAAGATTGTGAGGAAGGCTGTGCTGTAAGCGATTGAGGTAATCGTGCAGAAGGAAACGGCTCGCTGTAGGCCAGCGGCTGACGTAGTGTCTCATCGCCCGGCGCTGTCCCGAGATGATGCAGCGCAGAACCATGTCCAATGGCTGAATCTGGAGATACCGGAGAAAGAATCGACCCTGGCGTGCTGATTGATGTCGATGTCACCGTGCCTCCGGCTGTGGTAACAGCCGCCGTGGTCAGCGGCTGCGGCAGCTCTGGATATACGGGCCGCCTAACATTTCTTAGGGTCTCCAGCGGATCTTCGACTGGGGATGGGCGGGACATAGAGCTTGGGGGTGGAAGGTCCCGCGGCGTGCTCCGCCGAGCATTTGCAGTTCGAGGTTGGTTCAACGGAAGCCGTTCGGGGCCAAAGTATTGAAGACGTCCGAAATCTGGGGCCACAAACGAAGCAGGAGGGAGGACGAGTGATTGCATCGGGTTAGTCGTTGATTCTTACTTGGTTCTTCGCTTGGTAGAACTCGGTCAGAGTGAGAGAGATGCGATACGGGCCTTTAAGACAACGAAAGGGCGACTGGCTTTGATCTGGAAGTGGGCAGCATATCTGGCATGGGTTTGTTGGGGTCTGTTGGTCACGGCTTAGTCGGCTGTCAGGTAAGACTACTCAAGGTGTGAGGACGCGAGGCGGGCTTATAATCGGTCAGTACAGATCCAGCATCGGAGGAGTCACAAAAGACAAGAGGCGGCTTTAATCAGCAACGGACAGCCAGATCGTGACGGCAGGGTTCCATGGCTTCGATGGTTCCCAACCCGGAGCGATTTATTGCAGCATGGTGGGCGATCACTGGAGACTGAGGGAGGAAAAGCAAATAATCGAAGGAAAACGCATGGGCACCTTTTTTCTTACCTGACCAAAACCCATGGGCTGTAATTTTCTCTTCTGGGTTTCACCTGTGTTGTCTGCCAGTGCCTGTTTGGGGGTATTTTGCCTGAGTCAAGAGGGCTCTCAAAATCCCCGACTGGCAAGGGCGAAGAAACGGTGAAGTATACGGCAAAGTGAGGCGTCGCGTATTTAAAGCCCGGTGGGTGCACACGTCTTTAAATTCTCCCAACGGGACGCAAGGTCAAGGCTCATGATATGTACTTCAGGATGGGCCGGAGAAAATGGAGCATAAATTTAAAAAAGTAAAGGATGGAAAATAAAACCATTGGAATAGGAGATTTTCGCTCTAGCGTCGGGTGCTTGACAGGAGTAAAAAGAGGGCCTTCAGCCTTCGTGAGCTTGGACACTGGTACAAGAGCCCGAGAGCTAGAGGCGATCAGGCCCCAGGGATAGGAATGCTCAAATCCAGCAGCCAAGAGGCGCTTATTCTTCCGTTTTTGTTGCACCAGCTTCTAATAGTGGGCAGGCGGGGGTACGAGGAAAAGGGACGAGCTGCGAGCAGAGCAGGAACCTGCTCCCAGGCCGTGTTAGTGTTGCTGTTGGCTGCAGGTTCTGGTAACTCGTAAGGCTTGGGTATACTTCCTTTTTCGCACGACTCGACTCACTGTTAATTGGCAAGGTGGAGAGAACGGTGGCCAGTGCGAGAGTGACTTGACAAAAGTGGACCGTGGTGGGTTAGCAGCCGATAGAACTGATCTCCATTGCGTCGATCTTGATGGGGTGATTTCCGAGTCGGTTGAAGGTGAGAGACGAACAATGGAGGCAGAGTAACACCGGACGAGGTGATAGTCCCAATCCTCCGGGGACGAAAAAGCAAGTGGAAGCAGGTGAGTGGGCGAGGAAGGACAAACCACGCGTAGGAAGGTGACCAAGTGACGAAACGGGCCACAGCACTTCTATAGTGCTTCTTTTTCCATAAAAGAAGAATCGGAAATTGTGATGATTATACGATTATTATAAAGTGGATTCCGTCCCAGTTGGCCGGCTCGACTGACGAACCCCAGCTGTCAGGCAGGGCTCTCTCCCAGAAGAGTTAAACCCAGATCACACTATGTCGGAGAAGGGAAAAGGAAAGAAAAAAGGGACAGGAAATTGAACAAAAATGAGGGGGAGCCGAGTGTATTCCCGCGCAAATCTGGATTAATCCTCATCAATCATTCGACAGACGCAAGGCAGGATCGACGCTGGCGGAGGGTCGCCAGTGCCAATAGTCTGGGCTAATAGTCCCTTGTCTCTGTTCGGCAAAACGTCTCTCCCACTTAAGCTTGTTTTGGCCATCACCACATCTGCTGATACTCACACGGAGTAATCCTAGCTTTGCTTCATCAGCACCGCGGAAAATATCGAAATTAGACGCTCTGTGTCGCCTGGATCATACACCCTAGCCCGCTGCCCGCTGCCCGCAGCTCCATGCGACTGCCCTTGTATACATTGGGGGAATCCTTCCTTTCCACGCTCCTCTCGCTGATTTTTGCGCCCCTTGTATATTCTCCCGCTTATTGTCTCAGATAACCTCGCTATTGTCCATCGGCTTCCTCTACTAGGAGATTTTTCCATCGCAGAATTCGGGCGGGTGAGACGAGGAACGTGGGTTTCGGGAATCCGAAAGCCAATCCAGAAGATGCGCGACTCAGCAGGTTCTTCGTGCCTAATTATTGAGCAAAAAGTACAATCGATTGGCACTCGGATAGTCGGAAGCTTTCCCCTCTTCTCTGCTGCATCGCCGTCCCGGCTGCCCAGAGGTCCCTGTTGACGGAAGTCTGTTCAAGGCAACCTCACTTCTCAGCCTTCTGGAGAGACTCGAGGAGAAAAGGCAACGCAGTCAGGAAGATGATGCTGGCCGACAGGGCACTCTGTCACCACAAGAAGTGTCGCCTTTTCCATGACATCAGTTACACGGCGGTCATTATCCCTTGATGTAGAGCCATCTTTACGCAGGCAAGAATCTCATCGCAATCCTTCAGGCCCAGATTTACCAAGAGCTTGACTCTTTTGTTAAGATCGCCTCATGTTCTGTCTGCTTCAGAAGAGTCCATCGGCGCATTCCCGGACGGCGGCAACTTCGTGCTGGACGAATGACGCCAGCTCACTCGGCCGGGCATTCGAGCAATTGGAATGGCAGGCCGCATTTCTCCGCAGTGGCTCATGCAGACCAACCCCACCATGAGAGTCGGAGCTGGCCAGTGCAGATGCTGCAGAGCTTACGCAGTTGCTGGTCCTCTTCCAGAGTAGCGATGGATGTAGCCCGTATGCACATGTATCGTGCACTTCTCTGCTAAAAGCTTCAGGGTGTTGACCCGATCTTCAAAAATGATCTTCGTCATGGCGCCCTGTCAGTCTCGCGAGGATCCGCACGATCTTGAGCGATTCCAGTTCCCCGGTACGCCAGCGATGAACCCTAACTCGGCGCTTATTGTCCCGCAGGAGGCGAACAATAGAAATTAGTCTCAGAGTGAATCGTTGGGAAAACCGAAGGCGATGTGATGCTAAGTGACTCTTTGCTACTTTCCAGATGTGGCTGCAGCTACTGCGCCTTGGTGGAACGAGCATAAGTCGAGCTTGATCACCTGAGCCCCGGACAATTCGCCAACATTCGATTAGCAAGTCGAAAATGTTCCGTCACTCCCGTGCGATCAAGAACCGAGATCTACTGGCTCTTGTCCGATGTCGACCAGGAAGCGCGGCAAAATGACGGAGGCGAGAACGCCCGTCGGTGGAGAAGCGTTATCCTGGTGTGACGCTCAATAACGGCTTTTCTTCTCCAACTACACTCAAGAACGTTGAAGGATCAGTGCAGTGTAAATCAGTGATGTGGTGAAGAGGGCGCAGCTTTTCTCGCGCATTAAACGGCAAGGCCTAAGCGTGTTGTCGTCCGGCGAGTCGACTGACAAAGTTCCAAATCTGGAGACACCTCGGGGAATTCACATAGTGCATGTGAGCTCTACTATTGGTCTTTGCCCGACAAATACAGCCAATTAAACGCGGGAATGGGGCGAAAAATGAAAGTGAGATAACCACAGAATATTCACGGGGCCAGTTTTGCGCATCTGAATTTCTCTCAAGGCACGACACAGCGACACCAGCCCACACAGCCGGCCAGCCTATCATCGGCAAAGGGGTAGGAAACCAGGTTGATTGCGAGCAATTGGGAGCACATTCTTGTGCAACATGCCGCACGCGGGCCCAACAGCAAGGGAGGGGAACCCCGGCAGGATGAATCTTGTCGGTGGTCAGTTGGACCTGAAAGGGAGAAAGGAAGCGTCCAGTGTGTTATCATCGGGCGAAGGATGTCTGGTGTTTGAGGTTCCAAAGAACCACAAGCGGTTCATGCAACCTGACAATGGGGCCAAACGCCAGCACGATGATCTGCCACCGAGGGAGCTAACAAGTGTCAATAGTGCAGGACACTAAGCCCGCTTTAGCCTGAACAGGTAAAGAGGCGGGTGGATGGGGGCAGCTGCCATGGAAAATAGGCTGGTGACAGTGACGATGCTGCAGTCAGGGTGCAGGAGGATGTGACCGGAGGGATACAGGAGCGAGCTTTATTCGAGGTTCCTGCGAGACCATATGGGCAGCAGCAAAATATCCAGCAACTCGATCAGCACAGCTGCTGTGTCACCCAGGCGTCTGGATCTAAGATGTTACCTCAGGAGAGCGTGGAAGCGAACGACTTGCAGGTAGTGTCTTGACTCTCGAGAAGCAATTTTGAGGTCCTCGTATATTGATTGATAATGCGATCCATCTGAAGAAGCGAAGCTCCAGATGCCAGAGGGCTGAACGACGAGTCAGGACGGCGAGAGGCAGAAGGGCGTTTTCCCAAAGAAGTTTAGCCGGTCCCGTGCAGTGCCTCGGTCGGGCAACGATTGGCGGCACCAGCTGCTCTTGTGTTCTGTGTTGTTAAGCCTCACAGCAACTATTCATCTTCCATCCCCCTCTGCTGCCAATCGATCTCCCGCAACGACATCTGCATTATCCATTCGGGTCGCATGCGCACGCCGGACAATTTCGCTGATCTCCTTTCTTTTTCTGCGGTTCATCCTGCGCCGCTTCCCCCGTCACACCCTCAGCCCGTTCTGCCCGCCCATCCCGTCCGCGCTAACCTGTCTTTTCCAAACACCTCGACCTCGTCTGGCCCAGGGAACGAGCTTGGATGCCACCAGCCGCCAGGCCGATGTGGAAATTTGCCGTCTTTGGTGTATCGCTTTGTCGACCGACATGGATCGTTGACTCGGTAGCACACCCGTCAGTCCTTCCGACACCATGAGACGGGAGGAAATATTCCGAGAGGGCCACCACTCATTGGACCCTGGTCAGGCCCATAACGTGCCTCAGACTGCCAGTCTTACCCTCAGAGAATCACGAGTCTTGATGAGAGCCAAAAATTGCTTCAATGCTACAAGTCACGTCCTCTCCCACCGTTCTGACCCACAGTGCATTACTCGTTCGCACTCAAGCGTCTACCCATGCGCCACATTCGCCAGTACTGTACAACGCGATTGTGCTCGGTCGGTGAAGCCAGAGACAAGAGATCATGGATTTTGCCCAGCTGCCTCTCATTCGACCCTGTGCCGATACGGGCAGACGTTTTGCCCTTTTGCAACAATTCACCGTGTATGCGAATTTAGGATACCAGGAAATGGCAAAATGGACAGACATCTCTGACCTTGACTAGGGCCTCATACAAGAATCACGCGCCCTGGGTTATGCCACTCAACATCGTACAATTATCATCAGTCTCACGCTTGGACGGCCCACACAGTGCATACATGCAAGGCGGCATCCGTAAACAAATGGCCAATTCTGCGACTGTCCTGCTAATAACCCAGATATCTCGAGTGGAAGACACTTAGCCATCAGTGACTTGCGGGACAATGGTCCAGCTAACGTCTGTATGATGATGGAAAGCTGTTTAATGCCCGTCTGATGTCTCTCTCGCTCAGCCACTAGCCAGAAACTACTGGAAGCCATGGCACGAGACTTGGCAACATCATACAATAACGGCTCCAGTGCGGTTACCTGTTGGTCTGGCAGCATACGAACAGCAAGGTTGTCTCATAACGTGTTCCCGTGGTGCCGTGCAACCATCCATATCTCGCAGGCTTGCTCGTGATTGCTTCTATTGGTAGCAGCAGACGCGCGGCATCGTCAACAAACCACTGTCATGGCAGAATGCGGTCGAGTCATTGCCGATTCTCTGACAGGCTATTTCATGCCGCACGCGAGGGCGGTTGCGTCTTGCAGGTGGCCTTCTATCGGTGAGGTTGACGAGGGAATAGAGTTTGACGAATGTAGCAGCCCATCGAGCCTAGCTCGGCCGTTTTCGCCACAGCCGATGTGACACTCGGCCGGACCATGCAAGAATAGACCGGTCATGTTCAACAGGAATTGTGTTCAGTGACCCGGGCTGATTCGGGCATGGACATGCCTTGCGTGAGTATGAAGCCTGAACCGCAACGGCGCGAGAAGTCGGTGAGTATGTGATCAGTAACAAACCCTTCAACCTTGCGCGGAGGCGCAAGTAGCTAACCTCCATTGACAACGCCTCTCTTGCAGTTTTCCTCCTAGGTTTCAAATACACATTCGGCCCGGACCGTGAATCTACCAGTATTTGACCCTTTGGTTGATGAAGGGGTTCAATTATTGATGTCAGGCATCAAGCATTCTATATGGCGATATCCACCGACTTTGCTGAGCCTCCAAGCCTGGAAGAGGCCGGGCCCACAAGAGCCCCTTCTAGCCTAAGCCGACAATGGCCGTGCATGACCTTGACGGCCAGTGTCAGTCATCCCTCAGAAAGAAATTCGCTGGGTCATCAAATACCTGGAGCGTAGCATTGAGGTGATGGGTAGCCCTGCCCTTCCTTGGTCAACAGGCTTAGGCGAGCCACTCAAAAAGAAAAACGAAGATCTTGCCGATCCTCGTCTTATGCAGCTCACTTGTTGCGCTTAATCTTGAAAGATCAGTGGCGGGCGCTCCACATGCTCGTCAATCGAGTGTTGCAACTGCATGGAGCGATCACGTAGTCAACAAGCAAGGTAGGCATATCACAGACTCTGCTTCGCCCAACCTGTCGCAACACATTGAATGACCCAATTCTCCTAAACCTTCTTACTTCGGAGTCCAGAAGAAACTCCGTGCAGGGTCTCCCGGTATGACCCGAATACGCTGGCGAACAAGCAGGCACTCACTCACCCTAACCCGCTCACAAGCCAGAATCTCTCATCTTCTTCATATCACCTCCTCGCTATCGTGGCGCTGGGCGGTTGATTTCCCTTCCTGATTCGGCAATCGCTCGCTTCATAAGAGCGTAACCTCCTGTCGGCATTCCCAACCGGTGTGATGAGAGATCCAAGGATGTGATATGTCTTCTATTGAGATGCGAACCCTCCTTCATTGGGCGGGATACTACTACCGTCCCTAAGTTCTTACACCCGATCTGGCGAATTCCTTCACCTTGATAGATAGTCGCCGCGGCCTAGCAAGTAGATCGACCAGTGACTGGTCCCACCACGTTAACCGTGGAGCTATTGAGCCACATGCATGGCCCAGTCCCCAACCGGGACTTGCTTGCTTTTTCTGCGCTTTCCTCCGGGGTTGAGCGGCGGTTCGCAAGAATCCCAACCATTAGTCAAGGCTCAAGCTCCGCGGTGCGCCGAATTCGGTTATTCTTGCCCTGGGCTTGTCTCGTTGCTTGCCTCGCTTGGGTTGGAAGAGGTCGAAAGAGGGCTCCGGTGTGCCATCACCAAGAGTCATGTCGAAGCTTGTGTCGCTTGACTATTTTAGCTTGACTTGGAGGAACCAGCGTATCGGTTTATTTGTTGTCTAGATTTGACTCGAGTCACGATAGGCGAGGTTGTCGTGGCGGGTGAATGTGAAGGTGAGTCGCGGCACCTCGCTGGCTACGCTACGCAACTCAACGTGGGTGTCGATCAATCGTATCTCGATGAATTGTCATGGTATCTACACAGTAAACACAAGATTCAGGCTTAGGCCCCTCACATCTACCTCTTTCTCGACGGCCTGGCATTCTTCTCCCGCCGCCTCTGCTTCAACTTCCTCGCCTTGCGAATATCATCCGTATTTCGAATCTCGCTCTTCCCCCCCGCCCCAGCTCCAACCTTCGACGCCTCCCTCTCCTTCGCCGCCGCGCCCTTCTTCTTCATCTTCTCATAATCCCCACGCAACGGGTCCGCCCGCTTAGGCGCCTGCTCCCTCGTATGCCTAAACTTCCTCCCACCAGCATACCCACCAGGCCCGCCAGGCCCGCCAAAACCACTCGCAAGCGCAGGCGTCTCCATTTCGCCAACCCGCGGCAACCTGCCCACCCTCTTCCCTCTCTTCCACGCATCAAACCGTCCACTCCGGAAACTCGCCGCGATCTTCGCACCGCTCTCCCCGCGCACCAAGCGTGTCCCCTTGGACCCGTCCTCGTCGTTCTGGCGGGCAACGTACTTCTTGTGCCGCTTGTCCCAGCGCATGAGGGTGCGCGGTTCACCGAATCCGCGCCCGCCTTCGTCGGCTTGCAGGTCCATTGTTGCGCTGCGCGTTTCGGCGGCGAAGTTGGTGTTTGTGCCCGAGTGCACGCCGTACGCGCGGTCTTCGGCTAGGTTTATGTTGCTGGGGGTGTAGGACATGAAGTAGTCGGGGTTTTGGAAGGAAATTGAGGTTGAAGAGGATTTAGAGTTGGATTTGGAGGAGGGTTGTTGTTGGTTGTAGGAAGAGAATGTAACTTCGAGGTCGGATTCCGAGGCGAGCGACATGTTGTCTGCAACGCCTGTGGCTTCGTCGTCTTCATCGTCTGAAAAGGCACCGGCACCGCCGGCGCCATCGTCGGAGTCTTCTGCGCCTCCCTTGAGACCAGCTGCCTCGTCAAGAGCCTGGGCGCGCTCTTCTGCTTCAGCACGCTGTTTCTTCTTATTGTCGAGGTTGGTTCGGACGCGCTTGATCGAGTCGAGAGCCTCGTCGGACTCGCCCTTTGCGTTTCCGCCTTTGCCGCTACGGCGGTTCGTAACTTCAAAGATCGTTTCCTGCGGTCTGTAGCCTCCAATACGGGCGAGCATCTTCTCGCGCTCGGCCTCGAGCTGGCTTGCGTCGTCTTGGAAGAGCGGGTGGATGGCTGTCCAGCCATCCGAGGAGACGACCTGCTTCGCACGCTTGGCGCTCTCTAGCGAGGCGGCGTTGCGCGTACGGAGGTAGAGCTTCTCACCCTTTGTAGAGACTGAGCGTTGGGCGGCGATGTCGGTGTCGTCGTCTAGGACTCTTGTGACCCATTCGCAGCTTGACGAGAGGCCGTCTCTAGGTAGACTTCCGACCACGACGTCCTCGGCGAAGTTGGCCTGCTCGCCGGAGTCGCGACCGAGAACGAGCCTGCGTCCGAGGAAGAGCTGTAGATCGAGTAGGTAGGGAGCGTCGGCATCACGGACAAGACTGTAACTCCAGCCCTTCCTTCCGGCACGGGCCGTTCGACCGACTCTGTGGACGAAGATCTTGGGTTGCGAGGGGAAATCGTAGTTGATGACGTTGGCGAGAATGGGGATATCGATACCTCTGGCTGCGACGTCTGTGACGACGAGGATGTTCGAAATGCCCGTTCGGAAGTTCTGGACTTGGATCTTACGTGCTGTTTGGTCGAGCGAACCGTAGACGTAGGAGGTAGCGAAGCCGGCCTCGTTGAGGAGCGAGTAGAGGTAGTCGACATGGTGCTTTGTTGCTGCGAAGACGATGGTCGAGTGCTTCGTTGGGGACTCCTTGAAATTGATGGCTCTGTCGTCGCGCTTGCGCTTCTTGTAGTTCTTCGAGTCATCCGTGTTTCCCTCCTTGAATCTCTGCGAAGCTTCTGTAGGTCCCGTAGGCATCTTAATGACCTCGTGTAGGATATAGAGCAGTGCACCCTCCTTCTCCGCCGACTTGATGGAGAAGAATGCATTCTGCAGATCCGGCGAGATCTTACTCTCAGTATCCAATCGAATAAGCGTCGGCTCCTGCAGACCAGCTCTGGCAAACTCAACAAGCGACTTGGGCAGCGTCGCGGAGAACAGCAACGTCTGTCTCGTCGACGGCAACCCATGCAAAATCTCGGTCAATTGCGCCGCGAAACCCATCTCGAACAGCCGATCCGCCTCATCAAACACCACATACCGAATACTCGAGAGATCCAGGTTCATCTCAACCTTCAAGTGCAAGAACCGACCGGGCGTCGCAATCACAATATCCGGGTTCCCCGCCATCATGCTAAACTGCTCCTCGAGACTATCACCACCAACAAGCAGGACAGCCTTGAGATCCGTCCCCTTGCCCAACTCCTTGACAACCTTGAGCGTCTGTAGCGCCAACTCACGCGACGGCGACATGATCAACCCCCTCGATCCAAACTTCGTGCTATGCGACTTCAACTTCTCAATCATCGGAATCACAAACGCAGCCGTCTTCCCGGATCCCGTCCGCGCCATACCGACAACATCCTGGTCCTCCATGATAACGGGGATCGTCTTGCGCTGAATCGGCGTGGGGACGGAGAATCCTTTCCGGGTAATTGCTTTGAGCAGATTCGCATTCAGTCCCATGGCTTGGAAGCCACCGCCCTTCTTCACCGTGCGGCCCTTGAGGTTTGCGCTCTTTCGGTTTGCCGAGGTCTGCTGCGATGCGATGAAGGCCTCGTCATCTTCGTCCGAGTCGCCTGCGTCTCCGAGGAAGTCGAGGGTGAGGTTTGGGGGTTGTGGTGGCGCCTTGCGTTTGGTCTTTGTAGCCTTGGTCGTCTGCTCGGGTTCCGAGTCGCTGTCATGCTTGAAGAGCGCGCTCGTGATGTCAAAATCGTTCTCCGATAGGGCCGGAGAGGCCGCGCGGGGTGCCATAGTGACTTTCCCCCTTGAAATCAAACAAAAATTGTGAAATTCGTGATTTCTGCTCTCCCGGTCTCGATTTCGACTTTTTTTTCTGATAAGCGGATAAAAAAGTCAAGGCGGTCAGCTGCGGACCAGATGTTCTTCCGAAGCCCACTTGCAAACAATGCAAACACTGCATCCCCGCGACGCGTCGAACACGTCCCGAAGAGGTAAAATGACTGCTCTCTGAAGCTTCAATACATTTCGCAACACTCTTGCTACACTCGCCTTTTCATACACAACTCTGACACGGACACGACCATGGGTAACTCTCACCATCTCCATCCCGCAAATACAGGAATTATTGCTAATTCTCCTCAGATAACTACGGCTATGGAAGCACCTCCTTCGGAGGCGGCGGTGGTGGTGGCTTCATGCCTGGAGAAACAAACAGTCCCTCTGGAGGAGGAAAGGTACGCAACCCCTCCGTCTACTATACCCTTCTCACCCCTATACAACTCGATACAATGGAAGCCCCGCAAACCCCAAAAGCCGCACTAACACTACGTGCACGTAGAACGACAACAAAACCATGCGCCCGATAACAATCAAACAAGCCCTCGACGCAACACAACCGTACCCAGACGCCGACTACCAAATCGACTCGCAAGACGTCTCGAGCATCGTCTTCGTCGGCCAAGTGCGCAACATCAGCTCGCAGGCGACAAACATCACATACAAGCTCGACGACGGCACGGGCGAGATCGAAGCCAAGATGTGGATGACGCCGGACGACTCGATGGACACAACGGACGAAAGCGTGGCCTCGGGCGGGAAGGATCGCAATGGCGTCGAGATTAACAGCTACGCAAAGGTGTACGGGAAGCTCAAGTCTTTATTTGGGGACCGCAAGGTTATCACGACGCATTGTGTTCGGCCGGTTACGGATATCAATGAGGTGCATTTTCATTTCTTGGAGGCGGCTGCTGTGCATTTGTTTTTCACAAAAGGGCCCGCGCCTGCGGCTGGTGGGGCTGCTGGCGGTGCTGGTGGTGCGAAGGATGCCGCGATGGCGGGGATGGATAGTGGGTATGGGGCCGGGGTTGCTGCCGGTGGTGGTGGCGGACATCTGCCTGCGATGACGCCGCTGGCGAAAAGGGTGTATAATCTGCTCAGGACAGAGCCGCAGACAAATGAGGGAATGCAGGTGCAGCAGATTGCGGCCAAGCTGGGTGTTAGTATTGGGGATGTTGCGCGGGCTGGAGATGAGTTGCTTACTGCTTCTGTGATCTTCTCGACGGTTGACGAGAACACATGGGCTATTCTTGAGTATTAGGCCAATTGTTTGCCTACATTGACTGATATAAAGATAGCGATATGAAAATCCAACGACTACCTGTATAAGTATAGATAAATCTAGCATAATTCCCGTTACGCTGCCTTGAGCAGCTTCTACATCACGTTCCATAATCACAATCAACCGCCCGTAAGACTTCATCATATCATACCACGTAGTATCCGTAAAACATACTCATTGTCCATTTCCAAGGACATTTTCACGCCGCCGCATTCCTCCGCAGAGCATCCTCAACCGACCGATTCCAATCCGTCTGTGTGAGGAAAACAGCCTCGATTCCTGAAACCAAGCAAAGCGCTATAGCAACACCGGTCCAAAGCCCAAACAACCCCCAATGCAGGCCGAATGAGGTCCCAAAACTAATCGGCATGGCAATCGCATAGTAGCAAAACAGCTGGACGTACCCACCAATCTCCTGTCTTCCGAGCCCGCGAAGGATTCCGTTGCAGTTTGTTGCTAGGGCGTCGAAGAGCTGGAAGGCTGCGCAGAGGGGTAGGACTCGGGCGACGAGCTCGACGACCTCTTCCTCGGAGGTGAAGAGGTGCGGGATGTAGTAGCGGAGTGAGGAGATGAGGATCATGTTGCCCAGGCCGACAATGACTGCTCCCCACATGGCTACCTTGGCTGTGACTCGAGCGGCTGGGACGAGGCTGGCTCCGATCAGGTTTGCGACTCGAGTGCTGGCGGAAATTGACAGGGTGAAGGGAATCTGGAAGGTGATGGAGGATATCGTGGCCAGGACTGACTGCGCTGCCAATGGGGTTGTTCCTAGATACGAGGAGCCCAGGGTCAGGACCTCGAAGGCGAGACACTCTGCCTCCACCATTAGCAGTCCTGGAAGGGCCAAGCGAATCATCGGACCCCAGTTGTGCAGAGCGCGTCTTGTCAGCCCATTCCAGCACTCTGATCCGGCAACAAAGTACACATAGATGAACAGAAAAAGAGGCATCAGATTGTCCGTGATGGCCACGGCAATAGGCGCGCCAACGAAACCCCAACCGAAGTGCTACAGTACGAGTCAGCGAGGTGACGCCTGCATAAAGGAACGAACTTACCCAGACAAACAGCCAGTTCATAAAAGCATTAAGCGGTGCGCAAATAAGCAAGACATATAGCGATGCCGAGAAGATCCCCTGTGCTTGTACGAAGCGCTTTCCACTTTCAAAGCACGCGTAGCCCGGAGCTCCCAGAGCAACCACTTTCAGATATAGACCTGCCATCCGAGCTACATCCTCCTCTGGCACGATCCTGATCAATATCTTGTCGGCAAAGTACCACAGTAGCGCAATAGGGATAGTAATGACCCATAAGAAAAAGACCATCCTCTGCATCTGTAATCCCACGAGCTTCTTCTTTCCAGAGCCGTACGCCTGCGCACAAAGGGTATCTAAGCTGGTCGCCAAACCTTGATAGACTATCTCCGAGTTAGTATTCTGTTTCAGGATCATTGAACCGCGTGACATACCTGCATAACCTGTGATACTTGCACTCATACTCGCAAGACTAACCGCTCCCAACTCCGTCTTACCAAGATGACCTAGGGTAAAGATGCTCGCTACGGTCAAGGAATACTGGAGCAGGAAAGTAACCACAAGAGGAGCCGCGTTTTTGCCTATCACTTTCGCTTCTCGTCTCCATGTAGTCTGAATCAAGCCTGCAATAACAGCTTCCTCCCACTTCCGATCAATATCCTCCGCATCAACGGTATTGTATCCGGAGTTGCCGCCACCTCCACCCAGCAAAGCGGTCGTTTCTGCAGCGGAGGCACCCTCTGACCTTCGGCGTTTACCAGCAGGACCCGGGTCGAGGCAATTGTTATCGCACAGAAGCTCCCGCTCGTCTTCGATGGCTTGTTCGCGCTCGCGCCGTGTTAGTCCTTCGTGGTCCGGGCGATGGGGCACCACAGTCGCATGGGAGACCGTCGTGAAGAAACTAGGTCGCTGGTAAGAACCAGCTAGGGAATGAGGCTGGCTGTGTATTGGACGGATTGTCGAAACCTCGGAAGTCTCATCGTCAGCGGTGAGCACGGATTGATCGTCGTCATATTCCTCGAGATCTCTCGCAATGGCTCTTTCGGCAAGGGGAGAGCCTGAACGGAAGCTGCCACTGAAGGTTCGATCTTTTGGTGCGCTGAGCGCAGCACTCCCGTCGCGGGTCATGACTCGATTCTGTTTAGAATTCGTGGGGTAACGGAGTTAGAGAAAAAGTTATCAGCTGCGGAAAAATGTGCGCCAGCTCTTCATCTCAAAAGCACAATTGCGCAAGTGACCTATAGGTAAGAAAGCCACACTTGAAACAAGCCTGTTAGGAAGAAGGTGAGATTGAAAGAGGAAGAAAAGAGCCAGAGCAGCAAGACCGGTTGGAACCTCGGAGTCTACGGAGTATGCATGGCACTGTCCTCGATAAGACTTCGCCTCTGGGACCGTTCCGCGCTCGAGCCGGACTTGGGGATCCACCCATCATGATACCACCCTCGTATAGTGGTTGCAATCCAGCCGTGACTCACAGCGAGCATCCCAGCGGTGTGTCTCGGACAGGGAGCCGAATGTTAGGTACTTGTCTATCATTTCGAGCACCAATAGAAACCCGTATGAAACTCGACCAAGGCCGCACCCTTCAGAAACATGGCTGCGGAGAGAACGCAATCCTGTTCGTCCGTGCTGGCTTCGCTGACAGGATCTCGGATGCCCCGCAGATCGTCTCCATCCACCGACCCCAAAAGGCAGGCCGAGCCGGAAGGGGATTTTTGAGGTTCGAGCTTTTCCTCTCACAATTGTCAACAAAGGAACAATTGAGTCTGGCACTTTAGCATGGCTGTCGTCAATTAATATCTACCTCATCTTGCCACCCACAGGTAGCTCATGCTTCCAGAACTCTTCGAGAACGCAGCGAGAAGACTCGGAAAATGACATCACCAAACCAGGTTAGCCCAGCTTCGTGCATCACGTGCTCATCATCAAATCGGTCAGCTGCACTGGAAAAGATATCCAAAACGGTCCCCGACAGCTTAACCTCACGTCCAGCTCTCCACAGCCAGAAGATGCGAATTTGCAGGACCAAGCGCCTGTCTAGCAGCAGATCTCTGGATCGGATGTTTCGACGACCGCCGATATAAGCCAGTCTCCATCGTCTCTCCGTCACACAGTCATCCCTTGGGGGTACAACATGCCAGACACGGCCACATCAGGACAAGAGCCCGGTGAGGCTGCGGCTGCGGCTGCGGCTACGACTGGAGCCTGCACGCGACAACCGTATAACCCCTTGGTTAACCTCACGAATACGAGACCCGTGCTCGTCGAAGAGTAAGCTTACGTTTTCCGGTTCCATTCCCGCTCCCCGCTTCTCCCATCCCCACCCGTTCGATACTCTCCACCATGCATCCATACACTTCCAGAGCAAGACAAAGCAACACAGTTCCATGTCATAGGTACTAACCCTCATTGATCTTGAACAGCCACCTCGAATCCTCAAACCACATCTTCCTAACCCGCCCCTACCTCGGCGCCCTGCTCTTCGAAAATGCCGCCTCAGACGCGCGCGACCACTGCGCAAACGAGCGCACATTCCTCTCCTGGCTTCGCCTCTCCATGTACCTGGGCATCGTGTCCATCGCACTCATAATCTCCTTCCACTTCCAGTCGCGGCCGTCGGCGCTGGAGCGCCGCATGGCGCTGCCCATGGGGATCATCTTTTGGGTGCTGGCTCTGGTTTCGCTGGTGAATGGGTTGGCGAATTATATCATTACGGTTAAGAAGTATAGCCGGAAGGCGGCCCTGGTGCAGAGTGGGTGGAGGACGCAGGTGACGTTTGTGGTTGTGGGAGGGGTCATTTTGGGGAGTTGTATTGTTTTGCTTGTTACGGATGCGCATCGGTCCTGAGGTGATACATTGATGTTGGGATAATGGGAATTGAGGAGTCTGTGCTCCTTGATATGGACATTCTGGGCAAGATAGAGCCAGCTGAATATAATATAATATAATATGCATATGCTTGATTGAATGCTTGAACATGTCCGAAATAACCAAAATGGTTTTCGCCAATGCAGGTTTCATGGAAATACCGCTGCTATAAGGTATCATTATTAAATCTATAACTCCGTCTTCTTATTCTTCTTCTTCTTAATCTCCCCTTACATGCGACGAATTTGCGTCTCGCCCTTGTACTGCTCCAGCGAGGGGGAACCCAGGTGGCCCCACCACTCAAACAGCATCGTATCGCAAATGAGCTTGAACCACGGCGTGAACTTTAGATCGGGCTGCTTGAACATCTCCTTCAGGTCGTCGGCGGACACGTACCGCGTGTCGCGGGCTTCGTTGGGGTTCACGTCGAGATCGACGTCGGCTTCGATGAAGAGGATATAATCAACTATCGAGAGAAAATGAACCAGTCAGTCACCGCTATTCCCATCCCGACAAGGAAAAGTTAAAAACCTACTCTCATGCTCCCCCCACTTCCCATCACTCGGCGCCTTATAATGAATTCTTGTAAAGAACTCAAATTTCTCAATGGGCACCTGCTCCGGCTTGATCCCCAATTCGTGGTTCAACTTCCGCTGCGCGGCGCGCTTCACGCCGAGGATCGCTGCGTCGAGCTGAGACCCCGTCTCGCCGGGGATGCCCAGCGGGTGCGAGCAGCAGGTATTCGTCCACATGTCCGGGAACGTGATCTTCTCGGAGGCGCGCTGTTGCAGGAGGAGGCGCTTTTGCGAGTCGAAGAGGAAGACGGAGAAGGCGCGGTGTAGGAGGCCGCGGTTTATGTTCGTCATTAGGTGGCCTAGAATATTTGAGAGATCGGTTAGCGATTGTCTCCTCTTAAATTCGAGGGGAGGGGAGGGGCTTGGGTGTGAGAGCGGGGGATAGCGAAGCGGGGGGAGGAGGTTCGTACATGTCTTCTTGCTGGCGCTGCCAATGGGCTTGTCATCGTCGTCTAGGACAATGCAGACCTCGTCCATGAGACGGACCTGCTCGTCGTCGTATCCGGCGAGATCACTGCTGCCTGTGACGGATGTAATCGCCGCCGCAGGGAGAACCTCACGGGCAAGCGACGTATCGACATCGGGGAAAAGCGTGGCGACGTTGTCGGCCGTAATTCGTGTGATGGTCTCGGTAGCGCTCATAGTGGGCGAGTGTATAGCGATTGAAGCGCGAAAAAGGGCGGATCCTTTCGAAAAAGCAGGTAGAGTAAACTTCAGCTTTCGCCGCCTCTGAAACTTTATATCGGGAATCGATCGGGGTCGGGGAAGTCGGGCTTGGGGCGATATTTGAACGACCCCCTCTTTGAGCGGTGAGTGCGGGCAGAACGACGAATCGGAGTATTTGCTTTCGCCGATGACAGATTATCGATTCGATGATCTTGCTCTCGAGTCTTCTGACCAAAAGAGAATCTCAGGGCGAGGCAATTGGTTCGTGGTTGGTTGCTCGGGAACCGGGCTGGAATGCGTTTCCTTTTTCTGACGGTCCCTGTGCGTGGGGAAGACGGCTACGCCAGTAGATCTGAGCACGGAGGATTGGTGGTACTCATTCAACGCTACAATAGATATTGACGAACGTTCGCTCCGATATTCGGTGGATTGATGGTTTAGAAGGTCTGATTAGCAAGGGATGAATGTTGATTGTTTGCTACACTCTCAACCTCGAAAGTGGCGATCGCGTTCTGTCCTCAAGGCTCGGCAGTGGGGTACTGATGTCCGTGCAGAAGTATATATTTCTATGGAACAAAGAACGAGAACAAGAACGCAAACGACAAAAGCCATACCAAACATGATCTTCAAACTCAAAAGCTTCGACAAGTCAGCGCCAGTAATACCACATGGTCCTGCCATGTGGTCCTCCCACGGTCTATAACCCGCATGGTATGCTTGATTCAAAGGCAAATAACGACTGTTGAACAGCCCAACCACGATAGTAGGCTGATACAAAACTCAAGCAATGCAGATGCAATCAAGCAAAAAGCCTCCCTAGCTCATGAAACACGTTGCCAGTTCCGGTCAGTTGTACAATGCTAGCCTTCGTCTAAGGATAGCGGAGAGTGCTCCTTCAAAGTGTGGATATGTGGTGTCCTGCATGAATCGGCTCAGGTGGAGCTCTTAGGTACGGCTACTCGTTTTGCGTGACGACCCGCTGGATTTTCTCTTAGGGGTACTGAATTCGACGGGCGATCTCCGGCATCCGTCTGCCACATGGCTGTAGAAGACTGACGTTAGCAATATACCCTCAAGGGCGCAGTGGAAACAACAACATACCGTGCGAGTGTATCGTGTCTGCTGAAACGGTAGCCGCATTGATCGCACCCGAATCTGCGAATCCCTCGATGAACCTATTCAATCATTAGCAACGATCAGAAGTGAGCTGGGGGGAACACCCTAATACATACACTGTCAATATGCCTCTTGAGGTCGGTCCTTCTTCCAAGGGTCTTTCCACAGTCCTCGCACGGGTATAGCTTTCTGCTGCTCGGGTCGTGCTTTTTCATGTGTTCCCGACAGTTAGACCGGCGCGTGAATTCGGCGCCGCACACGGTACACGTAAGGCCACTGGCAGGTGGAATCTTCAGTTGTCCTCGGTTCGGCAAAGAGACACCTTTCAGAGCAATTTCAAAGGTAATCTCTGAAGGGGGCGCTGAAAGCTCTGCTGTCGAGTCACGGCCAACTTCCAGCTCAGCCGATGCTCGAATATCAGCTCTCATTTCCCCGAAGCCCTCCAGTCTCATAGGCGTGTCATTGGTCCCGAGTTGTACGTCAGGCGCAGGTATTGGCATAGACGGCTTCGTGCATTCCTGATATGATCCGTCTCGGTATTCCATGTTCGGCTCTTCCTTCACTTGGACATCAGGCTCTGAACGCGGGGTACCCGGCCAAAAATTGTACGTATGCATGGTCGTCATATCATGTCCTGTCCCGTAGTCCATATCATGTCCTGTCCCGTAGTCTAAGTCTGGTCCGCGACTCGGTGAAGCACTCATCGTTTGTGGGCCGCAATAGCTGAGAGGCGAGGCAGAGGTCTCAGAGCCTGAATACGGGTCGTAAAACGTCGCGGGTGAAAGATGAGTAGTGTTAAGCGAACATCGATATGGCAAGGTTACCGGCATCATTTGGCCAAGCCAATCCGCCGAATCATGCTCTGATGGCTGATACTGTCTCATGTGGTCGCCACCGAGGCCCATGTCACAATATGATATCCCCAACCCTGTGTCTATTGAGGGAAAAGAAAATGCTGGAGCAGAGCGCGAGATAGAGGGATATGCTGGGAGACTTCGCGGCGCCGCATTGTTTGATGATGAGGATGAGGATGGAGGCTGAGAAGAGGGAGATTGAAAAAGTTCAGAAGGGTAATTCATCATTGATGGAGTGAGTTGGAAGGAACCCTGATGGCAGCCGGATAAGATATAGAAGTGACAATGGTAGGATAAGGCACCTTCCACTAGTCCAATGATGGCTCTTCAATGTTGCTCAAGCGATTGTTGTAGTCAGGAAATATGTAGGCGTTCAGTCTTGAAATGACGACGCCTTCGGAGCCGAAATAAAAGAAGAGTAGACCAAGCAGAATGCTTCAGTAAAATAAAGATGCGCGGTTGATAATGGCTTGATCAATTCGTCAGGAACAGATCATTCGATGATTGGAAGGGCCCTTTTCAGGCGGAAGGAGTGAAGAGTGCTTATAGGCAACGGCCTCGACACCCTGCCTAGCAAGGCAGAATTCGAGGGGTGCTGCTGCATGTGTGTATGAAAAGAAACAGGGAAGAGAAGCCGGTGTGTCATGGCTTGCTAGGAGGCGGAAGAGAAGGGGGGGGGTGTGTGAAGAGAGCGAGGGTACCTAGGTGCTGCTGTGCAGGGCCGGACCGAATTGATTACAACCAAGTCTTCTAGACGGAGATAGGCGCGGCATTTTAGAGACGTGAACAAGGAATTAGCGCCAAAATGATGTGACCCGGCCAGCTTCCATCAATCAGTGATGGCTTCGACAGAGGGGGGTTGCATAGGCTGATGAAATGACTGGAGAAGCGGTCACTACTGCAGCCAAACGATTTTGTCCGAAACGACAGGGCCCCAAACATGGGTCGAGAGACGAGGAATAAGCGCTGCCAGCGAGGCGGCGAGGATCACTCAGGGATCGTGGTCGAAATGATGCGAAAGGAAGATGCAGCCAGGTCCACGGGGAGGGGGGAGGGCCTCGAATCACACTGGAAGGCACGGAACAGGCACAGCGGCCGCAGGAGAATCGCTGAGGACGCCTGGCATCTCCGATCGCCGCTCGCTGGGGTGAGCAGCAACGCAGAAATTTGTTTCTTTCTCTTGTTGAATCAGGCATAGTGAGGACCCGACAGTCTGGTTCCTAGCTTGGCAGAAATATGCACTTGGGCAGTGCGTGTCGCCAGGTATGATTGGCAAACACAGCCGCAGCATCCGAGAGCCGGAGGGGTATCGCGAAACACTGAGCTGAAGATTTGCACAAGGCGTTATCGAGGCTGTTTTGTCGAGGGTCTGGATGGAGAGTGATGGAGGAGGGTTGGAAGAAGGTTGGAGAGCGGAGGCACGGAAGTTGGGTGGTCGTAGGCGAAAGAGGGGGATCTCTGCCCAGGCGAACTGTGCAGATGCGAAGCGCCAGGACAATAATTGATCGCCATACAATCTGATTTGTTCGAGAACTACTGCATAAAGCAAAGAAGTATTGTTGCTTATTATTTTCTTTCTTCAGTTGGCTCTCCCGTTCATACTATTGGTCTTACCCCAGAGGTTGCACAACACAACTCTGACATTTTTCGTCCAAATTTTGGCAACCAGAAGGAGGCAATCCTGGCACTAAACTGAGGCTAATATTTGCTACTTGTACATTGCTCAATTGTACATGCCGCTGGCCGACGTTGAAGATCGCAATGGGCGAGGGAAAGCGGGTCAGAGAGGAGGACTACATATGCATCTACAGATCGATGAAGAGAAAGGTAACGTGGCATAGGTCCTCCTCCTCTTTGACATCTACCGGGCATTTTACCCACATTCAAATCTAGTCGAACTAATCCGCAAGCTTCCACACTAGGGCCTCTAGTGGTGTTGAACCTTGCAGGTGACGGGTGCGTGGGAATACGGATCAGGGTAAGTTCTTGGTACTTCGTCCACGAAGCACTCTGAGCATGATTCGCTCCCCAGGCGCTCTTCGAACCTCCTCACGGTAGTCCATCACTGACGATTGCGATGGTGAACTCCCACCGCAGCCGCCACCCTTTCCACTTGCACGCGCAGCCGTTCCATATCCTCGAGCATACTCGCAACGTTGACATCTTGTCCCGACTGCTGTGGGCTGTCAGTATACCTCGCAGGTGTAGGAGTAGCTTGGCCATTTGTATTGATATTAGATGCCACACGCATCGCATGGTGCCCAGAATGCCCCGAGCGAGATTGGATGATTGAGGTTGGGTGGCTTAATTCCCGGGGCGTCATTCGTGACCCAGATTGCTTCCTCTGCGACGATAAGAGGCGCCGACCTGATTCGTAAGCCCAAAGCAACGCGACGCACGGAAGGTGTGTTGCCCTAAGAAGAACGATGCGCACTCGTCGAATATCCTCTGCCGATAGAAACAGCCTCATAGGGCGGATACAGAGTAGAGGGATCAGGTTCTGTGGAACCGACGGTGTCCCTGGTTAGTGCCATCGTCTAGAGGAGGACCATCACAAGGTACAGGCGTCGCACACTCACCAATGGCGGCAAAAAGTACGTCAACCTCTTCGATGTGCTACTCTCCAAAACGTAGATGGCAAGCCTATCCCGATTGGTCAGTGGCTGCGATCATGGCCCATTATAAAGTTTTGTTACTGACTGAAAAAGATACTCTTCTCGGGCATGAGACATCACCTAGAATATGGCAAGGATCAGCATCACAATCCGTTTTGGAGACAGTAGGAGAACCTACACCCTCTAAGCTCATGCTCATCAAACTGACCAGTGACGAAATCAGTAGCAGACTTGTCACCGACACAAAAACAAGCCTAAGACATCCGTATCAGCCTGCGAACACCCGAACACGAGGCGAACCTCTCCCTCGTGGTCAAGCGGGTAGACAAGGCCTGCGATTTGCACCGCCCCTAGTGCCGGCGCCAAAATTCAAGACATCAGACGTTCAATAACAGAATGAGCAGAGAAAAGCAAAGAAGAAAAAAGAATATCCAGGTGAAGAATCGAAACGTGACAAAAGGTGTATGCTGGGGCTTCGGGGAGCGTTCCATGTTCTGTGGCGCAGCTTCTAGATTGGCTTGAGGGGGAACTCACATTAAACCACATCCAAAGATCGGGGAAATCTAAAATTTAGCGCGTCAGTCAACTAAACGCCAGAGCCAACCATTTTGGCCAGAAAGCCTGATTCCAAATTTCACTGCATGACAGACGCCGAGCGTGTCGCACTTACATCCGAGCAAATGTCCTGTGAGCCAACCAATTCAGCCACATCAGTAAACGCAGATCTGCCTTTGATTTCAGGTGTGACGCACGAATCCCAAGTAATTCGATCTGCCTCGCGTGGCTAATCAGCAAAGCGGTCAAAATTGATGGATCTTCACCGACTTACCCAAAGAACACATTGACCAAAATCCATGACATTTTCTTCGAAGAAAGTCGGTCACGAGCGAGCATGGTGAACGTAGTCAAGAACCCTAGATTCCAGCTGTCAATCTACTTTCGATAAGCCACATTAGGGTCTGTAGCGACCCACTTACCCAAGTACAAGATGATGATCACCGGCGTGAAGCGAAAGAAAGCTTTAGTCTAGACCATTCGAGTCAGCCTTAGCGCCTAATGGGGAGATTTGCCCTGTTACCATTTCTTTGAGGACAGGAATCTATCGCCGACGGACTTTGTCAGTACTAATTCCGCGACTTGCATTTGTGGCCGTGACCTACCAGACTCCCAAAATATGGGTTTAGGCTCACGAGGGAGAATATCCTGTTGCAAATGTCTCATCAGCAAAGCACTACGGGCGCTCAGTTTCCACATACCTAGGAACAAGGAACAGTGCCTCCAAAGATAGTACATCGAATGACAAGTCAATGATGTAACTATCCTGGTTGGTCAGGCCGACGATTCCTGCAGCGTTCAGTAAGTAACCACAAAGGTATCGATTTTCGCGTTCGCTCCTGGAGTCCCGGGTACAGTCCTTCGGGGAAAGCCGCACTTCGTTACGGATGCGAAAGATAGCCAGACTTACTTGTGATAACAAAGACCAGACCAGTTCCTATGATACATAGGTCCCAAAGATTCCAGAATGTCATTTGATAAAAGAGCATCCCTGAGTCAACGAAGCCGCTTAGTTCATCATACGCAAACGCAGCAATCCAGACATACAGAAGGGCTTCAAAGCCTCCTACTCTCGTCGGGTTCCTTTCGATAAGCACTGCATAGTAGAGAATAAGGAAGGAGACGAAGAAGGCAGCCTCAAAAGCCTTCCTATACACTGGCACCCTTAACCGTGAGTAGGGATCTGCTGTTCTGGATGGTGTCAGTATGGTACTCTTCGTTCCAAACTAGGCGACTCAGGGAAACGTACCTCTTATTGAAGAATTGAGGTTTCTTGGTCGAATGTACGCTCAGTGAGTCCCAGAAGACAATCTCGCCATTCCAGAGATCGTCTACCACCTTTTGAACAACTCTTTGGCTTAGAAATTTCTTTGCATGGGCAATAGTCGCAATTTCCAGAGCATTGAGCCCAATGAACATGAAGAACTCTTCACCAGCATCTTCATAGTGAATTCCGTTTTCGGAATCGTGTTGGCCGCTTCCATAGGAACTCACACGCCGTCTGTTGCTCCCAAAATCATGAGATTTAAAAGAGGCACCTGACAATAGAGGAGTGCTCTCATTTCCCTCAGCATTTCGAAAAGCTGCAAGGCTAGACTCGCCAGCTTCGGCTTGATCTACACTAGTCGACTGTTGAGGCGATACCCTAAGTTCCTCGAGCAGATACTCAATCAAGTCGCGTTGATTGAGGTGGCATAGAAACTGCCAGGCAATGTACTCGCACACATAGCCTCGAGTTTCATCAAAGCCACCATCATGTTCAGCTGCCTTGTCAAACTTCCACTTCAAGATCCTGGAAAAAATGAACCGAAGAACTTGGTCAGACTCAAGAAACTTGGGCAGCTTACATCAATGCGGATACAATACATGGGTTATGCGAGTTCTCTGCCAGAGAGTTGACCAGCATCCGGAGGCGAGGATTCGGCGCGGATTTTATCTCCTCGAATGTATACCAGACCTCAAAGACCGATGAAGTCAGAAAGCTGTAACAGATTGTGTTAGAGATGGCTTTTACTGGCAGTCCAGTGATCTTTGGAGCATTACTTGTTCAGTTTGAGGACCACATCAAAGAGCGGCTCATTGTCGTCAATGATCGGAATGTCAAGATATTCATGTTCCATTGGCGGAGGCAGCGATGAAGTAGAGTCTCGCCTCATGATGCGAACCAGAGTACCCCACGGTCAGACGTCGGAGAAAGCGAGATTTGTGAATTCCGGGAAGTAATTTCAATTACTAGAATTCAAGCAAAACCCGTTGAGCTTCATGCGCAGAGAGGCATCAGTTCAGAGGCGCGGGACTCAGGTTTGCAGTATTTATGGTCTGGCTGCGGATTAGACTACTATAGATAGCATCCTCAGGAGGTGGGAATGGCTTACGTGCAGGGAGGAGGAAGCGTGATTGTCGATTGTGTCATGGTCTTGCGCAGACTGACGAGACTGTTGAAGCTCCTCCCGGGAGTGACTATCGGCCCATTCCACGATATCTTTTTCGATTCCTTTAAAATATGACGAAAGAAGCATGCAGTTGAGAAATGAAACATTGGATGTTGTTTGGCCAGGAGCAGGAGAGCATGCCTTCACCGCCTTGGTGTCATGTGACAGTGACCGTCAGCCGCCCCTCTACGCGTCGTCCTCCACTCATGATCTCCGATCGTGCAGCTCTGTTGTCGGAGAGCTTGCAGAATAGTTTGACGGCTTCATGTAAGCGGAGCCCTATACTCATGCAGTATACTTCTCTATCGTGACTTTAAACCCCCATGAAATGAAGCCGTCTTCATTATGGGTCAAGGCTATTCCCTCACGACCCTTTCGGTGGGCTCGGCGGGGATCGATATCCCGGAGCTATCAGACCTGACATATGAGAAGTCCATGGGCGGCGGCAGGTTCATGAAAAGCATTCGAGCGAGGCAAAAAAATGGCCTGGTCGTTGTAAAGGTAATAATGAAGCCGTATGCCAGTATGAAACTGGAGCCATACGTCAGAGCCATCATTCGTACGTTTTATCGTTGCTACCTATCAGATTGAACACGCTAATACTCCGGTGTAGGCGAACGCAAGCTATTATCGGATGTTCCGAACGCACTTGGTTCCCAGCGAATACTTGAAACGAGTACTGGTGGGTATCTCGTCCGCCAATACATCCACAGTTCGCTGTATGATCGGATGAGGTACACACAAATAGTTTGGACCACTATAAGACAACGATGCTAACCGACATAGTACTCGGCCCTTTCCGGAAAATATCGAAAAGAAATGGATTGCTTTTCAACTGCTCTGTGCTCTCCGGGATTGCCACGCGCTGGACGTGTTCCATGGCGATATCAAGACAGAGAATGTCTTAGTCACCTCCTGGAATTGGGTGTATCTCTCTGATTTCTCCTCTTCGTTCAAACCTACTTTTCTTCCAGAGGACAACCCTGCCGACTTCTCATTTTACTTTGATACATCAGGGCGACGAACCTGCTACCTCGCCCCGGAAAGATTCCTCGTGGCGGGAGAAGAACCGGGCAGCAGGAACGTGAATTGGGCTATGGATATATTCAGCGCTGGCTGTGTTATTGCAGAGCTATTCCTAGAAGCGCCTATCTTCAACCTGAGCCAAATCTACAAGTATCGGAAAGGAGAATACAGTCCCGAACACAGTCAGATAGCGAAGATCGAGGATCCTGAAATCCGTGCCTTGATCCTTCACATGATCCAGCTTGATCCGGAAGCAAGATACTCAGCTGAGGAATACCTGAACTTTTGGAAGATCAAGGCATTCCCCGAATACTTTTACAGTTTCCTGCACCAGTACATGTCGCTTATGACCGACCCATCCTCCGGGAGAACCCAGGTGGAAGCCGGCTCAGCAAATCGAGGAGAGGCCGACGACAGGATAGCGAGGGTATTCCTTGATTTCGATAAAATATCCTATTTTCTAGGCGCAACTCCCAAAGCCGGCAAAGATGGCTCTGCTTGCACAACATCTAGGCTTACAAGCGGTACTTTCCCCGTTGAACTGGACTTGCCACGCTACGAATACCAGAGTTCGAAGGCTCAAGCGCCAGTTGACGATGGCGTGCTGATCTTCTTAACCCTCGTCGTCTCTAGTCTCCGCAATACCTCTAAATCGTCCGCCCGGATTAGGGCTTGCGACGTTCTTCTTGCCTTTGCCGAGAGATTATCCGACGAGGCCAAGTTGGATCGCATTCTCCCGTACATCATGGTTCTTCTAAACGACAAGACAGATGCTGTCAAAATTGCTGCAATGCGCGCTCTCGCACGATTACTAGAGATGGTCCAGGTTGTGTCACCTCTCAATGCACACTTGTATCCGGAATACCTTTTTCCGAGAATGCAGCCGTTCATCTCTAGCTCGAACTCCAGCCCCAGCCCGTCAGTTCGCGCTGCTTATGCATCGTGCATCGCATCATTAGCGCTGTCGTCTCTCAGGTTCTTGGATATGATTCAGGCCCTGCGCTCTGATACGCGCCTATCTACCCTGATACCTGCGGGCTCTGAGCCAAGATGGACTGAAGATGCTACCTATCACAATCTTTACGACGTCGCGAGGCTAGATCTTCTCGATTACTTCGAAGCCCATACGAAGGCACTGCTGACGGACACAGATGCGTCTGTACGTCGCGCATTTCTTGGGTCGGTGTCCAGCCTTTGTGCATTCTTTGGAAATTTAAAAACCAACGAAGTTATATTGAGTCACCTCAATACATATCTAAATGATCGAGACTGGATCCTCAAGTGCGCTTTCTTTGAGGCCGTGGTGGGTGTTGCTGCCTACGTTGGAAGTACGAGTCTGGAACAGTACATCCTCCCACTGATGGTGCAGTCGATGACAGACCCGGAAGAGTTTGTCGTCGAGAGGGTCATCAGGTCGCTTGCGGCTATGGCTGATCTTGGTCTTTTCCAGAGATCAACCACCTGGGACCTCTTGCATACCACAGTGCGTTTCCTAATACATCCAAACGTCTGGATCCGAGAGGCATCTGTCACCTTCGTTGTCAACTCCACGAAATTTTTGTCCCCGGCTGATAAGTATTCTATCCTTACACCCCTCGTGCGTCCCTTCTTGAAGGTGAATATATTGAACTTTACCGAGGGAGACATGCTCGAAGCTCTCAAATCTCCGCTCCCGAAAGCTGTGTATGATTTAGCATTTGTGTGGGTTTCGAAGACGGAGAAGGGCCTCTTTTGGAAATCCATCAATCGAGACGGCGCTTCGGCCCTAGGTGCTAATGACGGCCTGCTTCCGAAGAGAAGCCAACGAGCTTATTCTCTGAGCGCCCAGCCTAAGAACGAAGAGGACGAACAATGGATTACCAGGTTGCGAAATATTGGTATGGGAACAGAGGACGAGTCCAAGTTTCTCGCTCTTGGGGAGTATATCTGGAGAGTCTCAACACGCCAAACAAAAGATAGTGAGGCCGCCGTGTATCCCTTGAATAATGTCGTCGCCCTGAACGACTATGGGGTCACACCTCAGACCGTGTTCTTTGATAAGAATCAAAACGTCAAGCCACGGAGGAATTCGCTTGGGAATATCCAAACTCACCGGGCGGAAGATCGCACGACACATACTATTACTGACGCATTACTCGATGCGTCGACCACAATTGACAACACTCCAAACTCTCGCCGCCGACATCCACGCACAAGAAGCAATGTGCCAAAGGATATCGGGGTCGCAGTGGCTACTCCTCGGCAAAATGCCATAGACGTGCTCCGTGCCGAAAACTCACCCAGCTCTTCACCGTTGGCATCATCGCCGAGTGCAGCTCCAGGATCTCGACCAATGTCACCGCCAAGCTCAGATGCTGAACGCAGAGCACATGAGAGTAGACAGAGCCCGGGGCAAGAGAGCTCGTCAAACGAGACAGAAACCCTTGGCGTGAAACGATTGATGGCTGGAGTCCAGAAGAAGCCAAGCGCTATAAGTTTACTCAGTCGAAGGGATACGGCAAAAGCATTCGCGGAAACGGGCACGAGCTCAGCCAATGCATTTGGACGGATCGGTGCTCCGGCTCAGCAGGATGCTATTGAGCCGTCTACCTCGCCCGCTCCCCGAGAAAGAAAGCCACATGATTACCCGCTGCAACACCGCGCTAATCATTCTTACGCCGGTGATGACCCTATGATTCTCAAACTACTAGACTCTGTTTTCGCAGAGAATTATCCAACAGACTTCTTCGATCTCGGGCCGTATGTCAAAGAAGTGGATAATCGACGGCCAATCGTGAAGGCAAATGATCGCGATGCCAACAACGTCTGGAAACCGATAGGAGGCCTAGTTGCCCTATTCGGTGAGCATAGCGGCCCTGTAAACCGGGTAGTTGTAGCCCCAGATCATTCATTCTTCGTTACGGGCTCCGACGACGGGACCGTCAAGATCTGGGACACTACCCGGCTTGAGAAGAACCTCACCCCTCGGTCTCGCCAGACTTACCGCCACTCTTCCGAAGCCAAGGTCAAAGCATTGACTTTTATCGAAAATACGCATACATTCGTCAGCGGTGCGACCGATGGTAGTATTCACGCGGTCAAGGTTGATTATCACAATTCCAGCGGCACAGTACGGTACGGAAAGCTCCAGTTAGTACGGGAATATCAGCTATCAACGGCCGATGACGGGACCGTTGAACATGCCATTTGGTTAGAGCACTTTCGAGTCGACGCCCAGTCAACGCTGCTCATCGCGACAACCATGTGTCGAATCATTGCTCTGGACATGAAGACCATGCTTCCGCTCTACACACTCCAGAACCCAATCCATCACGGAACCCCTACGACATTCTGCTGCGACCGTAAGCACAACTGGCTCCTTGTTGGTACGACACACGGCATCCTCAATCTCTGGGATCTTAGATTCCAGGTCCGGCTGAAAGCTTGGGGTCTTCCAGGCTCGGGCCCTATCCACCGACTACAAGTACATCCAACCAAGGGCCGTGGACGATGGGTATGCGTGTCCGGGAGCGGCAGCCACGGAAACGAAATCACCGTCTGGGACATTGAAAAGGTCAAGTGCCGAGAGGTATATCGAGCAGACACCCCGGGACCCACCCCTTCCGCCAACGGCGCCTCCGAAACCCACCGACTGAAGCAAGCCCATCTAAGCACAAAGGAATACGAAGCCTGGCACGTAGAAGGCGACCGTCCCGAGGGCATGCTCAGCCGCTTCGCAACAGACGGCCCCTCATCCGTCGAACATCCCTCGGGCCCCTCGCCCACAGCCACCCCATCCGGAATCTGCACCTTCGCCGTCGGCTTCGACTCGCCGGACGACGGACGAGACAACACCACCCGCTGCGGCTTTATCATCTCCGGCGGCTGCGACCGCAAGATCCGATTCTGGGACCTCGCGCGCCCAGAGCTTTCATCTATCGTCAGCGGGCTCGATCCCGTCACTGATGGGGTTGCGACGCCGACACCCCGCTACGATCTGTCACAGCCCAGTCCGTCTCTCCTCGTGACGACCGAACACCTCCCCAGCGCAGCTGCGACCACCAGCGGCTCAAAGGGTGCGGGGAAGAGAGGTGGTGGGAGCGGCCGGTTACCGCGGAGCACGGTCATTAGTCTCCAGCAGCAACAGCTCCTGAAAAGCCACTTGGACTTTATTCAGGATATCGCGGTCCTGCGGGTTCCGTATGGCATGGTTATCAGCGTTGATCGGGCGGGCATGGTTTATGTTTTCCAGTAATCTCGAGGACTAAGAAGTTATAGAGCAGTAAGGTAGTCATGTACCAACAAATATGACATATTTCAAGAAACAGCGGATCAAACAAAGTCTCACAATCGAATCTATTCTCCCCGTCTCCTCAACACAGTCACCTGCACAGCCAACAAAAGCTCCGATTGCGCCATATGCCTTAACTTATGCCGCAGGGAGGGGTTCTATTTACCAAAACAAAGGGCATCTTACTTGATATTGGGCTTGTGGCTTCGTGGTATCATTACTGGATCAATCAGGAGGTCCCGGGTTTATCCCCGGCGAGTCCATTTTTGTCCATTGTTGGGGCTTTTCTCGTTGTTGTTGTTGTTGCTGCTGGGACCCGCCACGCGGCGGTTCTCATCAGCTGCCAAGCCTTTTTGTGTATGTGCATCATCGCTTTATGGTTTGACTAATTAATGGTGAGGTTGGGTTTTTTTTCGCGATATTTACACTCAACAGAGTAGTATTATGTCGAATTCCTACGCTGTTGGGAGGCTTGGTTGTTTGCTGAGTGCGATCTATACATAGTAGACGCCGGAGTCGACGATATATATCACCACCACACTTCAACCGAGAGAACGTGGAAGCGAACAACACAACATAGCATGGGATATGGTATTAAGAGTGGGCATCATGACATGGCAATTGACTCTACTCGGAGTTGCTCGAACCACAAAGTATGGATTGCTCGCATATGGGGTATAGCCAAGCCAGCTACTACAACGGCTCCAACCATGATAGTTGTACTGATACTCCCACGTACTAGTGACAATGTAGAGGATCTTGCGCGGAGGATTCAAGGAGATACACCAATAGGACTACTTTGACTTTGTGCACACGCGCCGACTTTTGAGGAACGCTTCTCTCACCCAGCTTCCGGAGACAAGATGGGTGAGAGAAGCGTTCAAGGATTTGAGCCAGGATAGAATGTATATCGTGCTGGGAGACTCATGGATGAACACCAGTGTCGACTGCCGATATTATCCAGGGCCCAAGGTCAACGATTCGGATGAAGAGAGGCCACAAAGAGTGAGTGGCGGCTGGCCAGCATCGGTGTATATACCCCGCAGGAATATGACAGGTACGATGACCGATCGTCCGAGCGGCTTTACGGAGTATGTATACATAGCTGCATATCGAGCTTGTTTCCTCAGGATAACGCCTTCTTGGAAGCGATCTTGGTCACGGCGCTACAGACGGCAATCTCAGTGGGAATTGGAACACAACGTACTGGACGTCGGTTCGGTGTAGATACTTTTGAGAATTTGCAGTGGCGATTTCTGAGGTTGCGACGGAGGCAAATTGTTTGGCCCCGTCAGATGGAGTTGGGGGTTCCTACGTGAAGTCGTGCGTCTTCACGGGCGATAGCCACTCGATTTAAGGGTGAATCAGGACTCTCAAGCAGCCAAATATGGCGGAAAAGGTTCGCGAACTGGTTCAAGGACAGCCCGTGCTTCATTTATTGACATGAAGTGACACAAAGTCATGCTTGAGTTCTCGTCGAGGACCGTCGAGCAGCGAGGCAAGCGATCAAGTTTGAACTTTTGGAGATGCTGAGATGGGGCAGTTGAGATTCTGGACCCGCAGTTTGCCAGTTGTGAAACGCTAGGCCCGCGGAAAATTGTGGACAGGCCACCGATCGACGGGAAAACCAACTTGTGAGCAGTTGCAGCGGTGGGAATGTGGGTTTTTTGTATCCTCCGACGGCGAAGGAACAATCTAAGGGATTCAGGAGAATCTTGAACCCAACTGTCACAGGATCCGATATGCATGTCAATTATTATCTTTCAACGTAGCCTTGTTGGAAATTCTGCTGGATTTATAGGTTTTGTTGCTTCAATCTTGTAACCATTGAATCCGACCGCTTGGAAACAAGTACCACAGCGACTCGAGCCCAGATTGGGATGCCTGGCCCTGTGCTGGAGATGCCAATATAACCAACCAATATAACCTGTAGTAAGGGGATTGCTCGGAATGTGTCATCCCCGGCCCGTTACACAGCGTCACCGCGATGTCTCAGTGCGGGAGCGAGCTAAGATTCGTGCAAACGGCGCAAGATCAGAGTCGACGTTGTGTCTAGCGATTCCGCAACGGGAGGGCCGAGAATCGATGGCGGTTATCTCGAGGATCTCTCAGACACTGATTAAGTTTGGAACCTGTCAAAAGCCAAAAATTGAGACGTGGGATGGAACAATCTCGTGCCGGCAATTGCGTTTCGAAATTTGGTACGGTCGGCGACGGAGACTCGGATCTGAACCAACAAGCCAAAATTAAGGTAGATTCTCCTCCCCGTGGCTGAACCGTGGGAGATGCTTCTTGGGTGGCAACTTGCGAGCTGTTGCTCAGTTTCTGCTCGCTGATTGCACGCCAAACGATCAATTCAAGATACATGGAGACAACTGGTGTGATAACTCGAAGCCAAATTCAAGATGAACTGGTGGTGAGCAATCGAGAGCTTCCCTTTGCTCATCCTGGCGAGTGATCGACTAGCGTGCCTGGCACTGTGACTCTGTTACTGCAGCTGTTGAAGCTTCCCAAGGAATCAGAATCAAGAATGATCCATCGCTTCTCTCCGAAGGATCAATGATCCTGGAGTCGTGCATCACGGACTCAGCGTCCCTGAAGGCTGAAGGCTGGCTCGATGCATGGCCTCTCTGTCTTCAGTGGAGATGTTGGAGTCAAGCAAACGCTTCAATTGAGCTCGTTTGATGAATTGGAGAAGCGACTGCTAATTTATTTATTCTCCGAGCTGGAGGAAAGAGCAGCCTGGAAAATTGGCATGGCAGCATAAGAGCCTTGTTGTTTAAGGTTTTACATCGATGTATTTATCTTTGACTTTCGAGTCTCAGCGCGCAACGCTGTCGATGAAGCTTAGATCTATCATCAACCACGAATTGACCAAGACAACTTGTCTCGCATGCGTCGAATGCACCGTCTCTCTAGGTCAGTCAATATCATCTGGAACTGCACCAGGATGCATAGCTTATATATCGTCTGGCTTCACAAATGAGCTGGCCACTCGCCCGTTGGTAAATAATGATCATCGTCTTAGTCAAGTCGGCGTTGTTCGCAGCAGCTCCTTCATCTCCCCGGTTTCAGATTCTGAGGGCCAGCGGAAGGAAATTGGAAAATGGCAGAAGTGCCCCTGATAAGCTTGGACTTTGAGTGTCAAGGCACTTGGGCTGGCAGTTCTCCTGACTACTCGAGTAGCTCGCGGGCTAAAGGTTAGTTAGTGCTGGGCGATTTGTCATTTTTGGTCAATTCTCGTGGGGATCGATCCCGCCTCGCGTGGGCTGCCCGTGATTCCGTGAAACAACCAGAATGGTGGAAGTAGGACCAGGTTTCCCCCACAAAGAATTAAATGCGGCAGAGCAGTGTGACATTGTCGCTCCAAGTCTGCAAGGATCATATCGCTGTGGTTGGAGGATCCAGAATTCCTAATATTTAAACTCTGGCCAGCAGGGCAGCTCGTCCCGTGTGCAAGAGACGGTCCCTGACTAGCAGAGGCGACTGGCGCAGGAACGAACAAACGACTCCGCAGCTAGGCCAGTCTGGTCTTGGGGCAATAATAATACGTATTATGCTGATAATAGCAATTATTTTAATTATCCCATATTAATATCCGAGCCCCTTAGAGCCTGCTCTGGAGCCGTCGCCTAACCTGTTCACGGGCAAGATTGACTCCCTGGTCTTCTGGTCTTCTGTGCTTCTGCGCAGTGCTTCTCCCCCTGTTCACAGTTCTCGGCTGCTCTCCGCCCCCTCTTCACCATTCACCTCCTCTTCCTTACCTCTCTCTCTCCCCTTTCCGACAACCACTCTCCGTCAATCCATTTCTCGACGGCGGACAAAGTGAGGCCTTCTTCCTTGCTTGCACTCCTCTTGCGCATTCCCTCGTTTTCGACGTGCTCGCGGATTTGGGAGATGCCAGTCGCCTCGATTCGCGATCTGTAGCCCGTCGCTGACAGCCATTCATCCTCCGACATTCTCTTTGGCTGCACGGCTCCCTTCCTCGCCGTCTAGACCTTCGTTTCTCCCGTCACTCACTCCCTTTTACCCTCAGCAGTGCTGCCCCTCCTGGTTAGGTATTGTCTACTCCGGCAATATCTCGATTCGGCTCGACAATCTTGCGCAACAGCGGATCGAAACCGAAACAAAAGGGACCGATCCCTCGTACTACCCGAGACAGTTTTCCCCTGAACATATATATTCTTCACAGTCGCAAAAATGGCTCCGTCTCTGAGAGACCACTCTTCTTTTGTCCGCCCGTCCACGCGCGACCGCCCATCGACTCGCGACCAAGGGGAAAATTCGCTGGTCGTTCCTAGTCGCACCTCCTCGCTACACTCTCGCATCACACAGCCGATTCCCTCGCAAGTCAACCTAAAACCGACGCAACGGACACCGAAGACACTCACTCATGCGTATATGGTATGTGGTGTGGGCCGGGAGCCGTCCCAATGGGTAAAGGCACCTGGGCCATCACAGGGCAAGATCGGTCATATGAAGGGTGCGGTGGGACAATTTTGGTTGCCGGAAATCTTGGGAAGCAGTCCTCGCTTGGAGCAGGACAATGAGATTGCAAAGGCGTTGCATTCAGCAATGAGGGTGCGTACCAATCCGATGCTACGGCACGTCTTGAAGACTCAACTAACTTGACCAGGCATGCTTCCCGCACGATGTTGAAATCTGCACAGGCAAGACACAGCCGCACTGTGTGCACCATGCCTTCGTACTCCAGCAAGATTCGTCACATACCCTCTACGGCATTGCGTTAAGAGTCTGGTCTCGAGCAGATGAGAAGCGTGCCGAGACCATCCGCGAATTGCGCAAGAAGACCGAGTCCGATTTCTACGATAACCCCGAGGAGACCTACTGGATTCCCTACTGCTTGAGCTTCCTGTCCCGTTATCCATTGTACGACCTGCTCGGAGATTATCTCCGTGGCATGTGGATCCACTGGAACAAGGCTACTAATCTGTTCCACGCTGAGGAGGTTTCCCGCATTCTCAGCTTCCCGGCGCCCCGCCTCAATGACCTCGTCCGAATCGACATGAAGGATTATGCGCTCTGCTACCAGTTCCCCTCGTCGCCGACCGGATTCCAAAACTTTGCCATGTGGCCGCTATTTACCTGCTTGTCGATTCCCAACATTGTCGGCGTCGTTGAGGCCGCTGTTTCGCCCACGCGACGCATCATTTTTGTCAGTCATTACCCGGCTATGCTCACCATTGCTGCAGAGACCATCCGTTACTGCGTCCGTATTTACGAATGGAGTGGTCTGTACGTGCCGGTGGTGCATGCACGGCACATCAAGGATCTTGTTCAGGAGCCTGGGCCATATATTCTCGGTGTGACAGCCGAGTGCCGAACACTGTTCAACGCGCCATCCGACGCTCTCGTTGTCGATTTGGACCGGAATTTCGTACTCACCTCGAGCCCACCCAACATCTTGAACCCCGGCCAGCGAACGAAGTTTATCAACCGCTTGACACAGGCATTGAACGGTGATGTGTCGCCCTCCGGCGTTCCTAACCACCTTCGCTCTGCTTACGCCGGCGGTAAGCTCATCCCCGCTGGACAGATTATCGTCATGCGTGGTGAGGTCGAAAGCATCGAGGAGCCCAACTGGTGGAACCAGGATGCCGTCATGGGCGTCATGGACCACGTTTGCGAGAAATTGGTTAGTCTCAATCCATGTCTGCTGCTTCTTGGTATACTGACTTTTATAGGGACGCAACACCGGTATGAAGGCCATTTTCGGCGGCTCAGTGAAGAAGCCTCTTATGACCAAGGTGTCGATGCGTCATCTCAATGAGATTGTCCGTGAGCGTAACCAGTACTCAAGAGACGCCATGGAGGCCTGGCAGGACTTTATTAACCTGAAGGGCCGCATGGACACCGAGCTTAGCAAAGTCACCAAGCGTAACAACTTCTTGGTGGAGGAACTCGAGACCTGGAAACAGCAGTTCCTCAAGTTCCAGGCCTTTGCTGAGCAACTCACCAAGGAGACTAGTGAACTCAAGGTCAAGATTGAGAACCACAAGCGCGAGAACCGTCGCCTCAGCGGTCTCATTGACCAACAGAAGGACGATGTCGCTCGCCTTACTCTCCGTCTGTCTGGCACCGAGAAGCAGCGCGATGATGCTCTCGAGGCTCTGGTTCTCCAGCAGGAGATCGCTGAAGAGCTTGAGCGCGAGCGTAAGCGCAACCAGAAGGAACTTTCTGCGCTGCAGCACACCACTGCTTCTCTCACCCGCCAGCGCGACGATGCCCAGCGGGTTGTGTTGCATTTACGTAGCCTGATCAACGGTCAGAGCCACCACATGGAGCACATTGTCCGCTCCATTAGCAGCTCAGCTGAGCTAAGCGACTTGGCTGAACAAGAGGCTGCCGAGGAGGATATGGCTGAGGAGAGTGCGGAAGTTGCAAAGCAAACAAAGGAATCGAAGGCGGATCGCGAATCCTCAAACGGTGTGTCGAACATGAACCCGGAACTAGAACAACACCTGCTGAACATTGGTAAAGGACAACGCCGTCTTGCCCGTCTCAGCATAACTGATGTGGCCGACCGCTACCTGCGGGACAAGACTGATGCCATCTCGGATATTATCCGGAGCATCAGCGAGCAGTGTGCTGCTGCGGTAGAGGGTCTGCAGCTTGCCCAAGACGCAGAGGATGGCGAGTCTGAGAATGGAAAAGCCAGCCACGACGCCCACCTGGGTGACAATCGCGGGGGGCTCTCGACTCCCCGTGCGGGAAGTGAGATGGGTGACAGTGAGAATGGCACCCTTCACCCCGACCACCGGGGCTCAAGCGTTCCTCCCACTCCCGACCTGGTCCACAACCGGTCAAGCACATCGATGTCGATGGTGAGCAGCTCAACGTTCCCAGAGCGGTCCAGCCAGCAGTATGGACCGGGTGAGATCCCCACCCGCATCGTCGAGGATGACGATGAGCATGCTCACGAGACGGATGGTCTTGACGACCAGACCGTGACTGGCACTCTCTCCAAGCAGGCTAGCGAGGACTTTATGCGATCGACTCCTCGACTGGTTTCGTGAATAGACACTACCAATCGATGATGCGACGCTTGATTTCGACGACTTCGACACGACATCTGCTCCGCATACAATCTTGTCAGATCTAGAGCGCGTTGTGACCAATCTTGGGCACCTTTTTAAATTGGCTTCAGTCTTCTTGTCTTTCCTTCCTTGATATTCCCGCTCCACATTCTTGTGTCGAGTTGTTACGGACGCTTTCTGCCTTTCTGGGACACCCATTCTTCCATTTCTCTATACTGGAGGCCGTCATGTTGATGGCCTCGTTTGATTCCTCAACCATGTTGCGCCTCTTATTAGGCGAGATTCGCAGTTGGCGAAACCCTCAAAACCCTTTATTTCTTCCCTCTTGATAGACTAGCCGCGGCCTAGGATGCTGTGGGCGCGCCTCTCCCTCCTCTTTCCTAACCTGTCACACCACCGATTCCATATGTCGAATTACCCTTCGCAATAGCTGCTTTGAAAGCCGCTGTCTGTGCTCAAGAAGCGCAGTCTCTCCGTGTCCCGCCTACCAGTACATAGGACGGTTTGAGTTAATCTATGCTGTTTATAAATTTGACAACATCACACTTGATTGGAAAGCCGCAAAATGCTCCATCAATCATAGTAGGACTCTCGTAAACCTATACACAACTATACAGACTACTAGGGTAGGCACCTAGGCAAGTTTCCCAGGAACAAACGGATGCCCCGCACTCAACCCCCCGCAAACCGCCCACGCCTGCCCATTAACATAACTACTCTCGTCACTCCCCAAAAATAGCGCGACACGCGCAACCTCATCCGAGACAGCGCCCCGCTGCAACGGATTCAACTGCCCAATCTTCCTCTCCGTGCCCCGCGCCCTCGCAGCACTATACATCGGAGCCGTCATCCCCGTCTCAATGACCCCCGGACAAATCGCATTAATCCTTATCCCCGTGCCCGCCAGCTGGAACGCGACGGTTTGCGCGATGGAGACCACGCCCGCTTTGCTCGCACTGTAGTCCGTTGAGCCTGCGTTTGAGCGCAGTCCCGCGACGGAGGCTGTTCCGATGATGCTGCCGGATGGGTATGGTTTCTCCTTTGAGGTTTTATTCATCGCAATCGCGGCGTATTTCGCGGCTAAAAAGACTCCGACTGTATTTACCCGTAGCGTTTCCGCAAATTCTTCACCGGAGACTTCCGTGAAGACCTTGGGCTGTCCGACGATGCCGGCGTTCGCGAAGAAGATGTCGAGGCGGTTATATGTGGTTATTGCGTCGTCGACGACGGATTTCACGGCCGCTTCGTCGGCGGCGTCGAAGGAGCGGGTGTGGATCTCGACAGAGGGATACAATGTGTTGAGCTCGCGCTTGTGTGTTTCTAGGTGGCTGGTGTCGAAGTCGCAGAGGTAGATTGCTCGTGCGCCATTGTGGGCGTATTGGTGGGCTGTTGCGCGGCCGATTCCTAGAGGGGAGTTTGCGCCTTGAAAGAAGGTTCTTTGTTAGCTGTTCCTTGAGAGTACAGGAGAGAGATATTGGGAGTTGGAGGCGGAGGGGAGGGCTTACCGGTGATAATGGCGACCTTATCCTTCACACGACTAGTAAAGACGATACGTTAGGTTGGAAATGAATCTCAGTATACGAGAAAGGAAACATACGGTCCAACCGAGTCCCCCGCAACCTGGCGGATCTTGGGAATATCCTCAAAGGTGCCGGCGTCGGGGATCCCCTCGACCAGCTGCTGGCTAAGCGCTTGGAGACGCTGACGGGCGGCGCTAGTCATGGTGATTGTGGGCGGTTTTGGGATTGATTTAGAAACTGGAGAGATTGAAGAGAGTAAAATCAAGAGTATACGAAATAGAATTCTTGAAACCCCTCTTTATATGTACCTAGGCTCTTTAAAATCGTTCGGAAGAAGTTGCGAAGGCTAAAGCTGGGGTCACTTCGGCTGTTGCGGAGAACCGAGGCTCATTGTTGGGATGAGTAAGCGCTGCTCTGTCAATGTTTCGAAACTGCCCAGAGCTAGAGTTAGCCTCTGCGGACGCCTTGGCGGGTTTCCATGGATATGATTTTCCATGGATCGATTCCGAAGGAGGTTCTCAATGGGAATTCTTGTTTGGCTGTTGAGAATCTGCTTTGTATACTTCTTGCTGTTGTTCATCCCACGTCATCCGTATCGTGGCTCAAAAATGCCTGGAAAGACGCGCACTGGCAACATCAAGATTCCAGACCAGTTGCCCTCCTTGCTTTGTTTTCCGAAAAAGCAAAGCGCAGCTTAGAGATGAAGTGTCAAAGAAGAAGAGGGTCCGCGACCAGGGTCCGCAGCAGACAGTGGAAAGGCGGTCAAGTCACATGGGGCTCTCTCTTCTGCAGCAACACGTCATGATTCTTCTTTTCTGGCTTCAACGCAAAACAATTCCAGGGCCAGACCCCAAGGGGTTTTCTTTTCCTTCCTTTCTTTTCTGCTACTGCTCATAAGACTGTCGCTTTTCTCTGTGATCTTCTTTTCTGCCTTGTCCTGCTGTCTCGTGTCGCTTACGCTCGCCTGCATCCAGCTTATCGCCTTTGCCTGCGTTTTTGTCCTACCCTGGCTCGCGATCTTCGACCCCGCGAAAAGCTTAGAAAGAACCCTGGTCATCCACCGCCCATCCTTGTTAATAAACCGGGCACGATCATCTTACCTGCTTAAAAGGAACATCCGCCAAAGCATTCATGAAGCCCGCGACCATCCCTTCCCCCATCTGCCCTAGCCTCCGCCACCCCTCGAACCATGGTGGAATACGATCTACGGTACCCGCAGCTACAGCGCCGCTCCTCCTCACAGGCATCAACCTCTTCCCGACACAGTCAACGGGCTAAGGCCATCCGGACGAAGGCTCAGAAACGCCACTCGGCCTCCAGCACGACCCCGACCGACCTGACCTCCTTCCCCTCGCTCTCGCCAGACCAGGCACCGCACGGGTTTCTAGGCCAGCCAGCGCTGAACCGGGCTCTTACGAGTGCGCTGTTGAACGGAGGCGATACGGGCGATATGGCGACGGACGGTGACAACCGGCGAGACCGGCGGGCGACCCTGGCGAAGCTGACGAGCGAGTCATTGTCATCGCAAGGTTCCGGCCGTGCGGCGCTCTTTGAGGACTCGGTTCCAATCCGAGATTTTCCCGGGGCGTTACATCTTGCTGATGATGCGCATATTGAGCGGTTGGTTGCAAGTAATGGGGCAGTGAAGTTAGTTCGGCAGTTCGCGCGCGATCTGGCGCAGCGCGATGCAGAGATCTCGGCGCTGCGGCAGCGTGCTGATGCGAGGGAGCGGGAGCTGAAGAGGATGCTTCGTGAGGCGTCGGTGTCGAATAAGGACATTGAGCGGAGGCTTTATGCGCTCGAGAATTCGCAGAGGGAGGAGCGAGAACGGAAGAAGGACACGGAGCAGACTGTCAAGGGTTCCGGTGGGGTTGGTGGTCTGATGCAGCAGGCGATGATTGACGGGATCGGGCATGATTCCGAGCAGGAGGGTGAGGGCGAGGAGGATGTTCTGAGCGGTGCGATGCACTCTACAGTTCGCCGGACGCGGTTGGAAAGCGATGCCAAGTCGGGAACGTCGAGCGTGGACTCAGGAACTCAGAATCGAAAACGGCAGGGCTCGATGCGGAGTTGGCAGGATTTTATATTTGGAAGTGCAGCGGGAAGCCGCAAAACGAGTCGAGCGAGCAGCATCATGTCTGATCTAGGCGAGGACGAGGAGGAGGGCGGTCGTCAACATGCAGTGTCTGGTAATGCCACTGCTCGACGCAGGCCGTTGGACGATCAGCTGTTCAATCCGGCGGATGGCGGTGACGATGCTAGCACGCATTCGCGAAAATCCTCAAAGTCGGTCTCGTCCTGGACGGTCAAGTTGTTTGCTGGAAATCAGCAGTCGAGTCGGGATGAGAGTCCGTCGGACAGAAATCGTGGAAGAGCGTCGTCAAACAATAGAGAGAGAAACAGAGGTCCCCCGTCCGCATTGCCTGCCAATGCCAAAGGTAGTATGTCTGCCGTGGCGGCCTTGAGGCGCATCAATAGCAGTACCAGCATCCCCGGCTCGCAGGGGAGATCAAATGGCTCCGGGACTGCACCGCGGTCCGGCCAGATCGGTCGAAGGCAGCCGGCGTCGAGTGTCTCGCAGGGTGCAGCTGCAGAAGCCGCGGCGAAGAATCCAACCAACCTTGGACCCGTTGAGATGGATGCTATTCTTCCCATGGAGTCGCGACCACCAACACTCTCACCCATCTACAATAACTATCTAGGTGGCGATCTCTTGACTGACCGGTTTGGGTTCATCTATGACCAGCGCCGAAAGAGAAGGCAACGAGAAGCTAGCGCACTGAAGAATCCGGGGGATCGGCTTAGCATTGCAGAGACCTTGAATACATTCCGGAGTGATACCTCTGATGATCGTGACGAGCTGGATCTGCATGGCCGGCAACCTTCGGCAGCCGAACCCTACCGCTCACCTGGCTCGAATTCGCCGATCGACCCTGAAACGTCTAGCACTGCGAGTCAGCGATGGCAGGACTACCTGACATCTCCGACTGCACCAACAGAGTTACTGTCACACACGCCATCGGCTGGACCCATTGTATCGCTGACGACCGGTGAGGACACGCCACGTAACACCGGGGTAGCCGTGGACAAGCGTGGCTCACTTTCTGTTAACCAAAGCCCACAGCCTTCCGCATCAACGTCGACAGTCGTTGCAGACCACCCGGAATTCGCGGGGTCATCTATGGATGAGGTGGCCGTTCCTGCGTCTGGAGAACACGAGCCTGTGAAACTGCTTCTTGAACAGCTGACGGAGCTTCACGATCTGCTGCAAAGGGAGCGAAGCGTCCGATGGAACGAGTTCCTGCGTAAAGTACGGGCAGAGCGCCGGAAAGAAGGCGAAGCAGCGGCTGCCGCCGCCGCAGCGTCAGACCGACCTCTGCAAGCTGTCGATATGCCTGAGGTCTCGCTGGCTGATGGCGAAATGGTGGGCATATCTGGTCTCGGCAATAAAGGGAAAGTTGGTCGTGCCAAGTGGAGGGAGTTTCGAGTGCTTGTTCTCGGTGGGATCCCCGTCACGTTGCGGTCCAAGATCTGGTCTGAGTGCAGCGGCGCCTCTTCAATGCGTGTGCCCGGGTACTATGATGACCTGGTAAAGGGAGTCGGCGGCGACGATCCAGATACATCAGTCATCGCGCAAATCGACATGGATATCAACCGAACCCTAACAGACAATGTCTTCTTCCGCAAAGGGCCGGGTGTCACCAAGCTCAAGGAAGTCCTCCTCGCTTACTCGCGCCGCAACCCAGAGGTCGGATATTGTCAAGGCATGAACCTCATCGCCGCCTCGCTTCTGCTCATCACACCAACCGCGGAGGATACGTTTTGGCTCCTCACCTCCATGATCGAAGTTATCCTTCCGAAGCACTACTACGACCATGGCCTTCTCGCGTCTCGAGCCGACCAGGTCGTCTTGCGCCAATACATCTCCCAAATCCTGCCCAAGCTCTCGGACCATCTCGAATCTCTCGGCGTCGAACTCGAAGCCCTGACCTTCCAATGGTTCCTCTCCGTCTTCACCGACTGTCTCTCCGCAGAAGCCCTCTACCGCGTCTGGGACGTAGTCCTCTGCCTCGACGTTGCAAGCGCCGTAACCAAGCCAACCAATCCGGCCGCATCGTCACCAGCCGCAACTCGAGATGCCAACTCCTCTGCGAACAACAACGCATCCTCCTCAGCAGCAGCGGCGGCGGGAACCACCGACACAACATCAGGGACCGGCGCCGGAAGCACCTTCCTCTTCCAAGTTGCCCTCGCCCTACTCAAACTAAACGAGCACCAGCTCCTGACCACCTGCTCAACGCCCGCAGAGCTATACACGTACATCAACCACCAAATGACAAACCACGCCATCAGCATCGACGGCCTCATCCAGGCGAGTGAAGCTTTGCGAAACGTCGTCCGTCCCGAGGACGTCGCGGCTAAGCGCGCCGAGGCCCTCAGGGAGATGCGTGAGTTTTCCGGCGGAGCGGCGCCGAGCACGAATGGGGATGCCTAGAAGATGATTGCATCGCACTATACTACACTGCAATACACTACACCACACTACACTGCGCCCAGTCCTCTTCCTTTATTTTCCCTTTGTGTTTTTCTTTCTTTTCTTTTTTCTTGTCTTCATACAACAATTCCCTCCCCTTGAATTTGTTTCTAGAGGCGTCCGGACATGCATTCCTTCTGTCGGGTCTGTTCTATCATTATGATACCACTTCGCCTTGTTTTGCCTATTTAGCATTTATGCGGCTGTCTCTCCTTATAGACTGGTTGAACTGAATTGAATTAAACTACCCTAAACTGAATCAAACTAAATTGTCTAAGCTCAAGAAATGAACTGATTCGACTCTGTCTTTCGTCTTGACACTCATAATGAAGAGCGAGGGCCGGACCTCGATCTTGCATACAATCTGACTGGTATCCGCATCGCCGCTGTGAGAACGGGGTGGACGAGTTGGGCAGAGGGATGCTGCGTATCGGGACTGGGATATACTGGCCCATGAGTAAGAGAGACTTTCGAGGTTTTTTGTGCCGTGTCATTTTGATTTTTCTCCATACTCATACTCAAACTCCCACGTTTGAATGCATAGTCTGAAGCATCTTGATGACCAAGTTGACAGGCTAAATCTAGAAATGGGGATTTAGACTTTGATGAATAATGATATGGTCCGAATTTCTCTAGAAAGGGGATCTAGAGGTTTTCTGACTTTTATCTGTGGTTTTAGGTTCTAACGGGTCACAGTTTTCAAGGCCCTAATTTGTTGTGAGAGCTGTTCTAGTTTAGCCCTAAGCTATGCTTTCGGCCGTATTCGTCTGGTAGAAATCTATACATGCCTCCATTGAATATCCAGGAACTTTTTTATAGTAACCAGTTCATATTTCTGATATAAATTACTTTTATGAAGGTTACTCTTGATGATGCGTATTATATAAGAGCAGTATTAATAAGTTCTATTGTTTTAATCTTACTCAACTTTTGTCTATATAAAAACTTAGACACTCGCTTATATCTCTATTCAAAAAAAGCCAAAAACATCTGGGCAAGACAAACTCATTGGCGTTTCTAGACTTCTTGGCTTGAGCAAATCATACAAGACATTGTTTATATACAAATAAAAGAGAACCAAAAAAAGAAGAAGAAGAACGCAACGCGCGAGAGCGCGGAGAGAGAGAGGGGCACACTACGGAGAAAGGATGGGCTTTGGAGCAGAAGTGAGTGTTGACGGCAGACTGAGAGGGACCCTGGCCAACTGGCAACAGGCAAGTGGCTGCCTTGCAGCGCCAGGAAAGAACCTTCCAGGGTGTGGCTTCAGCTGAACGACCGAAACCCGCACGTGTCGGGACTGGGACCCCTCCACCACTGCATCCTCACTCTGCATCTTGACCCCAAAGCTTCTTTGATCTTGTTTCCCAGTGTCGTCAAAGACTAGAAAGGAGAAAAAATCGCCAATGAGGTCAAACAAGACACGCAGGAATCCATTGAAATAGCTATCCGATCATCTTCACGCGAAGGAGAGACCAACGGAGGTGGCCAGCGAGGTGAGTGAGGTAACACCAGGCGTACGACACGATCCTGAACAGACCAAATTGCTGAAAATCACTACTGATAGGTTCTTCTTCTCTTTTATAGACCGAGACTGCAGCCTATCATGAAGATGCTCGCCATTCCGCGCTCCACAATTGGACCTGCAGGGAACAACGCCGCTCTGTACGGCTGTCTATCGAAACAACGTTGGAATTGTACGGTACCTGCTCGACGTCGAGCACCTTGATGTCAATGCCAGCGATCATGAAGGAATAACACCGCTGCTTCTTGCAGCTAGTGAGGGGTATGCTGAGCTAGTGCGAGTGCTTCTCCAGAGTGGCGTGATTGATGTCAACGCACGAATGTATAATGGGTGGACCGCGCTCACCCGAGCAGTGTACTGGGGACGCACCGATGTGGCCATGGAAATCGTCAACTCTGGAAGAGGGGTTGATCTCGACACAGAGAGCCAGTCTTGGACAGCCCTCCAGTGGGCCCTGGCACGACGCCACCTTGATATTGCACACATGCTCATCGCCCAGCCTTCTGTTGACGTGGACTGGAAAGATGCAGACGGCTTCACTCCTTTCATCACCGCCACCAATTACAATCATTGTGATATTGTTCGTGCTCTGCTCCAAGACCGCCAGGGCCTAGACGCCAATGCAAAATATGGAAGCGGAGTCACGGCGCTTGGGTGGGCCGTGCAGTTCAACTTTTCACGATACACTCAGAGTCCTACTCCGCCCTCCTGGGGTTGATGTTAATGTTCCCGCAGTCTACCACCAGCCGCTTTTGTATACTGCTATAGAGAGCGGCCAGATTCCCACGGTTCGCCTGCTGCTTGAGGGCCCAGACCTAGATATAAACGCGCTGAACGAGCCTGGCGACTCCGCTATATTCCTTGCCATTGCGCGTAAAGAACCTGACGTCGCGATATTGATTCTTGAGAGTCGGAGTGATCTTGATCCTAATCTTGGATACAACATTATTAGTCTAGCCTGTGGCGAGGTGATTACATTCTTCTAAGACCACCCTGAAGCTGATCTGCGCAGGTTACACGGGTGGTCAATCCTCCACCTTGCTGCAGGGCTCGGCTATTCGGAGATCCTGATTCCTCTGCTTGAAAAGTTGAGGGGCACGTTGATTGTCCATGCCCGGTTAGCACTGGGAGATACGGCTTTGCACTGTGCCCTTAGCGGGGCGAACATGGATGGGCTGGAGATACTGCTCGACAGCACCGATATCGACATTGACGCGACAAACGAAGATGGAATAACGGCGCTCCATCTGGCTGCCGAGTCTGGAGAAACTGATGCTGTTCGGCTTCTGCTAGAGCATAAGGCTGACATGCACATCGCTGAGAATGGTGGTTCCACCGCCGAGCAGTTGGTAACGAGCAGCGGACATACCGAAGTGGCTGAACTCCTGCGGAGTAGCAGGCCGACGCAGTCTATGCACTCTGAAAAGACAAGATAATCAAATCTACCTTCTGGTAGTGATGGGGGCAGTTTGAATGCTTTTACAAACAATTCAAAGTATGCCCGGGCAACAGCACCAGGACCTCGGGCGCCATGGCACATCAAAACCAGGGGCCCTGCGACCCGGCGACGACGACTACGTCCCTTCAATGTCATGCGTAGTCGGCCACTCCCACTGCCAACACGAAAATGTGCCCGTGCGCAACCCGGCATACAGCAGCGGAAGAGGACAGGGCGTACGAGCACAACGCCGTAATAACCCTCCTCCGATCTCGCTTCTATTTACTATAATTGTCGACGCGTGATGGCATGTCGGGCGGGCTTGCTCGTACGCAGCAGGGAATCATGGCCCAAACCCTAATCAGCGTGTTTTTAGTCCCTTTTTTAAAGCGTTCGCGGATATTTGGTTCGGCCCACGCCCGAAGATGCGCATCCGTGGTTCTGCTCGTGGCGAGATCCGATCCAAACCCTAAGTGTGCCAAAAGCATCACTAGGGACTTGTTGGGTGTTCATTTTCCTCCTGGTTTTCGCTGGATTTTAGCAATACCTCCTGTTCAATACAGGCCAAGCGGCGTGTATTGGTAGCCTCCCCGGCGAGAGGCGACGAGAGGGATATCTGACCAGCAGCAGATTGGTTGCGACGGCTCGGCATCAGGATGAGACTTACTTTCTGCTACTAAACATTCTTCGATTCGGCGAAAGCTTCCCGACCCATTCAATATTTCCATGGCCGGAGATTGGTTGATACTGAGAGACCCAGCCAGTCCTCGCTTTGACGAAGCATCATAGAAATTGACTCTGCTTCACACCACGAAGATCCAGTATGCTTTAAGCCCATAGGACATACCATGCACCGGGGATCTTAAACCCCAATATACGACACGATTACACAGTCCACAGTCAAGAGCCGCCGGACCCTGGTGCACTGGTGGTGACGCTCATATAGCCCCGAATAACACGTGAAACTGCTCGTAGAATTGGGATCCCAGAGCCCCAAGGCAGTACTATAAAGTCCAGAGGACCTCTAAACCGCATGACTTGCGAGGGCTAGAGAAACAAGGTATCCAGAGACCCAAGTCACTTTAGATCGACAAACGGTATATGCCAAAATGAGGCCGATTCTCCTCCTAGGGACTATTGCAACCCTCGTCGCCCTCGGCGGCTCCCTTCCTCCCAAGGACAAGGAGAAGGGCAAGAGTGACGACTACGACAAAGAGAATAACAATGACTATGGCAACGACTACGACCATGACCATGCCAACGACAAATCCAACCCCAAGTCCCGCTTCTACATTGGCGACTGTACGAACCCCCTTTACCCCATATCCCTCCCCCCTTAACCAGGTCAATCCATACTAACCACTCCACCTCACACCAACAGACAATTCCCTCAACCTCTTTACCCGCCAGCCCTCCCCAGGCTGCGACGACTACAGCGCCGGCCTCTGCGGCTGCTTCTGCCACTACCAGGGGTACCCCTACTACATCTGCGCGCAGGACCACTGCCAATGCTACCGCGAGTACGCGACCGGCTGCTGGTACGCATACTACTACTACGTGGGCGGCGGGTACCCTGCGCCGGGCGACTGGCATCAGCCGAGATATCCGCACTGCCCGCGGTATCCGTATTGCAGCGAGCAGCCGTATTCGAGCGAGACCCCGACGTATGTTAGTGATGGGCCTTCGACGTATACGCCTCTGTCCAGTACGTATGATTCGTCGACGCCGTCGAGCTCGGCGTCGAGTGTGTATTCGACTTCGACCCCGTATCCATCGTCGTCAAGCGAGTACTCTTCATCCACTGCGTATGTCACTTCCAGTGAGTACTACTCGTCGGCTGAGTACACCTCAACTGCCATCGTGGGTCCCTCGCCATCGAGCTCTTAGCAGCAACCCGAAAACTGGAACGGTAGATGGGAAGTGGTGAGGCCGAGTTGAGAATATTAGCAGGGAGAACCAACATAATCGCGAGTTCGATTGGGTAGTTATGAGATAAAAGGTCAGAAAGGACGGACGTTATTTTGTATTCTTGTACTGCTACACGTATTTATACTCAGAATGACCTAGTACTTTTATCATGCTACTAGTAGTATATACAAAGAAATTTGTTCCATTATAAAGGTTCTCATAAAAGTCCAAGCAGGGGTACGTATGTATACCGTAGGGCAGTTAATTAGACAGCCTTCCGTAGCGTTGATTCCAAGGTGAAGGAAGAATGCCACCTCGAGTTCATGAAGCCATCCATGCAGCTGATAGTTATATGCTAGCTTGTCAGCCTCCTCCTCGAGGTTTATTATCGCGGGGGTGTTGATCTGCGATAATGCATCGAATCAACCCTTGCTACCTGGTTATTGAAGAACCGGGTTTACTTCTCCCAGAATCTCAGGATATTTAAACGGATTCCTGATTTCCTTTACTTCATCATTGATTATTATCAGGCATGGCAAATTGCCAATCAGTTTTCTGGTCATACAGGAATTCTAGCATGACCTATATATATATATATATATATATATGCCTTGGCTGACGACCAAACAGCTTCCTACTTTCCGCCCCAGGCCACTGGTGAACTAGGAACCTCACTCTGCTCCACAGAAGACGCCACGGAAACCGTATACGAGCCTTCATCCGCCTGCCAGCATCCCGCCTCGACGTTGTAATAGCTCACAGCATACTTGTCTAAGCTAATAAATACACTACGCTCCTCATCAGAATCAAGTCGTATCTTACACCCAAGTCATCGTCATCATTATCTTCATCCCAACAGTCCTCACAATTCCCACATTAATCCCAATGCCCTCTACAACAGGGTTCACAGCCACAGCAATCATCATCGCAATTGCAACAGTCATCGCAACATCTATATATTGATTGACGAGTAATGAGTTACCCTACCTACCCACTTCCCTACAATCTGTTAGATACAAATTTTAGAGCCCATTCCAGGTAAACCCCCGAGTAACCTCAACCTGCACAGCCCCATAGATTTCCTCCACCGAGCCCGCCATGGAAACTGTATACGAGCCTTCATCTGCCTGCCAGCATCCCCCATCGACGTTGTAGTAGCTCACAGCATATTTATCCAATTTCACAGATACAATCTGCACATCACCAGGATCAACCCGTACCTTCACAAAGTCTTTAAGTTCCTTGAGTGGTCGTTTCCGACCGGCGGAGCAGTTGCGAAGGTCCTCTGGGAAACTTATGTAGTACTGCAGCACGGTTGCGCCTGGGCGAGTTCCGAGATTGCGGATTGCGCAGGTGATTTCGATTGTGTCAGTGGGGTCTGAGAGTGATGCTGGCTGCGTGGACGAGATATGGATGCTGGAGACCTCGACGTGCATATCATACGAGAGTCCAAATCCGAATGGGAACAGAGGAATGGGGGTATTCTCGCGATCGTAGTATCGATACCCTACGTCTAGACCCTCGGCATACCTGACGATATTGTTCTCATCACAGGGGAAATTGCCATATGACGGGTTATCTTCGTCCCGACGGGGCCACGTGAATGGCAGCCGGCCGCTGGGGTTCATTTTCCCTGAAAGGACCAGAGCGAGGGAGTGCCCGGCTTCCTGGCCAGGAAACCAGGCCTGCACTAGACCCGGTACCCGGTCAATAAAAGGAGTAAGGTCTACGGGACCGCCGCTGAAGTTGACGACAATCGTGTTTGGGTTGGCGCGTGCTACTGCAAGGATCTGGTCGTACTGTGGGCGGGCAAGGGAGAATGAGGTCCGGTCGAAGCCCTCGGATTCAATTTCTGGCGTCGTGCCGATGCAAACAATGGCGTATTGGGCCCTTGAAGCAGCGGTGCACGCGGCCTCTATGCGCTTGGGGAGGTCGATGGCTTCGTGGAAGCGGATGGTCGAACCCTGAAATAAGCGGCCACCGGAAAGAGTGTGAGAGTTGAGCAAGGCTGGGTCGGTGTTCCAAGATTCAAGTGTAAGTGTATAAAATTGGTTGGCTTGCATGGAGTATTTGAAGCGTTGCTCAAGTTGAGATTTGAAAAAGTAGAATGATTCTGGCTTGAGGTCGGTTTCTTGAGACCTTGTGAAAACCTTTTCGCCGTTGACGTAGCAGATTGCAGGACCCGTGGAGATGACGGAAAGGATGTGTTCGCCGCTTGTTGTTGGGCGGACAGCGAATTCCATTCTGGTGCAGTACTCGGAATCGAGGTAGGATGGCCATTTCTCTTTTATCATGTATTCGGGTAGCGCCTTTGTCTCTTTGTGGACCAAGTTCTGCCCTATGATATGGCCGTTGAACCATTCTAGGTTTACTGGCTCCGGTGACTGCGTCTGTGTATCTGATGCATAGAGAATTGCAGTATCTGCATGAGGTAGAGCACCAAACACAGGGACCCCAGGGGCTTCGATTACACCAAACCCAGCTTCCCTCAGCCCTTGAATGGGACTGACGGCGCGGAGGGAGTCAACCCGGGCACTTCCACCACCTCCTAGAGCGGCATTGAATGCGTGATGTCCAATGAGAGCAACAGGGGCTTTCTCTGGGAGCGGAAGGACATCATTCTCATTCTTTAGCAACACCATTCCCTGTGCACCGGCAACTCGGATGAACTGGTCACGATCCGGGTCCTGGAGGGCCACTTCTGGTGCTTCTTCTGGGTTCTCAAAGCGCCCTAGACGCTGCGCGAGTTCTAACACTCGCCGTGCGGAGCTATTGACTGTCTCTTCAGAAACAGTACCATCCGTGATAGCCTGCAGTAGCTTGACGCCTCTCCACTTGGTCGGTCCTGGCAGGTCGACGTCCACACCTGCATTGATACTTTCGGCAGTAGAGTAGACGCCCATCCAGTCCGAGACCACTAGCCCGGCGAAACCCCAATCCTGGCGCACAACTCCATTCACCAGTCCGGCGTTGTCTGACACGTAGATCCCGTTTACTCGATTGTAGCTAGTTTCCGAGTCAGCTCCTTGCTTGACCAGTGGCGGCGAATTTTCTCACCTGGTCATAAGGCACCATGGTTTCGACCACTTCATAAGTAGTTGGAATGGAAGCATATATATCTCTCGGAGGGTCTGCTCGTCGAGTTCTGCGGACAGGATTTTGCGGTTGTTCTCGGTGTCGTTGGCAACAAAGTGCTTTGGCGTGGCAGCGATGCCTTCTGACTGACAACCTATAGGCGCACCATGTTAGTACATCTCTGAAATGTATTCGGAGAAAAGCGGGCTCACCATTGATAAACGCTGCCGACAAAGCCCCGAGGACTACGGGATCCTCAGAGTATGTCTCATAGTTCCGCCCTCCTAATAGCCGTTATGAGAGATCCCAATCACCCAGAAAAAGGGGGACCAACCTCGGGGAGAGCGTATCACATTCAGTGTCGGAGCCAGAAGCACATTTGCAGCCTTGGTCTTTGCTTCCTTCGCGATCTCTTGTCCCGAACGGTAGAGGAGGCCGCGGTCAAACGAGGCGCCTAGACTTGTTCCGCAGGGAAAACAAGCTGCCTTGATTCCACTCACATAACTCTCTCCTCGGGCTCCATTTGGACCGTCTGTAGTCTACCGGCAAAGTACGGTTAGTATATTTCTTCCCAAGGAGAGGGAGACGCGTGCAGCTGACCTTGATATGTGGAACGAAAACATCATCACGATGAATGACAGGTGTACGCCACCAATCGACTGCAGCGAGAAGAGAGACTTTTTCTTCGAGTGTTAGCTTTCCGAGGAGAACGTCGAGTTTACCAGACATTGTGAGAGATAGGGAAGAATTTCCACAGCGCAGTTCCTGGTGAGGGGTAACACGGCCTCAACGGGGGCGGATCGAGCCAGTGTTATAGTTCATGTAACGGGCTGTTCACATACCCGCTCAAAAATGCCGCACTAAGATAGCATCGTCGCAATCATATCAGAGACCTCAGAATGAGTCTCTCCCAGGAACTGTGGGGACTGGCGAAGAATGCGAATCAGTGGCAGATGGTTGAAGATCAGGGCGTTCGGAGTAGGAGGTTGGTGAGTGGCTGACTGGGCCCCGCTCCGAGAATTTCGGCCCGGCTTCGGCTTTGCGCTGCTTTGATTAGTTGCTTTTTCGCAGTACGCCGTCTCTTAAGTGTGTTGGAGACTGGAGATGGAAAGGCCTTCTTCCCCACAAACTTCACTCTCCGCATCACAATCTCTGGAGTCGTGCAATGGACAAACTCCATGGACATGATTTGTCTGAAAGTCGCAGTTCAACTCCCGGCTGTGCGCTCACCCGGCTCTAGGCTCATGGAGTCTATAAATTGACCCTCTCGTCCGAACCTTTGGTGAAGGGAACAGCTTTTCTGCTTCAATCGTCCAGCTTTTCTTGTTGGGTTCACTCCTACATCAACCTTAGTTCTTTGCCTGCGACATGATGGCTGACGCCATTCGCGAGCCGAAGAAGGAGACAAATATATCATCCGACATGGTCGAGCATGCCGTGGCTAAGGAAGACCTCGAGATTCCCGACCTCGATGCCCGTCTCCAACAGCTCGCCCACGAAGCTCCTCCGTTCTACAAGAACCACAATCTTCTGATTGTATACTTGCTCATGATTACAGGCTGCTTGGTCCCTTCTGTTACCTTAGGCTTCGATTCGGCGATGATGAACGGCCTGCAGGCTGTGGATACATGGATTGATTGTATGCCTCGAGCGCACGACGGAAACCGCATACTGACCTGTTGGCCGCAGACTTTGGCAATCCATCGGGCTCCATACTGGGCTTGATGACTTCTATCCTGTCCGTTGGTGCCGTCTGTGCCACTCCATTCATTAGTCCCCTGGGTGATAGATTCGGACGACGTTGGGGTATCTGGTTTGGCTCGGCCGTCATGGCTGTCGGTGGCGCCCTTCAGGGTGCCTCGGTGCATAGTGAGTCTACTCTCTTGTTGACTATGTGTCTAGTCTAGTGTCTCTACTAATCTAAGCTGTCTGTTAGTCTCAATGTTCCTCATTTCCCGCTTCCTCGTTGGGTTCGGCCTGGTTTTTTCCAATACATACGCTCCTATCCTGATAGGAGAGCTTGCCCATCCTAGAGATCGTCAAGTAGTCACGTCTCTGTATCAAACATCCTGGTACTTTGGCGCTATAGCTGCTGCATGGTGCACTTTTGGAACGTACGACATGCCCAATGAGTGGGCGTGGCGCATCCCATCACTCCTTCAGGTGGTTCCGGCTTCTATCACCCTTGTCGGAGTATTCTTTCTTCCCGAGTCACCTCGTTGGCTCATCGCAAATGGACGCGCAGCAGATGCAAAGAAAATCCTCGTTCACTATCACGCCAATGGCCGAGAGGGCGATCCGATGGTCGAATTGGAGTATGCAGAGATGAAGCGCGTGATCGAGGCCGACATGGCCAATCGAACACCCTGGAAAGCACTTATTGCCACGCCAGGAAACCGGCGCCGTTTAGTTCTCATGATAATGCTCGGTTTCTTCTCCCAATGGTCTGGCAATGGGCTGGTCTCGTAGGTTCCTCCCTCGCTCACTGCAATATATTTGCATTTTGTAAGTTGACTGACATGTCCAAATAGGTATTACCTAGTCCGCGTCCTCGAAACCGTCGGAATTGCCAGCCGCAAGAACCAAAGCATCATCAACGGGTCTCTCATGATCTGGAACTGGTTCTGCGCCATCGGATCCGCATTTGCAACCGCCAAAATCCGCCGCCGCACGCAGTTCCTCATCTCCACCGCGGGGATGCTCACCATTTTTGCCGCCCAAACTCTCTGCGCAGGCCTCTTCAACGAACACAGCAACCAGGCCGCCGGAAACACTGTGATTGCCATGCTCTTTCTCTTCTATACGTTTTATAACTTTGCCTTCAACGCGCTTCTGTATTCTTACCCGGTCGAGGTCCTCCCGTATCCGATCCGCGCCAAGGGCTTCTCGGTCCTCATGTTCTGCGGCAAGGCGGCGAATTTCGTGAATGCTTTGGTTAATCCTATTGGATTAGAGGCCATTGGGTGGAATTATTACCTTGTTTACGTGGGTTGGTTGTGCGTTGAGACTGTTTGCGTTTATTTCTATTTTGTTGAGACCCAGGGGCCGAGTTTGGAGGCTATTGCTGAGGTCTTTGACCGGCGGTAAGGATTCGATCATTTCGAGATACAGTCATGCTAGCAGGACCCTTGTTGGGACTTGCAGAAGGTTCTAGCACGCATGCAGATTGAACGTTACCCTGTCTACTCTATAAGATATATGTATATAGACCTATGGCGAGAAATATGTGTGGATATAGGCCCATCGTTCCCTAGGCAGTGGTTAAGCGCCGCAGCTAAGACTCACGCGCCCTAAGACGTTTCTGTGCAATATAGCTCGGCGTCAATATAGTTGGAATCTGATCCTTCCTATGCTGTTCGAGAGATTCTGCATCAGCTAAGCTTTCGAGTCCGCTAGAACGACCTTCGACACCATCGGATCAGCAACTGATACAACAAAGCTCGTGCATAAAAGACAGGACACATTGAACTCTCACCCGCAGTTTCATAATCCAGCCGCTCATAGCTGGTACCCAGTGACATGACCTGAAACTTTAACATGGATTTCCATCTTTGCGAATCTTGATAGAACTTGAAATCGGCCTGGTTGACGACGCGGAGGAACCATTCGGCTTGGTCGAACTAATGAGAAGATGGAGAAAGAGCAGTGAGCCCTTAGCTGGGAAATATGCAGAAGCCAAGATAGCATGATATAAGCTATAAAAAGAAACCTACCACCCAGTTGAAGAGCCGGCAATGAGCCTTAACACGTGTCAGGCAATCGCGGAGAGCGAGCAGCTGACTTTGAATACCGGTTATGACCCGCGGATCCGTGGCCGTGAGGAGCCAGTGCGTCAGAATAACCTGAGCGGTCTTGACCATCTGCCCGAAACATGCATTGTGGAGGTCGAGGTGCGCGAGAAACCAGACTTGCTGTACGATGCTGGCGGTCGCCGAAGCGTGCTTGTATATCAATAAAGTAGCACCATTGCCCGTATCGGAAGTGCCAGATAACGTCGATTCTGTCCAGTCCAGAGAGTCGAACAAGATCAGTTGCCAGATGTACTCATATAGCAGATGCATATACATGAATGAGCGGAGAGTAAACTTTTGCTGGTGAGTTTCGAGATTCGCTTGCGTAAGCGCTAGGGACGGGTGGAGGTTTGTATTCCAGTCTGATAATTGCTGCTGTAAGGGAGCAAATTGCTGATTGCCTGAAACCTTAACCAGTTGGCATGTTTTGTAGTAGATTTCTGAAAGGAGGAGGAGTTTTTGCGGGACACACGGCGATGGCAATGATCTGTGGTTGGGAGTCGTAAGGGCGGAGCTCTTGACAATGTCAAATTCGTCCTCGCTGTACAGCTGCGGTAGAGGGCTGGTAGGAGGCAGGGACCGCGCAAGTCCAGATATGGTGGAAAGGTATTCTCCATTAGAATGATAGTTGCGATCAGACGGCGACAGAGCTCCGCCTGGACTGGGTCCAAGTCGCTAGCAGGCTTGTCGAGTCTGAGGATTGCCACAAAACTACGGGCAAAACCTACAGCATGTTATTTCTTTGCCGGTACCAAGGGGCTATGGAATCGGGCCTTACTTAGAAACATCCAGGCTTTTCGAGCACCACCAAATGTTAGATTATAGGTAGCAAGCAGCACATAAACCTGGATTGTGGTAAGAGATGGATGGTCGAAATCCTCTTTCAGAAGCTGTCGAGCTTCTTGGTAAAGTGATTCGCCCCAGTGAGGACGCAGATGGGGGTTCTGGAAAGGTGCATGGGAATATCTGCAGCAATCTTAATCAGATAACCCTAGAAGCAAAGAATATTTGGCTTGCATACCGAATCCCCAAGGCCATAATGGCAAATAGGAGGACTTTGGGAATGTCGCCAAGAGCGAATCGACGCAAAAAGATGGTTTGGTCAAACATAGAATGTATATCATGGAAGTTTTGAAAATAAAGTAATAGCAATGTTTGAGTCAGCTCTCCCTCTCGGAGAATTTCGGACGCAGTGCCTGTTCCAATATCAAGGCCAGAGTTACTGCTGGATAATTGGAGGGCCGAAAGGACCCCTGTATCAGGAACTGGTGGAGCAGGGTCCTGGTGAGTCGGCGAGGTGGTCGTCCCATGGTCAAACCCACTCACACGATGGACGTATGAGCATGCCAGATTGCGAGCCTGACATCGTTTACAGGTTCCAGTCTCGTCCATGGAGCATCTCACCTTGCGCGTCCTGTTTTCAGACACTTTAGCCTTAGTATCATACACGAGGATGTTACTCACCGACATTCCATACATGCATTCCGAGGCATTGAGGTGAGAAATATATGCTGTCAAGGCCGCACCTTGCCTGGACTGCCGTGGTTGTACCGTCAATCGAGATTCTGAGGCGGTTTATCTCCCACGGCCTTAGGAAAAACTCTTCGTAGGGAATCAACGATGCTCTTTTGATCAGAAAAGCGACGCACAACTGATTTGCAAAGGATGGAGGTGCTGGAGACTCGTTAGTCAGCATAGAGGGCCTAGGTAGGTCTGTATCACATGACTCTGTACCATGGAAGAGCTTTTAAAGGAACAGCAATAATCTTATATTGACCCCTGCCGTATCGAATGTAATAAGGTAAAAAGGTTGTTGAGGGTGAAAAAGGCTCGGAGCGAAGTAAGAGGTCTTGTAGGTCAGCTGCCACCCTTCGCTCCTTCCTCAACAGTACAGAGAGTCCTCGAGACCTAGATAGATACATGGAACTCAGGAGACTGTATCTCTAGCTAATGGAAATGAGAGAAAATTTTAGACCTAGTCTCGAACGGCACCAACATTCTGACCTTGCACCTCAGCCTGGTACACCGTCATAGTAGTAGTAAACTTCCAAGCCGGGATGCGGAGTTCGAACAGCTCATCCAACTCCTCGTACGTGGGGCCCTTGGTCTGAAGGTAGAACAGGATACGGGGGATGAGGTATAGTGTCGCGATCCCGCCGAAAAGAGGCTGTTTTCCTGGCCTCAGCAACCTTCTTGGTTGGAGAGCATCAAGGGGACGGTGTAGTTCTGCAGAATGATTTGGCCAAAATTAGCTCAGAAGAGGAATAATAAAATGGGACAGCAGCGGGGGAGACAATTTGTTTTTGTTCTCTTTACTTACGAATAAGACTCCTGTGCACGACTGGTTAATCGCGGCCATTGCGGTGGTCTTGGCTCGAACTGCGGACTGGATATCTCCACAAGACTGATCCAGCCTAGCCTAGAATCCACTGTGTCAGCGAGCTGGCGCCTAACGAGGCCAGGGTGTTGCTTGCTCTATGGACTGGGCTTGATTAAACGCACTGATAGGAGCCATTGAAAGCGCATAGAAACGGTCCACAGCTCACGAATCCTACAAGCTTCCGTAAAGGCTTTTTGGCATCTTCGTGCCTGCCACGAGCAGCGTACCATGCTAGAAAATGATATTAAGTAAAGGCATGTTCATGCAAGCAGGTCAAGGGCTATTACCTGGTGACTCGGGCAAGAGAATCAAGGGTACGGCCCATAGTCCGCAAAAGACAGACTCGGAGTAGAAGACGTTTCGGAATTTAAACTTCGCTGTCTCTTCAAGTACTTGGAGACGTATAAGCGAGAATAACTAACCAACCGCATACGACAAGGAGAAGCTGCCCAAGGGAGCGTCGCGGAACTGCGGCATCGCGATCTCAGATATGTTGACCATGGCCGATGTCCCGATCAGCCCACCAGCAAGCTCCAAGACGAACCGAGACATCAGGATCCAAATTCACTCCTTTGACACGATGTGGAGGATTATGATGAGGACGAGCAAGAGCATCAGAGCCTACAGGTTGAATTTGTGCCCGAAGCGGTCGGCCGTGATTGGGAGACCAGTTGCATGATGATTTGCGAGATGAAGTTAATTGCCGTCCATAGTGAGAGATAGGAGGATTTTAGGGCTGGCTCCCCAGTATCTTGGTCCATGACTGTTGCAAATTGATTGATGAAGCCCTCGTTTGCGACGCTGTTGCCGATCAATGCGCCTGAGTAGCCGACGTACCTGGTTTGTGGTACATGTTGGCCGCAAGGGTTTGATACCTAGTTGTCGGCCTAGAAGTTGGAAACAAACATTTCACCCAGGAATACGATCAGTCCAGTGCCGTAGAGACGAGAGTACTTTCGGATGCACTTCCCGTGAGACATGTTGGCGAATGAGGAGACGGGGCTCCGTCGGAGAAGGCATTGTCCTTGCTGTCATCCATTGTCTCCTTGATCGGAGTACAGGCAGTCTGTTCCTTAGTCTGCCATTGCAGGATAGAAAGGAGACTCATGCCAGTGTACCTCCCCATATACTTGGCCTGTCACGTTTCACTCCTCGAACCGAGATCCCTCCAGTAACGGGGACTCTAGACAGTAGAGAGTGCCCACTCAACGCCCCACAACAATGAACTTGCCAACGTTGCTTGCTCACGAAGCAATCGTCCTTCGCATGCTGCATCCACCGAGCCTTTATAAAACTGTTTGCCAGTGACGTAGCAGGCTCGAATCCTCCATTCTGCGGTCTCGTGGGCGGCGTGTGTGCAACAAGCGTGGCGACAGTAGGCCGTGAGGTCTACACTCCTATTTAAAGTGAAGCCACATTTTGCTCGGCCTCTTCTCGTCGCGTCGCTGCTCTGGGGTGAACAGCGGATTCCCGTCGTGCGTGTAGTCGTGGCAGATCAGGTCCTAGTCATGCAGGTAGAGATGCAGCTCGTAAAGCCGAACTCGCCCTCGGATACCAATTGATGTTTTTTAAGGCCACGGCGCTGAGGACCGTGTTGACTGTCTGGGGTTTGAGTTCTGGCCAGGCGAAGTCGATGCCACGCGTGGAGCTCATGGATGGATTGCGTAGCTCGCTTGCTGGCAGTAGGAATGGGCAGCTCTGGGTGATGAGGTGTGTGTTGCCGTTATCTGTCCTGTGCAGATGGGAAGGCGCAGGGGGAGAGGGAGGGGGGCACTGGTTTGCTGTGAGGTGATGGTCATTCTCTTTTGTTGCCGGGATTGAGGCGATTCAATGGTACGCACCATCCAGTCGAGTCAAATTGCGAGCAAGGATACGCTACATAAAAGTACTGCCCATCAGAGATCATCAGGACTCTTTGGCTTGGGTGAGGCTTACCCTCCGCGAGAGCATCTCTCGCATAAATTGAGAAACACATGGCTGTAAGCGGAGCCTTGGATTGGAGGCTCGGAATATTTCCGTCAAAAATAGGTATGGACGAATCAACCTCAGAGTGAGTTTTGTGTGTGCCAGTCCTTCTCTTCTCGGATTCTCTGTCTTGCTTAGCACTCCTGTGCTGTCAGGAAGGGATTATTGCCCATGGTAAGCAGGCCCGCCCCCCAAGACTGACATTACACCGACCTCGGCTTCATAGAGTTGCCGTGTTTGTTCTGATAGTGCTGGTGTGTATATCGAGTTACCTAGTGAAAGATCCTTAGCACTTGCTCGGGTTATTGCTCTGTTTAGAAACGGAAAATATTAACCGCACAACATATTATCAACCAACAGCCCTTATTGATAGCCTTTGATGTCTACGTCGAGGAACTTTGCCGTGCAGCGCCGGCAATTTGCTGCCGTTACTGGGGGTTACCTTTAGTGAATATAAGCAGTCGATCTTCCAACTGAACCTCATTCGATAAGAGTGAAAAAAAAATATACCCATGAAAGCCCTTCATACAGGGACTAACTACCCAAGAGTAGGATAGGTTCTACCATAATCTACATAACCATAGTCATAACCAAACAAATCGCACCAAGTACCAATCAACCATTCATTACCTCGGAAGCACATCAGGAAGCCAGAACCGGCCGTTATTATCAAGGACAGTATTCAGATCAATCTGATCCATCGTCGGCCGCAGACCCATATCCATAACATCTCTCGCGACAGCCTTGATCTGCCGCATGATTGACTGCGAGATCGCCCAGGTATTCGACAATGTCTTGAACACGCCTATCGTCAGCGAGAGCTTGTCGCGGCTGGGATCCGGCATCTGGCCGGCTTTCACGGAGCAGGCGGCGAGTTGGACGATGGAGGACATAACGAGAGAGCAGATGAAGAAGGGAGTGTGCTTCACGACGGGCATGGGGGTGGATGCTAGGGAGGAGATTTCGCTTGCGGCCTTCACGGCCTTCATGGCGTGGGAGTGGTGCGAGAAGGCTGGAATTGAGCACGGGCCGTGGTGGCCGCAGATGACTTCGGCAGCTACGGTGGGGGATGAGAGGAGGTCGGACCGCGGGAAGTGCAGGTAGATGGAGGTGCCGTTAATGACCATTCTTGCTTGGAACATCAACTCGTCGACTGTACCATCTGGCCGGAGGAGCTCTGCTTTCGATTCGGGGAGGTGGTGGAAAAAGCTCGTGATTCGGGCGTCGATAGATTCGACCTGTTCCTGTTGGCCTTCCACCATGTCTTGGATGGATACGACTTTTCCGAGCACTCGCGCCGCTTCTATGCGGTAGGTGTAGGATGAAAAGTCTCGCTCCTCGTCGGCAAAGACGCGGTCGTCGAATTGTGCTATCGTCGGAGGCGGTGGAGGGACCAACCCTTCCTGGTATATGCGATCCTCACAGGGAAGCGGTACCTCCAGAGGTACCTTGCTCAGGCGAAACTCGGGTTGGACACCGAGTGCAGTAAGCATCCCCTCGATAATAAATAATTCCCACCAGGTGCGCCTTAGGCACTCTTCTCTGACTGGGTCGCCTTCGCCCATCAAAATCGCAAAGTCCCTCGTGTGCATGCCGAGTTCGAAGCTCAGATCAACAGCAGTCGCAAGACACTCTCCAGCTTGTGGGCGCTCATTTCTCGAATGAAGGACAATTGCCAGTAGCACAAGCGCTTGTACCTTTTCTATAGTCCCTTCTTGCTCCATGACGTTTGACATGACCGTCGGCCGATAGGTCTCACTAGATGCGGCGGGGGTGAAATGAGCACCGATAAATTTAATGACCTGCTCTAAAAATGCTGGCACACCACGGCCCTGATAGAGGAAACGAATCTGTGGTAAGATAGGATGCGAAGGATGGAAAAACTGATAGTAAATATCAACCAGATAACCATCGTTCGCAATAGACGTCGATGACTCTGGAGTTAGGGGTGCATTCTTTACGAGAAGTTGCTGCGCAGTGGCGGCCGGTTGTTCCACGAAAATGGAACTTTCCGAGGGCGTAGAGGCGGGGAGAGTTGCCGTCGTAGGCATATACGTGAAGGAACTCTGAAAGTTCCAGTCGACAGGGACATTGGGGACGTTATATAGACCGACCGTATTCGGATCAAATGCAGGTGTGATGTCCGTCACCTCTTCCTCAGGTGATGGGTTGGCGCGCCGCTTCTTGGACGGGCCCTTGTACCCTCGTCGAGAAGGGGTATATTGGCATTCTGCACCGGCAGTAGCGCAGCGGCTACAGACGGGAGTCATCCCATCGCATTTGAGATGCTTGTGGCGACAGAGAAGGCAGGCCAGAAGAGAGGGGCCAGCGCTCCGTGGTTGTTGGCCAAAAGCCTTTGATGGCATGAATTGCTCGGTCATCTTGGTCTCTGAAACTGGTACAGTCCTTGGTGCGAAAGCTCCTAGAGATAGCAGTTGCAGTGGAGAGCAAACCCGCGATGCATGCAGGAAGAAACAGCTGAAGGGTATCTCCCCTATCTCGTGCAGGAGAATGCGCCTGAAAAGTACCTAGTCCTAGGTACTACTATGAAAGTTTTGGCAGGCGGAGTCGAGGCAAAAAAAAAAAATTGCGGGGATACACTAGCTAAAGTAAAACGGGTTCAACGGTCGCAATTGAGTGACAGTTTCCCCGGTTCAAGTGGAGGTGTCTCAGGGGAAAAGAATGGCAAGTCTGAGACAAAAATAAGAAGAGGCGCCTGGCGAGTAGATCAGAATTGCTCAGGAGACTGTCACCAGTCTAGTCTGGAACCGGGCCGCTGCAGCACCCTCTGACCCTCTTTGGATGCGACTAACCTCGAGGTCAGACAAGATTGCGAGGGACACGACAACGGTCCTGAATGGGTCCAGTGAGCAACGTCAGTGTATCCTCCAGACGACGAGGCTCGATGGCTATTCGACGAGCTGGATGAGGGTTGCAGAGGGATTGACGCGATGGAGGGTGTCTCTGGATCTGGAGAAAGACTGGATGAGCTCCCCGCCGTTGAAAGTCTAATTTGTGCACATAATCTCGCTGACAAAGCAGTCTCGATTGTGCACATGATCCAGCTTGCCCGATTGGGACACGTCTCAGAGCGCTGCGACTTGCGCTGACGACAGCTAACCAGTCCACTAGCTGAGCAACTCCTTGCCTTCGATTGCGAGACCATTTCAATTAAAAGGAAACACTGCCCTCATAAACTAGGCAAGGAGCTCAATTGTACCACCCATCGCTCCCTCGTTGTCATCCCACTCAAAACTAACTCTTCAACGTGGCATCCAGCAACAAGCATCTTCCCCGACTCTGATACCGAGCCAGATACCATCAATAAACCTTGACCTCACTGCTCGTCGCAAGTCTCGCACAATGCTTACCGATAACGATCTCCACCGCCTTGCAGTCTTCCTCGGCTCCTGCGCCATGATACTCATCGTCCTCTACCACTTCCTCGAAGTCAACGCAAAGGACGACGAAGACGACACTGTCCCTGCGACCAAGAACTCAAAGAACGGCTCGACAGATGCAGCTTCGCGTACAACATCAACGGCGGCCGCAGGCGGCTCATCTGTTTGTGGAGGGGGCAAGGACCGATAATTTACTACAGTCGAAGTCGAGGTGGATGTATTTAAATCGTGGTCAACTAGTGGCGCCAAATCAAGACACACAACCTTCAGGTATTGTGGTTTATTAGAGGACGGATCTTGAGAAATGCTCACGATCCCCCTGCAATACTGTACAATGTTGGAAACGGCCCAAGCTGTCCAGTTCGAATAGCAACATGTCATCCCAACGCCGAGACGCCCGTTGCTTCAAGAAAAATCCTCCACAAAATGCAATGTAAACTATGATACAGTGCAGCGCGATGCAGGTAACCACTATTCAGACCGCACCTCGTAGACGTCCTCATCGTTGCTCACCCTTTGGTTGCGTACAGGAATGGCTAACTCGCATCCACCAGGGTCCAATCCCACACCAATGTGTTCCTTGAGCCGTTCTACTGCCTTCATAATCTCCCGAGCCTTCTCTTGCTGTGTATTTTTCCCATGCACTCGATTGAACGCGCGAATAGACGAGTAGCTGGCTGGAAAGATGAGCGAATCTTCGTTTCCTGGGTGATTAGATTCCGGAATTGTGAACGGAACTGTCTTTGATTCCCGATCGACTAGATCCCAAGTTCGATAAGAGGTTAATAGAGAGTTCGTGATTGAATGTGAATTCATGCGCTGTTAGAAGCAATCATTGTGCTTTCTCACCACTTGTAGGCACTACTGGTCCGTCACCCAGCTTCCAAGCAAGAGCGTCAAGATGAGCTTGCTTAACGTGCTTCATGAGCTCCGCGGCAGGCATGGCCCCCGTAACCGTGCAGCCTTTCCATCCACAGACCATAGAAAAAGAGACATGTTTTTTGAAAAGATGCTTCTTGAGAAGGTCGAGGTTATGCAGCTCCAATTGACAATTGCCCCAATGACACGCGAAGACGGGATAGGAAGCAGCTGGAGCCGCCGCCGGGGGTGGAACAGCAACTTTTGGCTTGTTCGTACTTCCAGGCGGCCGACCACGTCTGCGTTTCTCCATGCCTGAGTTTGGTGTGCTCGGAGCAGAAGCCTTTGCCTGGGGCTCGGGTGGAGCGGCCGGCGCTAGCTGAGGCGGTGGAGCCTGAAGCTGAACTTGTGGTGGCTTTGGAATCGGCTGAGGCTTTGGCTGTGGCGGTTGCTGCCTGGAGGTTTGCTGCGGATTGGGGTGCTGCTGCTGCTGTGGGGGTCTTGTGTTGTTCAAGTTGACGGAGAACTGCGAGAACGAAGGCGGCGGCGCGACTTGCAGGGCAGGTTGTGGAGCTGTTTGACTTGTTTGCCTGACGGACCCCTGACTTGGAGCCTGAGGCGCCATATCACGTGACGGTTGTCCAGGGTCCACAAGATCCCATTTGAAAGTTGCGAGATCCGAGTTCATATCCACAGCATAAAATGCATTGCGGAGGCATAAAAGATGATGATTCAGACTGGGCTCTGTTGGGTGACGGCCGGCTGCGATCAAGATATCCCTAGCGATAGTCTTGGGGTCGTACGTGATCTTCTGTGCCGCATCTTTCTCATTGAGCCGGCTCACTATGTCCAAACGTCGTTTCAGATGTGATCTATCTGCAGGATTCTGTGGTTGGTAGGAAAAGGCTGTCAAGTTTCCGTACGGACCAGAAGGGGGGTGAGTATGGGGTGCTTGTGCCATCTGGGGTGTGGTTTGTGGAGGCCGAAACGCGCCGGCCTTCGGAGGAGCTGTTTGCGTCGGTGGGGGCCTTTGCTGTTGTGGTAGAGTCTGTTGTACATGGTGTGGTAAAGGTGGTGTAGCGGAATGTGCGGCTGGCCGTGGAACAGGTTGTGTGGGGGGAGGCTGCGAGCTAGCTTGCGTGGTGGGCCGCGAGACAGGGCGCGGAGCGGGTTGCGAGCCAGCGCCCGGAGTATGCTGTGGTGCTTGTTGTGTAGTGGACTGTACGGTCACTTTCGGAGCGTTTTGAGCGGGCAGTCTATTCTGCGGAGACGGTTTCCGCGATTGGGTGCTGTCGAGGCGCTGCACGGGCTGCTGCGTTCTGATCTGTGTGGCGGAGGGCTGAACGAATTGTGGGAGACTTGGGGCTGTAGCGTTTGGTGATGCATACGGCTGTTGTCGCCCTGGGAGGTTCTGTGCCGTCGTTTGCGGACTGGCGCTGGACGGAGCTCGTGATGGGGCCTTTGGCTGTGTGCGTTGAGCGTACTGCGTAGCGCGTGGTGCTTGGGTTTGCGATGTCGCTGGGGACGAAGTACGTTGCGGCGCTTGCGATGCATGCGACAACTGCGGCGACTGCTGCCCCTGCTGCCCCTGCGGTGTTGCTCGCGCCTGCGCTGGAGAAATATATTGGGAGCCCGGCCGTGCCATTGGCTGCGAGATTCGGCGTGCGGTAGGCTGTGACGACTGCGTTGTAGGCTGCGAGACTCGCGAGTCGCTTGTCCGAGATGGAGCATTCGAGGAAGGATAGGCAAGGCTCGAGTTGGTTTGAGTGTTCTGAAGTGAAGGAGCTTGCGAAGCAAGAGGCGGGTCTAGTCGACGTCTTTTGGCGTCATGGCCAGAGTACATGTTGTCGGCAGCATGCGACTCCCCCGACGAGACCACATGTTGCTGACTTTGTGACACTGGTGTTGGAAGTTGACGGCTGGTCGAACGTGTTGGGGACTGTTGAGTGAGGGAAACAGCGGGCAATCCTGAGGTGCTTTCCGGGGAGGAAGTTGGTCTTGAGTATTCCCGCGTCGGAGGGGGCCCCCACCGGTATGAAGGGTACGGCACGACGTCCTCTAGACGCACAAAGGACTCCTCCTGCTGTTGGTACGTCGGATAAAACTGAGATTGATTGCTGCTATTGTTCACTTGTGGAGTATGGCCCGTGTAAGTCGTCGCCGAGTTGTAGAACGGGCTTCTCCAGTGAGAATCCGAACTATCCTCAGCGCGCGGCGCGTGTTGGGGGAGGTTCTGGAGGTTCGACGGCGTAAAGCCGGGAGGCCAGTCGAGCCATGGAAATTGCTCGTCCGCCATGTTGGCGGTAAGGTTTTGTTCTTGAGATGGGGCGGCCTCCGCAAAGGGGAACTGGGGGTTTCGAGAGAAGTGAGCAATTTACGGACTCGGCCATGACGGACCTCGAGTTGGCAGACAAACCGTGCCTTCAACGTATAGCCTCTAGAACAAGAACCTGAGCACAGCAGATTCCGTAAAGTCTCCTCACCCCTCATCTCTGAAGCACTGAGAGGTGGCGCGAATTCGGACCTCGCGCAAACCCGACGACGCGACAAAGCATCGTTTTGGAGATGGTTAGTCAGCAGCTGAAAGTGAAGGTGGTGAAGGCGGTGAGTGTGCCTAGGCATGTCATGTGACCCACTCTATGTATTCTTTTTCCCGTCCTGAGAAAAAACTGAGTTTAAAAAAATCTCAACAGCACCAGCAACAGCTCTTGACAGCAATTCACGAGACGTTGCTCATGGTTCACGACACTCCAATGGATAATTGAATATCCTTGATCATTATGCTACTTGAGCATTACGCTCTCCGTGCGCAATAGCGAGCTATAAACTCAATGCCTCATGCCTCCGGCAACACCCGGGCAGCTCGCAGCGCCACAACATGAGACCAGCAAGCGCAGACAGAGAACTTGATCTTGTCGAATTGCACCATAAATGAATGGCAGCATCACAAACCAAAAACCATTATCCTCCACAAACACTATACCTTCCTCCCCACCTTTCCTCGTTCTCCGGAACTCCAAATCCGCCAAATTATCTCCTCATCAATCTCCCACCATGGTTGAAGAGGTATACGGTTGGCGTAGAAGGACATGCAGGATCTGGGATTCGTCCCAGGGCTATCCTGCCTCGCTTGCAGACTCGCACGGACGCCACTCACTATGGCAAGGAAGCTGCGAGTTTGAGAGTGAGATACATACCGTAATTTGAATACGTAGATTAGGTCGTCGTCCTGCCAAGATAGGAGTTGGTGGTGGTTAGCGGTGTTGGTTCTTCGCGCGTTGCTTGCCGTGGACATCTGACTAGGACTTTGTGCCTGGCCAAGCGGTTGCTTGGGAGACCAGGAATGGCTTTTAGGGCTATGGCTGCGGCTTTTCTACTGGATGTTGCGCTTAAATCTCCGGGATCTGACGTCCTCTCACGTAGCAAATGGGCTGAATATGAAACAAAGCTAGCTATATATGGTACAATCTTGACCATCTTCTGGAAGGCTTGATATCATGAGAAAAAAGGCTGCTAATAATAAAAGACACGGGGAGAAAAGAAACAGAAGAAAGCGACAAGCTCATCCACCAGGCAACCGTCGTTCATCTCATAAACCTGTCCATCCTAGACCAGAAGTGAAGGGCAGTATCTCGTAGGTAGACCTACCCAACACACTTCCCCCAAGCCGGCAGCCCACAGCCCATGCCGACGAAAAGGTAAACCAAAAACACAACGACAACCGCGAGGAGCGTCATGAGCTTGACATTCTTCCACCACATCCTCCTCCTCAGCCCGCGACTCCGCATCCGGAAATCATGCGCGCTCCCACCCAACCGATCCGTCTTATCAACGAGCAAGTCAATGCGCTCCCCGCGCTCCAATACCCGCTCAATATTCTCCGTCATGATATCCTTTACGCTATCAATCTCTTTCCTTGCCGAAGCCAGCGAGTCCGCCGGCGGCGCCGTGTTGAACGTCTGTAACAGAGCCCGAAGCTCGCTGTTGAAAGCCGCGCACCCGTACGCCGGTAGGGACCCAAAATCCGTATTCGAGGGCGGGTACGTAGACAGGAACTTGCGCTTCATCTCGAGAAGGTAGGCGAAGGGGATGCGGCGGCCTTGCTCGGCTGTTGCGACGACGATGTAGCTTAGGGGTGCGTAGGAGTTTGGTTCGCCCGTGTTAGAGTCTGCCGGAGGCCCCGAGGGGGAGTCGGAGATGTAGTGGACGAAGAGGCGCTCGTGCGTGTATGTAAGCTTCTGGGGCTGGTCATGGCTGATTTTGGGGAGGATGATGGAGGCGAGGGAGGAGGCGGCTGTTGAGGAGGAGCCGGGGGCCGAGTGTTCGGCAAGGATTTTGCTGCGGTGGGCTATGCAGGAGCTGCAGTGGTTCAAGTATTAGTTGATCTGGGGTAATTGATGGAAATACTAGACTGTGGAATGCGGGTTTGAAGAGTAGATGGGGACGGGGACAATGAAGCTTACTAGAGGAGGAAGCTTGCCGGCTTAGATGATGAGGCCATGCTGACTATTGTGTTTGGGGCAGAAGAGACTGTCTATCTCTCCTTGTGCCTCGTAGGATGATTCTTAGGCGAGATGTAATGAAGCTGGATAGACTGATCGATCGTGGTCGAGATTGCTGCCTCGCGCATCTCCGGTCCGTGACGTAGGTGACGCCAAGCATTCCAATCTTCCATGTCACGTGACAACTAGCTTCTTGAGGGTTATTCTCATCTCGACATTAACCATATTAGTCATTATTTAGGTACATTTCAATCTGCTTTCAAGAAGAGCGCAGAAGACACATCATGCCAGTCAAAAGTTCTTCCTCCGGATGGGGAGTTCTTGTGTCCCATCATTCCCTGACTTCACCCCCTGATGGTTTCTCAGCTCGCTGTTCTCACCTCGGCGCTTTTCGCGGATCGGAAGGCTTGAGTCTGGCGCGTTTGGAACCATGTCCCACTCACTACTTTCAGTCTCATTGCCGACAATAACAGTGTCGCCGCTGTCACTGTCAGTGTCAAACGATACGTCATCAATATCCTCCGCACACGAGTCCAGGGTGAAATCCAGGTCGTCTGCGTTGTCAGTGGGCCGGACACTAACAGAGCCCACAGCCACACTTTCGCCGGCATCCGACATGTCTCCAGAGTCGATGGACATGACTTCACTAGCAAATCCCTCTGTGGCTCGGTGGGAAGCGCCATGGATGGTGCTTTCGACGAACGAATACGTGGATGGGGCATATGAGGATAGACCGCTACCAGTGTGAATGGCAGGTCCCGGAGCAGAAAAGCCGCCTGTTTCAGCGAGGGGTGGTTGCTCGGCATATACGCCGCCTGTTCCATCATCACATCCTCCAGCCCATAACGGTAGGTACTTGAATTCCTTGTCCGTCAGACAAGTGAGTGTATCCGTTAGCTCGTACTGCATTTCGGGGCGATTTGAGTTGACCATGTGCCTGGCATAGGCCTGCATATAGTAATCAGCCTCTTGTACAAATGCGTAAACGGAGAAGTACGGTTCCGCGCCGCCGAAGAATTTCTTGTCTTCATCGCGGTCCTGCACGAGCTCCATCGGAGGGCCGTTGTCCAGAGGCCTGAGGACTTCGTTGAATCTAGCGGCTCTGCGGTTCAACTCTTTACGGGTCACCGCTCTGATAATCACCTCGTGCTGATTTCGCAAGGGGCCCCCTTTATATCCGCATAGATCTGCAACAGAGCAGCCCCAGTAAGACTCTGGCACTAGTTCTCCATCGTCCTCGCCGAGACCTCTGTCAATGAGCTGTTGCCAAAATGTCCTCGTTGTCAAGCGCTCAACGAAATCTAGGGAGTCGTAGACGTGGTAGAAATCATTGGTAGGATATGTTCCAGTGTTGTCGTGCTTGAGTTTATTCGGAAGCCAGGTCGCTCTTACCGGACAGAGGGCCGCCCAAATAGTTGCCCGCACAAAGTCTTTTAAGGAAGAGATAAGCTCCGACACAACCTCCTCCTCGTCGGGGTTCAGGGGTACGAAATTAAGTGCAGTCTGATACATGGATGAGTCGTTGAGCCAACGCATCTCAATTCCTATGAAGTCGGCGAACCGCTCAAGGATATAACTCAGGAAGGATTCGCCGGCATATTGTACGCGCTGGAGATCATCATCGTCCAACTGGTCCTGCGGTCGTCCGTGGACGGTGGCTTGTCGCTTTCTAGGTCCAGGAAAATCAGAGGACCGCAGAAGAAGCAGAGCTTCCTCTCCAACTAGTATAGAGAACGAGTCCGCTAGAAGATGGTCGCACTGAGTTCCCTTGGCCAGCTGATACGTGGTCTCTGGATGAAGTTCAATAAGACGCGCGTTTGTGGACTCATAGACCCAAGTTGCGACGCGTACGTTAATCTGGGGCATTGTTGCAATTTCGTATAGCTTTGCCAGAGCAAAAAAGGTCCACAGCTTGCAAGGTGTGTCCAACTGGGGACTAATATCTTCCAAGACTTGCAAGATATGGACGATGCCCGCGCGATGCCGTGAAGGTGAGTACTCTGGAAGAGGGCCAAGATCCTCTTCGCCGGCAAACGAGTCGCTACCAGAAATACACGTTAAAGGAAGGTTCCAGCGAGAGAAGGAGTTCGCCCAGGTTCTCATGCCCTGCGGGCAGGATAGCTCAGTCAAATATAGGACAGCATCCTCGTCGCTTAAGGGAGGGGTCAGGTCAATTATGTACTTGATTCCTTCAGGAGGTGCTCCGCGGCGTTTGATATTACGCTGCTGCGTCCTTGGTTCGAAAAGCTTCTGGAAAAAGGGAGAGCCGGTCGCTAGGAGCTTCTGGCTGTGAACCCTATGGCCAATACCTTGAGCAGAGTTTGGGTTCAAAGACCATGTCGGCCGGTATGAGGGAGGGTCGATAAAAGCCAGTGTATCGGCATCTTCGAAAAATAGAAACTCTTTGAGCTGTGAAGAACTCATGATTGATGGAGAAACCAGTCCAAGAGTCCGCAAAGAAGTTGTAGTGATCGTATCTAGGAGGTCGAGAAGCGAAATGTGAGGGGTTGAGTATTTGCGGCGAAAAACACGTAACAATCACACGCTTCGAACCTAGTAAAATAAAAGGACGTTGAAAGTAGGATACAAAGTGGCCATGGAGATCTGAAATACGATGAGAAGTGGCGAAAGGGACGGGTGGGGGATGGAAGAAGAGGAGATTGGGGATGGGATGCAGATGAGGCTGAGAGAGGAGATGCCGGTTGGTGGAGTTGTTTGCGTTGAGCTTTTTCACCACCCTGCCACCTGCCTTGTAGCCTCCAGTGGATTCGAGTTGCTGCCTGGTTCCATGTGACTCAGGCCTCTCCAGCTTATTTGCATAAGTCATCTCCAAGATGTTTGCCGATCAGGCCAACCACAGCTTTGTACAACTCACTTGAAAATGCCAGGCGTCTGGGCTTGGCAAATCGTCCTGTTGGCCGCTTAATTGAAACCAAGAGTGTTGGTATTCTTAGCTTCAGCCAGTGGGGAATTATTGAGCAAGAATGTTTACGCTGCCAGTGAAAATACAGACCAGTACATAAAGTCTAGAATTCGTCCGTAGAGTGGCAGCCCTGGGGCCATAGATTCATAAATCTCGTTAGACATGCAACATAAATCTAATCATGCAGAGAGTAAGCATGGTTCTGCTAACGCATCAAGCCACTAGGCAAAGATAGTGAGACAGCTGCCCAGTATATGCATCATGTCATCTCATAAAACAAAAGCAAGTCTTCCGTGCGCAAAATCTGCGCATCAGTAAATGGCATCTCGTTACACCATTATTCATCCTCTGTATCGGAATTCTTCTTGGAAGATGCCACAGTAGGTCCAGCGGAACGGGTTCCATCGCTAGTTTTGCCCCTGCGAGATACCGGGCGTTTCTTTTTCTTGTCTGCTCGGTATTTCTCTCGCTGATCGCTGCGCTGCTCGTCCGGCCGGCTGTGGCTACGGCTGGAGCGCAAGTCTTTAACCTCCTTGATTACCTCCCGGAACCCTTCCTCGATGTTGTTCATCCGCGCCAAAACGAGCTTGCTGAGCATATCTTGGTTTCCGTGCGGCTCACCCCTGCGTCGGATACCTCCTGCGGCGTAGGCCATCTGTGTAGTGAAGCTTGAAGGGGCACCTCCCATGAATCCGTTAGCGATTGCCTTGCCATCTCCCAGGTCCGAGCCTAAACCTTCGAGCACAGATGCGTCATGGTGCCATGATCCGTGACCTGGCGCGATGAAGTTTCCAACGTTCGGCACCGACAATTGATTACTTCTGAACATGTTTGTGTTGAGGAGCGTCTTGCCAGCATCCATGCTATGCCTTCTTTCCAAAGTATTCCGATGAGCTGAAGCCGTGGGGAATTGCTGACCGGGGATCATCCTAGAAATCGGTTGGCCGACGTCCGAAACGCTGTCGCTTTGGTCGCCGTGGCTCGATGTCACCGGGTTGTACAGGATTGTAGCTCCGGAGGGGTTCCGCGAATGGTGACGGACAAACCGAGCTGGACTGTTCTTGCGGGATTTGCGTTTCGCTGTAGATGGACGCGAGCTGTAGAATTTCGGTATCGTTTTACCCATACCTTCGTTGCTAGTTTTTGACTGTGCATCCGAGTCCTTGGCGTCTGACTGTCGCTCATTCCAGTTTCCGTTATCATCGCTGGTAAGTTCATTGTCTCCCTCTATGTCTGTATGACGAGAGAGTCGTCTGGCCCTTGCTGGCATGAAATCTCTCACATCACGGGGTGTTGCAGGAGACGATATAGCATGGGGTATATGCTCTTCAGGATTGGACGCGATGGAGTCGGTAAAGTTACGAAGACTTCGCGCCCGTCCACGCCGGGGAAGAAAACGTCCTTTCGGCATTCGCTCCAGTCGATCAACTTCATCCGAGTCTTGCTCATCTGGTGGGTTGACTGGTCCAGAGCCCATATCTTGCATCCAGTTGTTCACGAGATGATTGCTCTTTCTTTGGATGTCTCTAACAGGGCTTCGATGCTTACTGTTACGGAACGGCTGCCGAAACACTTCTTCCAGAGCGCGGTCTTTCTGAAAAGTTGCCACTGACGGCTCCCGTACGAAACGAGGAGCGCGGGAACTCAAAGCCCTGAGTCGATGGCGAGCACGAGTTTCTCCTCCGAATTCAGACCTTAAGGGAGAATCAATGAGGTCAGTCGATTCAATCATTTGCGGGCTGAGAATCGTCTTTTCATAGGCGCAGATAGTAAACAATATGGGCATATGTGTGATCTTGATAATAGTGCGGTTGATTCGCACATACTGCCTGAAGGAGATCAAGTAGCGAAGTGGGGTGATCAACCAAGCAAAAATGTTTGTCGGCGCCACGTATGAGAAGAGTGCATCAGACTTGACCATCGAGATTGTGTTGACAGCGAACAGAAACTGATGTTCTTGATTGGCGTTTTGCACGATTCTCATGAAGGAGTTTGTCAAAACAGTAATTAGTATAGTGACAACAACAAAATGACAAATGAAGAGGAACATTGTCAAGATAGCCCTGCCGAGAAAATTATACTCGTCCCAGAGAGTCCATGCAGCCGGAGTGAAGCCCATGAGCATTTGGAAAAGCGCATACGCTACGGATCCAGGTGATTGATCCTGGCCGTTGCTGAAAGACAGAGTAAATGCGACGAAGAATCCGCTGCACGCAACGATGATTAGTACAAACACCGCAACCAGATCCGACGCCATTATGCGAAACGCAATCAGCAGTTGCGAGAAGTAGCGGTAGTGATCCAGTATCGAAAATAGTCGCGGAAACAGCAAGACTGCATTCGCTGCCAGAACATCGTAGGCTTTTTGCGCAACAGCCGGCTTATGAGTGTACGGCATAAAAGCGCCGTATAGACGCATGCAGTAGTAGCAAAATAAAAGAATGAGAATTCCGAGATCAAAGATATTCCAGAAGCTCATGAGATAGAGGCTAAAGCCTTGCTCATTGAAGCCAACGATCTCATCAAGCATAAAGCCCGCGCTCCAAAACCAGAACACTACTTCCAACGAGGTGATCTCGATGCTCCTTTCTTGTAGAACAGCGAGAAACAAGCCGAGCAGAACCGCAAAGGACAATGTGGAGAGAAACTGCCGGTATCGAGGAACTCGGAGCCGAGAGAGCTTGAATAGAGAGGCATAGCGGGGGTCATAAAGCGTCACTGATCGCCGCAACTTAGATGTATCGGTCCAAGTTTTCTTGTCTGGAGCACCACTGCTCGAAGTGGCGCCGTAGGAGGTCGAACTCTTGCCCGCTCGGGTTGGCGGATTGAGGCGATGGAGATTGTCCGCGGCGGAGTGAAATACAATAGTCCCAGCCCAGATTGCCTCCAGCTGCTTGACCACAAGCGGATGAGATAGAAACCGTTTCGCTTGAGCACGGATAGCTATCTCAAGACATGAGATTCGAGCGACTGCTGGCAGCCGCTTACCCCCGCCTGTAGAGGTCCAGCCCGGCGCTCGTTGATTGTTGCCGTTTCCCTCCAACTTTTGCCCTTGAAGCGGATAGAAGTCATAGGAGAGAGCGTCGATCAATTCGCGGGTTGTGTAGTCTCTGAGGAGCTTTATCGCCAGAAGCTCGCTCACCATCGCACGAGTGTGGTTGGTTCCGCTGTTTCCTGGGTTCAAATGAACTTCCCTGTCGAATTGAAGGCAATTCGTCATCAATGCATATAGCGTAGCTCTTGAAAAGTGCGAGGCTTTGATTTTCTGTTGAATTGGCTTTACCAAGAATTGCGAAATCTGAGGTGATCGGAGCTGGTCCCAGGTAAGGGTGGTTTCGCACCGCGAGATGATCAAGGATCGGATAGCATGTGTAACGTCGTAGACCGGAAGGATATCTATTCAGAGAGACAAAGTCAGTGAAAACTCTCCAAAATTTCTTCATCGTAACAGGAGCTGTACCTAAGTGAGGGGCCGAGAAAATTGGAAGAAGGGGTGTTGACTCGATGGGAGCGTCCTCATCTTCTGCATCGGCATCCTCGTCTTCTATGCTCTCATCCTCGGTATCTTCTTCACCCCTTTCGTTTCCACCAAGTTCACCATACCCAGGTTTTTGACCTCCGCGTGCGGTTTCATCAAGCAAGCGCCACCGCGACTCATCGGCAGGGTAGGGTGACGGAAAGAGAGAGCTTTGCGCGTATTCGCGTCGCTTCTTCGGTCGAAGCAGAGAGGCGAGCATGATTGATCTAAGCAGCTCGCCGAGGATCCGCGACGAGACGGTGATACAATCAATGCATATTCAGAATTATCACGCAACGTGAATTAATTGCGAAGTCGAAACACTGGTGGGGCTACCTCGGGCCAAAGAGCAGAACAAAGAAAGAAAAGTTCTCCAACTTGGGGCCAGAGGTGGTTGGATTTAATTCGGAACTGCAGCCAATTTCCAAGCGGAATTAATAACGCACATGCGCGTGCAGCGCAGCAGGAATGGAGGGGGAGATCTTTGAAGCTTTCTAAGCCCAAGACACCAAGGTGTAGCTGCAAGGCTGTTGATTTGTGGCGAGATAAGCCGCAGGCGCACGGGGATCATCTGAGCATCCAGGTTTGCCCTACATGACGCTAAATTGGCCAGGTCTTTATTTCGACTGAATCGGTTGTAGCAAATGTTTGGGGCAAATGATCTTAGGTATTATTATTCTCTATATTCAATGATACACTCATGTCTTTCTGTCTCTTTGCGGCTGTTCCTCTCTCTGCCTGGAGTTTTCTGTGTTTGTTTATATATTTCTGCTCCGGCACGTTGGCAGGAGATAACAAGGTTCTCCGGACAACTACGTCATGGCTGCGGAGAGGTTGAAGATGACCTCTTCAGGTCGCGTTCACATGGATTAAACTGAAAGTATATTAGATTCCATCTATTATACTCCGGAGTAAGCTCTTCCAGCTCCGATTGATACAGTTCTCCACGCTTCATGTTATGCAGACTGTCGATTCTCCTCGTTGACTGTTTCCCAGCTCCCGCGTCCTTGTCTGGTGGCGGATCCAGACCGAGCGAAAATGCTGCAGCCAACCCACGCCAACATCATCTTCTGCAAATCGTGCAGCGTCTCCTAACGCCATCTCTTCACCGCCCTCACGGAATGTGTCTGCAAGTGGGCGATCCTCGTAAACCATTGGCCGGGCAAACATCCCTGAGCCCAGCATAACCGATTTTGGGAGATTTTCGATCCGTCATGGTTCCCCTCAACGTCGATGACTATCCTACCTGCGCCTTTTGGCTTTGAGGGGGTTGAAGGTTTTTTGTGGTGTGAGAGTCCTTAGACATACCTACAACTCTTTGGCGTTGACAACTTGTACTGCGTCCCTATGTAGTGTTGGTTGGACTATTTAAACTTCTAGCATGGATGATATCAAAGTTTGCACCAGCCCATTCACACTTTTTATAGAAATTCAATTCCTCGTCCCTGTTCCAGACATCGCAACCGAAGCACTAGAGCCCTCAAATAAGGCGGCAGAATTATGTAATTCCATTGGAAACGGGGCAGCAGAAGCAATGAAAATCGGAGAAGAATTTTCTATGAGCGGTCAAGAATGGCAGAAATGTCTTTGGAACCGTGGTGTCGGTGTACCCCCCGCCCAATGGGGGAGCTCCATCTGCCCGCCGAACATGCGGAAATTTTTTATTCTGCCATCTTCCACCAGCTTTTTCTCCCTCCTCTTTTCTTCCTATATTCCTCCCCGTGCAGAGGCAGCAAACAAAAAATACCCTCTTTTTGTCCTCCACTGTCGCTCAAGGAGAGTTTTGGAGGCTGCTGATGCTACGGTAGAGTGAATACCCTGCCACATTGTCCCCGAGAGGACCTTTTCCCCTCATACCCCGCCGTACGACTATCGAAAATGCCTGAGACCATCGTCGACGAGACAGCTCTTCCCTCGAGCCCTCAGGCTGGAGGAGCCGTTGCCTACAACACAGTTAGCAAGGAATTGCAACCCCTCCCGTCATTGGAGACCGGCAATGGCGCTATCATTCCTCCTGCGTCCTCAAGAATCGAAGGTAGCACCGGGAGACTGTGTGCTCTCGAGCTCGAGGATGGCACAGTTTACCAGGGTTACAACTTCGGAGCTGAGAAGAGCGTATCAGGAGAGCTGGTCTTCCAGACTGGTATGGTCGGATACCCCGAATCCATCACAGATCCCTCCTACCGCGGTCAGATTCTTGTCATCACGTTCCCTCTTGTGGGAAACTATGGTGTCCCCTCCCGAGAGACCATGGATGAACTGCTGAAGACATTACCGAAGCATTTCGAGTCCACCGAGATCCATATCGCAGCACTGGTTGTGGCGACTTATGCTGGAGAGAACTACTCTCACTTCCTTGCTGAGTCGTCACTGGGACAGTGGCTCAAGGAACAAGGCGTGCCTGCCATTCACGGGGTTGATACCCGCGCACTTACCAAGCGCATCCGTCAGAAGGGTAGCATGCTTGGACGTATGCTCCTTCACAAGGCCGACCTCGCCGAAAGCGAGGCAGCCCTACACAAGGATGATTGGAAGTCCTCCTTTGAACAGGTTGACTGGGTCGACCCCAACGTCAAGAACCTGGTTGCTGAAGGTACGCGATTGAACCCTGACTGAATTTCCTTCCGAATAGCAATGTCTGACTGGCAACTCCTATAGTATCAATTCGCGAACCTAGACTTTTCACTCCTCCCGAGGACATTGCTCTCAAGCACCCCTCCGGCCGCACTCTTCGCGTTCTCTGCTTGGACGTCGGTCTCAAGTTCAACCAGCTTCGTTGCCTGCTCGCTCGTGGTGTAGAAGTTCTTGTTGTTCCCTGGGATTACGATTTCCCCACACTCGCTGGAAAAGACTATGATGGTCTTTTCGTCTCCAACGGTCCTGGTGACCCAGCCACACTCTCTACGACTGTTAACAACCTGACAAAGACACTCAAGGAGGCCCGGACACCCGTATTTGGTATCTGTCTCGGTCATCAATTGATCGCTCGATCGGTTGGCGCGCAGACAATGAAGATGAAGTTCGGTAACCGTGGTCACAACATCCCCTGCACAAGCATGGTGACTGGAAAATGCCATATCACTTCGCAAAATCATGGTTACGCCGTCGACTCCTCCACTCTTCCCACCGACTGGCAAGAGTTGTTCGTGAACGCGAACGATGGCAGTAACGAAGGTATCAGGCACACCAGCCGACCTTTCTTCAGTGTCCAATTCCACCCCGAAAGCACACCTGGTCCTCGGGATACAGAGTACCTCTTTGATGTGTTCATCAATGCCATCAAGGACACGATCTCTTCTCCTGAAGCCCTCAACAAGCCCGTCAACTTCCCCGGAGGAACCGTCGCCGAAAACATCAAGGCTGCTCCTCGCGTCTCCGTTCGAAAGGTCCTGATTCTGGGAAGTGGCGGTTTGAGTATCGGACAAGCCGGTGAGTTCGATTACTCTGGCAGTCAGGCCATCAAGGCCTTGAAAGAAGAGGGAATCTACACCATCTTGATCAATCCCAACATCGCCACTATCCAGACATCCAAGGGTTTGGCAGACAAGGTTTATTTCCTGCCCGTGAATGCCGACTTCGTGCGTAAGGTGATCAAGCACGAAAGACCTGATGCCATTTACGTCACTTTTGGTGGACAAACTGCGCTACAGGTCGGTATCCAGCTCAAGGACGAATTCGAGTCTCTTGGCGTCAAGGTTCTTGGTACACCGATTGACACCATCATCACCACCGAAGATCGTGAGCTCTTTGCTCGGAGCATGGACTCTATTGGCGAAAAGTGCGCCAAGTCTGCTTCGGCATCCAGCCTCGAGGAGGCCCTTAGCGTCGTCGAATCGATCGGTTTCCCTGTTATCGTCCGTGCTGCCTACGCGCTTGGTGGTCTTGGAAGTGGTTTCGCTGATAACATGGACGAACTGAAGGAGCTCTGTGGCAAGGCCTTTGCTGCCAGTCCTCAGGTGCTGATCGAAAGAAGTATGAAGGGATGGAAGGAAATTGAGTACGAGGTTGTTCGCGATGCTAGGGACAACTGCATCACAGTCTGCAACATGGAGAACTTTGACCCTCTTGGTATTCACACTGGTGACTCTATTGTCGTTGCCCCCTCGCAAACGCTATCCGACGAGGATTACAACATGCTCCGAACAACGGCTGTCAATGTGATTCGCCACCTTGGTGTTGTTGGAGAGTGCAACATTCAATACGCCTTGAACCCCTTCTCCAAGGAGTACTGCATTATCGAAGTGAATGCCCGTTTGTCTCGTTCTTCCGCTCTCGCCTCCAAGGCCACTGGTTACCCGCTCGCCTTCATCGCTGCTAAACTTGGACTGGGCATCCCGCTCAACGAGATCAAGAACTCCGTCACCAAGGTCACCTGTGCCTGCTTCGAGCCATCGCTCGACTACTGCGTGGTCAAGATTCCTCGATGGGATCTTAAGAAATTCACCCGTGTGTCTACCCAGCTTGGTTCTTCCATGAAGAGTGTTGGTGAGGTGATGGCTATTGGTCGAACGTTTGAAGAAGCAATTCAGAAAGCTATTCGATCCGTCGACTTCCACAACCTTGGGTTCAACGAAACAAGTGCTCTCATGTCCATCAAGGGTGAATTGCAGACACCTTCCGACCAACGTCTTTTCGCCATCGCCAACGCCATGGCCGCTGGCTACAGCGTCAACGATATCTGGGAACTCACTCGTATTGACAAGTGGTTTCTCAGCAGACTCAAGGGCCTAAGCGACTTCGGTAAGCTCATGACATCCTACAACTCGAGCACCGTTACTGCGCCTCTCCTTCGCCAGGCTAAGCAGCTCGGTTTCTCCGACCGCCAGCTCGCGAAGTTCCTGAGCTCCAACGAACTCGCTGTCAGACGCATGCGTGTCGAGGCTGGCATTGTCCCCATTGTCAAGCAGATCGATACAGTCGCCGCTGAGTTCCCGTCCGTGACCAACTATCTTTATCTGACTTACAATGGCTCCGAGCACGATGTCAAGTTCGATGACCATGGTATTATGGTCTTGGGATCTGGAGTTTACCGTATCGGTTCTTCAGTCGAGTTCGATTGGTGCTCTGTTAGAACCATCCGTACTCTTCGTGAACAGGGCCACAAGACTGTTATGGTCAACTATAATCCCGAAACTGTCAGTACCGATTACGATGAGGCCGACCGATTGTACTTTGAGAACATCAACCTGGAAACCGTGCTCGATATCTACCAGCTTGAATCTTCTAGCGGTGTAGTCATCTCAATGGGTGGTCAGACCCCCAACAACATCGCCCTTCCTCTCCACCGCCTCAACGTCCGTATCCTGGGTACATCGCCTGAGATGATTGATGGAGCTGAGAACCGCTACAAGTTCTCGCGTATGCTTGACCGCATTGGGGTCGATCAGCCAGCGTGGAAGGAGCTTACCAGCATTGACGAGGCGGCCGAGTTCTGCAACAAGGTTGGCTACCCAGTGCTTGTGCGTCCTTCCTATGTCTTGTCCGGAGCTGCCATGAACACGGTCTATTCCGAGCACGACCTTGCCAACTACCTGAACCAAGCTGCCGATGTCTCTCGTGAACACCCTGTTGTGATTACCAAGTACATCGAAAACGCGAAGGAGATTGAAATGGACGCGGTGGCTCGCAATGGTGTCATGGTTGGACACTTCATCTCTGAGCACGTGGAGAACGCAGGTGTTCACTCCGGTGATGCCACCTTGATTTTGCCGCCCCAGGACTTGAGCGCAGAGACCGTTCGACGAATTGAAGAGGCTACCCGCAAGATCGGAAACGCGCTGAACGTTACTGGCCCTTACAACATCCAATTCATTGCCAAGGACAATGATATCAAGGTCATTGAGTGCAATGTCAGAGCCTCTCGTTCTTTCCCGTTCGTGTCCAAGGTCATGGGTGTCGACCTTATCGAGATGGCTACCAAGGCTATGATCGGATCTCCCTTCGTGGAATACCCTCCTGTGAGCATTCCAAAGGACTATGTTGGTGTCAAGGTTCCGCAATTCTCCTTCTCTCGTCTGTCCGGCGCCGACCCCGTTCTTGGTGTCGAGATGGCCTCTACCGGAGAAGTTGCCTCTTTCGGTCGCGACAAGTACGAGGCCTACCTCAAGGCTCTGCTGTCCACCGGTTTCCGCCTTCCCAAGCGCAACATCTTGCTCTCTATTGGTTCCTACAAGGAGAAGATGGAGATGCTGCCGTCCATCAAGAAACTCCACGATGTCGGTTTCGAACTGTTTGCCACCTCTGGTACTGCGGACTTCTTGAAGGAGCATGGCGTTCCCGTCAAGTACCTGGAAATCCTTGTTGGTGAAGACGAGGACGTCAAGTCCGAGTACTCGCTCACCCAGCATCTGGCAAACAACCTCATCGATCTGTACATCAACTTGCCGTCCAACAACCGATTCCGCCGACCTGCCAACTACATGAGTAAGGGTTACCGAACTCGCCGTATGGCCGTTGATTACCAGACCCCGCTCGTCACAAACGTCAAGAACGCTAAGATCCTGATCGAGGCTATTGCTCGTCATTTTGCTCTGAATGTGCAGAACATCGACTACCAGACCAGCCACCGCACTATCACCCTCCCTGGTCTGATCAACATTGGTGCTTTCGTGCCTGGTCTTGCAAACCCCGACTCGAATGACTTTGAGGCTGTGACCAAGGCTTCCATCGCTGCTGGTTTCAGTATGGTGCGCGTCATGCCCGTGGGTGTCGACTCTTCCATCACGGATGCTCGAGCCCTGAAGGTCGTCCAGCAGAACGCCGCCAAGGGCTCATTCTGCGACTTCAACTTCTCGGTCGTTGCAACCTCCACCAACTCTGCAGAGATTGCTCAAATGACAGGAGAAGTCGGTTCTCTGTTCATTCCCTTCAATCACCTGTCCGGAAATATCAGCAAGGTCGCTGCTGTCACCAGCCATTTCGCCGCTTGGCCATCTAGCAAGCCTATCATCACTGACGCCAAGTCGACGGATCTTGCATCCGTCTTGCTTCTGGCTAGTCTCCACGGCCGCAACATCCACGTCATGAGCGTCACCTCCAAGGAGGATATCAACCTCATCGCTCTCAGCAAGGAGAAGGGTCTCAAGGTTACTTGCGATGTCTCAATCTTCTGCCTCTTCCTGTCTCGCGATGATTTCCCTGAGACCACCTTCCTGCCTACCGCTGAAGACCAGGCCGCCCTGTGGGAACACCTCAGCACCATTGATATCTTCTCCATCGGCAGCATTCCGTTCCAGCTCGCTGGCGAGAAGGGCACTCCCGCTGCCGGTATTGCCGAGGCCCTGCCCCTCTTGTTCACTGCCGTTTCTGAGGGCCGATTGACCGTGGAGGACGTTGTGGCGCGTCTCTATGAGAACCCCAAGAAGATCTTCGAGCTCCACGAGCAACAAGACAGCTCCGTCGAAATTGAGATCGATCGTCCTTATCTCTACCAGAGCCCTCAGCAGGCCTGGTCGCCCTTCAACGGCAAGAGCGTCAAGGGACTTGTTCAGCGTGTCATCTTCCAGGGCAAGACCTCTTGCCTTGACAGTGAGATTACCGCAGATGCCCTCAAGGGATCCGACATGTCCGGTCACAGGATTGTTCCAGCCGCCTCCCCCTCTCTCAAGGCTATGTCTCCCCGGCCTCGCCCTGAGAGTGCGCTGGACCGCAGGCAGTCCATCTCTGGAACTCCCGCTCGGTTGGCACGCAAGCCCGTCGACCAGTTCCCTGGCGCCAGTCTGAACGAGCTGGGCCCTCCTTTGTACGCTCCTATACCCCGGGCCTCCTCCCCGCTGCTCAACATGCTCGCCCGCTCCACCTTCAAGCAGAAGCACGTGCTCTCTGTCAACCAGTTCACCAGAGCCGACCTCCACCTGCTTTTCACCGTGGCACAGGAGATGCGCCTTGGTGTGCAGCGCGAGGGCGTTCTGGACATTCTGAAGGGTCGTCTTCTGTGCACTCTCTTCTACGAGCCCTCCACCAGGACCTCCGCTTCGTTCGATGCTGCCATGCAAAGACTGGGTGGTCGCACAATCGCCATCGCCACTGAGCACTCTTCCACCCAGAAGGGCGAGACCCTGCAGGATACCCTCCGCACTCTCGGCTGCTACGGAGACGCCGTTGTTCTCCGTCATCCTGACCCTTCCAGCACCGAGGTCGCCGCCAAGTTCTCTCAAGTCCCGGTCATCAACGGTGGAAACGGCAGTGTTGAGCACCCTACCCAGGCATTCCTCGACCTCTTTACCATCCGTGAGGAACTCGGAACTGTTGGTGGTCTGACCATCACCTTCACTGGTGACCTGAGATACGGGCGCACTGTCCACTCGCTCATCAAGCTGCTCCAGTTCTACGATGTCCGCGTGCAGCTCGTCGCCCCCAAGGAGTTGTCTCTGCCCGCAGAAGTCCGCCAGCAGATCGCTGCCTCTGGACAGCTTCTCGCAGAGTCCGAGGAACTGACACCCGAGCTTGTCGCCGGATCGGATGTTATCTACTCCACCCGCGTGCAAAAGGAGCGCTTCGCCGACCTTGAACAGTACGAGCGCCTCAAGAACAGCTTCATCATCGATAATGCTCTTCTCAAGCACGCCAAGAGCCACATGATCGTGATGCACCCTCTGCCCAGAAACGCAGAAATCGCCGAGGAGGTCGATTTCGACCAGCGGGCAGCTTACTTCCGACAGGTGAGTTTCTTTACCCCCTGCCTACGACAACATGCTAATGATATGATACAGATGAGGTACGGCCTCTACTGCCGTATGGCTTTGCTTGCATTGATCATGGCACCTTAAGAAAGTCTTGGGGGCCGTGTCTGTGGATATGATTCCCAGCAGCAAACCCGTGTATTTCTCCCCTTTACTTCGATGACTCTTTATTTTGCGTTGCGTTTGTTGTTTTGCGATCGACGCTTCGATGTGTTATGTCCAAAAGTTATACAGTCTTATATACCTTGTAGGACTGGCGAGGCAGACTTTAATAAGCCCGTCAGGTAGATTAGATGAATTTCCTTTATGAACCCAATGACTCCGTTATGTGTTATGTGTTATGTATATGATGTGGGTTGTATGTGTATGGTTTGTGTTTTGTGTGTGTGTGTTGTGTGTTATGTTTGGCGTGTGTTTGGCGTTATGTGCGTTTTCTTCAATTTGTTTTATTTTCTTTCTTTCTTTTTATTTTTGTCTTCTCTTTGCATACTGGAGCGTTAGCTTGGCTGGGACTGGGATTCGGACTGGGATTGGGATACATCTGGTGTTGAGTATTGGAGTGCATTTATGGCTGGATCGGGTCAACATAGATATACCCTTGTACAATTTGCAATATCAATTCTTGAACTCGCAAATATCTTCAATATGTTTAAAACACTAAACTCTGTGACCTGATTTTAGTATGGTGGTCGACTTACTACTTAAGAAATCACCTGCTTTATAGGCTTCGGCTCCCGTCTCCGTCGCCTTCCTTTCCAACTCTTTGTCATCTCAACACAATTCATGCCTTGCCCTGGAAACAATCAACCTATCGCATTCTTACCAATTACACGTATATATAGGCACCCCACCGATTCCAATGATTAGTCCACTTATTTTTCAGCACATACCAAATCAGCAGCTGTGGTACCTGCGTCCTGCATCCTGCGTCCGGCGCGAACCTCGCCTCGCTTCTCATCGAATAACGATCAGAGAGCAAGGCATTTCTTAGCATGCTGAAGACGGGCCGGGGAAGATCCTAGAAAAGGAAAAGAACCACACCAATCCAGGTATTTCCCCGTGGTTCTCCGGAGTCGAACGTTCTTCATTTCCAGCACCTTGCACGTGGTGGATCTGCGGCGGCTGAGCGGCGCACGAGCTGCAGGCTTAATCTATCTTCAGCGATTCAGCGCCATGACAAGTGGCTTGGCTCCATGCCGAGTGGAGACGGAATTGTCAACAATTCAACTGCGAAGGACGTATGCGATGAATTGTGTCGCCCATCTGACAATCGTGGAGCATGGGGCTGGGGTATAAAGGCTGTGCTGGAGGACGGCAGAATGTCTCGCTACTTCAATGATCTTCAGAGTCCTGTTTTCTTGAGAACAAGGCCAAGATGAAGCAGAACCTGTTTTGGCTCGTGAGCTTGAGCTCTGCGAGCTATGCTGTCTCCATTAGCTCTGACTTTGATCCGCGGGAGCACGTTGGCGCCAACTCGCCGTGGTTTGCTGGTATGTATTTCTCTTGACACTTTACGATGTCAAAGATTATACTAAAAATACAGGTCCTAATGTGAACAACATTTCGCCCGAGGTCCCCGAGGGATGCTCGGTCGACCAGGCCGTCTATGTTGTCCGCCATGGCAGCAGATACCCCGATCCCGGTGCTTATGCGGAGTGGCAAGCTCTGCACGAAGCGGTATGCTGCTTTTGCGATCGACTCGACGGATTTATTGACAGTTGCTAGATTCAATCGGCCGACTTCCGGGCCTCCGGCTCTCTGGAGTTCCTCTCCGACTGGAGTCCTGTGTTGAGCCACCCAGAGGAGCAGATCGCTCAGGTTTCGATTACTGGCTACAAGGAATTGTAGAGAACCACCTCACATGGGGTCATACGATCAATGCTAACATGCTACCATAGGTATAACCTCGGCACAGACTTGCGATTCCGGTATCCAAGTTTCCACGAGGACAACACACCCTTCCTGCTCTGGGCCAACGAGTACCAGCGCACTGTTGACTCCGCAAGGTGAATCAACCGCTCTTTGATGTGGCTCATAACTAACATCTACAGACTCTTCGCCCGCGGCTACCTCGGCCCCAATTCCTCTCTCGCTGATATCTACACCATCAACGCAGATGCCCCGGGAGCCGCAGGAAACTCCCTGGCTACATCAGACCAGTGCCCTAACTTCAAGGACGCCAGCGGAGGAGACTATGCTACGACCTGGGACTCGATTTACCTCCCGCCCATCACCAAGCGACTGAACAAACTGATCCGCGGGAACCTGACACTCACAGATAGCCAAGTCTCGATCTTCCCGTACCTTTGTGGTTTCGAGTCTCAAATCACTGGCAGCGTGAGCCCCTTCTGCGGTATTTTCACAAAGAAGGAGATCCAGCAGTATGAGTATCGTCAGGATTTGCGATACTACTATGGAACGGGTAAGAATATCGGATTTGCTTTCCAGAAACAAGAGAGAGAAACAAGAACTGACACGATATAGGTGCCGGCGCTGGCAAGAACATGACCGTCATGTACCCCGTCCTTCAAGGAATCGTCAACCTCCTGCAAGAAGGACCTGAAGCCACTACGGAAACTAGCACCGGTACTGAGAAGCTGCCTCCTCTCATAATGGCCTTTACGCACGACAACCAGATCAATGAACTCGCGAATCTCCTTGGTGTCTTTGATAACCAGAAGCCTCTTTCCCTAAAGAAAATTGATAGCAAAAGAGTCCGTCTCTCCGCCCTACCATCCTCTTACCAACATAATACGTAACATACTAACCCTAACAGATCTATGTCAGCAGCCGCACATCCCCCATGCGTGGCACAATTACCTTCGAGCGCCTAAACTGCGAATCCCGCAAGGGCAACTCAATCAATGTCCGCATCCTACTCAACGATGCCGTCTACCCGATCCCCTCTTGCCGCTCCGGCCCCGGAAGTAGCTGCCCCATCGACAAGTACGCTAGCTACGTATCCAAGAAGAAGAGCCAGTACGGCTCGTATGCGTCGATTTGTGGCCTCGATGAGGAGGAACTGACGACAATTGGCGAGGACGAGTCGGCTACGTTCTTCAAGAATCTGACATTGCCGTTTTTGACGGTTGTTAAGCCGTGATGTGGTGGGCATGTGTGTGTACACGTGATGCTCCATGCAGATTGTGTTCATGGCATGTGAGGAGATTTCCCTCCAGTCTGGCTTATGCGTCGTGTATCGTGATTTGGAAATTCTTGGATTGAGGTGGCTCTATCTACCTTGATCCGCAAATATTCTGCCTTTACAATACATCCCTAATTTCGCAGAACAACCAATCTAGAGGCCGACAACTGGTGTAGCGCTATTCACCACTGGTCTATGAATGCCATGTCCTTATATGCTAAAAGGATCCCTGCTTGTATTAGGTATAGCTAGGACGTTTTGTATGTAGTGAGATGCATGATCTTGAGCGCTATAGGGCCGCCTTCATCTGACCAAAGCTCCTGTGAGTCCCAGCAGGCCCATTTCTCTCGTCCCTAGCAAGGTGCACTGCGTGTGGCTTGAGATTTGAAGAGATCTCAATAAGTACCCGGCCACTGACAAGGCCGGCCGATCGTGCGACCAGTTTGACTTGCCCAGTCCTCTGCCATGACTGCACAAGGACGGCTGCCCACCCATTGAAAGCCGATTTCTGGTTACCCTGCTCGGATTCGCAGGTGGCTGCATTGTCGCCGTTACCGACGCCGAAAATGCGGGCTTCAGGATTACCGTTACCCTCAGACTGGTGTTCAGCCTGCTCAAGAGCGAAATGGATCATGTTATTCGCGTTTGGAACGAGGACACCCCTGTCGTCTACAACAGCAAGTCGAATTGTCTATACATCTCCGTTGAGCGCGAGCTTCAATCGATCACCCTGCAGTAGCAGCCGGCGCGGTCTTCCTGCAGTGCGAGCTCGGTGCTCTGCCACGACTGCGCCGACGGAGTTGAGGCCACGAACCGGTAGTTCGCCCGGGGATATAGAAGCCCTTCTGGGAAGTACGCTGTGGACTTTCGACAGCTCGCTGGTCAATGATTGTCTGCCCGATCACCAAGACCTGGACACTAGGGCAATTGGAGTACACGCGGAATGGGATCCGTTCCCCTTCCTTGCCCGGCCATGTCCAGTGCGGGAATGCATGGACGAGAGGCTCGTCGCGTTTGAAGATGCACCGTACGAGCAAGTAGCAGTCTTTCGGAAGTCCAATAAGATGACCGGCACCGTACGCTGAGATCACTGAGGGCCATGCGGTCGGAACAGGCTCGCCGTGGTAGTCCATGCCAGTCCAGATGCAGCCACCGGTGGTTGCGGAATCGAGGAAGACATCGGTGAGGATGCTCGAAATGTTGTCTCTTGCTACGAGGTCGCCGGAGCCCAGGGCTGGAACCTTGGTCATGTTAGCGAATGATGGCATCAGACCGCTAATTGTTGAGAACTCGCTGTTGCGCCCTGGTTGTGTCGTGTATACACCGCGCGTTGGAGCATGCAGACCACATTCATCCTGGATATGTGGCTTATCTGGGAAGTAGCTCGTAACTTTCTCAACCGTGTTGACGAGCCCCTGGTAATGAATGCCAACCATGCTTGTGATGTCATGGTACGGATGATCGAGATGGATAACACCACCAACGCAAGTATGCCGTGACGGGTTGAGGCGGTTGGCTTCGGCAACAAGGCGCTTCAGAATTTCCATGCCCATTGCCGTACCCTGCAGTGTCAGTTCCTCGTTTTCAAGACTTCCATAGTAGGATGGAAGGCGAGTTGCGGAACTGGCGAACCAGCGTCCTGAGGAAGCCGAGATGCGCGGTGCTCAGTAAGCGGTTCTCTGGGATGACGAAGGATCCCATACGTTCAGCGTGTTGCACGAGCTCGGGCGACGGGGGATGGTGGGCATTCCGGACTGTATTTGCTCCCATCGAGCTTGTATTCGATCAGCCGGTCAGGCATGCCCACCCCAACGCCGGAAAAATCAGCGCGAATATTGCACCCGCGAATCTTGTGTCGAATACCATTTACAAGTATACCATCTTTCTGGAACTCCACTGTTCGGAGTCCAAAGTGGCAGGCGGGTGTTCTGTGCACGACCACTTCTCCTTCGTGGACGTGGACAATGGCGCTGTATAGCTGTCCATCCCCAATGTTCCACAAAGTTGGCTTTTGGATGATCGTTGTAAAGTCAACAGTGATTCCCTCTTTCCAAGCCGGGACTTGCTGCTCAGGACGGTGAAGTTTCGCAGCTGTTTCTCCCCTAGGGTTGATGATGTCTATCGAGATGCTAGCGATCCGATCAATTGACGACATATTTTGCAGCTCGATACAGAGCTCGACTCTTGCCTCAGTGCCAGATACCATGGACACAATCTTCCCGCCGTGCTCGGGTATCGAGAGGACGTGATGGCGTTCCAGCCACACATGCCTAGAAACTCCACCTCCCTCATACCACCCGCCCTCGGCCTCTGTCGTGTCGCTCCGAACAAGGATAACGTTAGGCTCCTCACAGGCAGGCCTCAGCAACTCAGTGATATCGAATGAAATTGGCGGGCACCCGGTAAGGTGAGACCCAAGATAGAACCCATTAACCCAAACGGACCGCCCGACAACACCATCAAACGTCAGCCTGGTCCGTCGACCGCGGGGTCCGCAAGATCCTCGCAGTCAAGCGTTTTGCGGTAGTATGCGACACCCGGATGGTAATACCCCTGGTACGCTAACTGGAAACCGGGCTTGATGCTCTCCGGTCGGTTCGGCGATGGAGGTTCGTGGATACGCCAGTCATGCGGAAGATCAACTGTTGTCCAGTTGGCACCCAGCCTGTCCAAACGATTGTAGCTGACTTGGTTGTCGCCTCGCCTGTTTGCGATGACGTTCAGGGGGGCGCCGGGTTTGATTTCCTCTGCTGTGAGGTCTGCGGCGTAGCTCGAGGCGTTGGCTTTACCTGTTATCCGTCGAGCGCGCTCGCTTAATTCGCCTTTGTGTAGGTGCAATGCTAGATCGATGTTCTCTTTTCTAGGATACATATTGCTTTTGCTTGTGAGCAAAGGGGTTGAACGAACGCGGGCGAGTGGCACTGGACGGTCGAAGTATGGGCGCCGCAAGGACCAATGATTGAGTGCACACGTAGGTGGTATTTGCAAGACGACTTTCCACGGCCTTTAGCCAGAATAAGTGATCAGACTTTAAAAACGGTCAGGAGATTCATCTGTGTTCGGTTAGACGCCAAGTACCCTGACCCTCGGCTCAAATATGACTTCGTACTGTATGAATCGGATCCATAGACTGCTGTTCGTCCCGGTTCGGGACTGCCGAACTTGAAGCCGGAGTGTGATGTACCGAAACCCCCACCTTGGAGAAAGGTTATCTTGGAAGTCCAAAGTAATCTCAATCTCACCTGTATACGAAGTATATCATCTGCTGTGGAAGTATCCATCTCCTAGCTATTGTCATACCCAGAGGCTACGAAGTCCACCGAAAATCACCATCGGTTCGTCCATCAATCAGGTCACAAACATTCGACAAATCCTCATGGGCAAACGAATCATTGTCACCGGGGGCTCCGGTAAAGCCGGAAGACACATAATCGAGTTCCTCCTTGCCCAAGGCCACGAAATCTTGAACCTAGACCTTGCGCCGCTCCCCGCTCCCCTCAACCAACAAGTCCACACTCTCAAAACCAACCTAACAGATGGAGCCCAGGTCTACAGCGCCATCCACTCCCATTTTAAACTCACAGAGCCTTTCGCGGCCTCAGAACCACTCCCGGACGCGGTCATCCATCTCGCTGGACTTGCGCGGAACATGCTTGTGCCGGACAATGAAACCTTTCGCGTGAATACCACGTCCACATATAACGTCGTCGAAGCATCCTGCCGTTCTGGAATCAAGAAAATCATCCTCGCATCGTCAGTCTGCGTGTATGGAGTGACTTATGCAGACGGGGATATCAACTTCCCTTCATTCCCGGTGGATGAAGAGATTGACGTGAATCCGATGGACGTCTATGCTCTTTCCAAAGTCTGCGGCGAGAAGACGGGGAGGTCCTTTGCGAGGCGGTTCGGTGTAGACGTCTATGCGCTCCGTATAGGAGCAATCATCGCGCCGGAGGAATACCAGACGGCATTTTCCTCGTACGTGCAGGATCCTGCAAGGTGGAAGGTCCATGGCTGGTCGTACACGGACGCGAGAGATCTGGGAAAGATGTGCGATCTCTGTGTTGCGAAGGATGGACTCGGCTTTCAGGTGTTCAATGCGACAAACGATAGGATTACGAACTTGTCACCCACGGTTGCGTTCCTGCGGGAGGTACATCCAGAGGGAGAGGTCGAATTTACCAGGGAGATGGATGAGTTCGAGGCACCGCTATCAAACCGAAAGATAAAAGAACTGCTTGGTTTCGTGGAGGATCATCCTTGGCAAAAGTACTACACCGCAAGCAAAGACTAGATTGTGCCAATGTATCTCGAGCCTTAGGCAGCAACCGAATGAGCCGGTGTAAAGTCACGTGTGGCCCGCCTCGCGTCCGCATCGTCCGCTCCGCTACAACTAGAGAAACACCGTCGTCAACCATAAGTGGTGGCTTTCAATTGCCCACCATCAAACTTTATTTGCTTGCTTGGGACAGTGCAGCAACATCAGATGAGTTTCTACTCGCAACTCTGAGAGTGCGGCGGATTGAACCCCAAGCGCGTGCTTGGCAACGCCGCCAACATATCGGCCCGGACACTTATCAGCCGAATGCCCGTTAAGGCTAGGCTCGGAACCTCTCGATCCGCGAGACGGCACTGGCAGATGAGTTTATGGAAGTGATTGAATTGAGATCGCTGGGAATTGCCGCCTAAGTAGGAAGCGAGCCCAGCCGAGCGTGTCTGGACTTCTGCAATAATACGTAAACTTCACCGTGTATGCTGTCAGTCGACGTACAGGTAACTTATTATGGTACATATGCAATTCCCGATGGTCTCGTGACTAATTAAGTCTCCAAACTCAAGCCCCCACGTGCGCTCCGCAAAACTTCCCCAGCATCTGCAATATCAGCGTTGTGTGAGAGAGCTTGTGAGGGACTGCTATTCCTGCTCCGCGCGTGATATGAACCGCCAAGGTGGAACAAGGGCCCTCGCAAGGGCGCAGCGGACTTCAAACGCCTGTGAATATTGTCGCGAGAAGAAGGTACTTTAGCAGTTTCCGCAGTACTACTCATGCTCCGCGTGCTTTGTTGACCGTACCGCTGGATAGATAAGATGTGATAGCGCAAAACCAAGCTGCAGTACCTGCACAGCACGCGGTCGAGAATGCAGGCAGCACCCCATAGCTAAAAAACCAAGGTAAGCCACAAATGTACCCGCAGCTACCTGCATCTAAAACCGTGTATTGCTGCTTATCCTGTCATCTCACTTTTGATACTGCTTGCTAGGCCGACAAATAGCCGAATCCGGCAGCTGGAGCGAGAGAATCAACGGCTACTGCATCTTTCCGGGGGTCGACTGCCACACGAAGCTTCGGCAAATCGGAGTATTCTCTACCAGGACTGCTCCGCAACTAGGGCCAGTGTAGAGGAACCGCCCTCCAGGGTTATTGAGCCTCCCAGCTTCCCCGCCGCGCCTGGCAGCAGCCTATCCCATTCTTCGCCAAGGCGCTCCGAACACCAGCTAGCTGAAGTTTCCCAGGCCAACCAGACTGGCTATCATGGACCTACGAGTGCTATGTATGACGAAACGACAGCACCCAACGATCGACTGGCGAGCCCATCTTCGATTGGTCGTGCTACAGAGTCACAGGATGGTTGGCTCATCGCTGAAGCTGCAAAAGAACGTATGTCGAGCACCCAAAGAGCAAATTAAACGATTGTCCTATTTACTACTCATCCTAACATTACTGATGCTTTAACAGGACATATGGAGATGATGAACATGGCACGTGGGAAGCTCGATTTTGACGGCGTTGATCCGGGGCTAGGAATGCATCTCCTTTCTCTATTTTGGACACGCCATCTTCACGCAGGTTTTATTGTTTACAGACCAGCATTCATGCGGGATATGGCCTATAAAGGCCCTTATTTTTCAAAACTGCTGCTTAATGCAATGTTCTATTCCGTCTCTAAACACAGCCCGAGAACCGAGATCCAGCGGGACAATGATTGTGATACTGCTGGCTGGTCCTTCCGCCTGCGCTTCACGGAGTTATTACGAGATGAGTTTGATAGGAGCAGTATCCCGACAATCCAGGCCTTGTTAATCATGGCGAGCTCACTGTTCACGCGGTGCGACGAGCGAAGTACTTCATGGCTGTATGCAGGAAATGCGTTCAACATGGCCATCGATCTTGGACTCCATATTGAGCTTCAAACATCTCTAGCACCCGAAGAGCGTGAGGTCAGGCGGCGTGTCTTTTGGGCATCATATTGTGTGCCATGAACTCCTTATCTTTAATCCGTAAGATTACTAACCTCACGTAGTGATTGATAAGATTCAATGCCTTTACCAAGGCAGACAGCCATGCCTTCGATTCGCGGACACCGACGTTCCGCTACGGCTCTCAAGCGACTTTGAGGATTATGAACGATTCGACCATGTGTCATTCTCCCAGTTTGCTTTTCACGAGGTTATTCCTTCCAGGTCCATTCAGATCCTACAGCAGCTGTGCAAGCTTAGCATTATCATGGAACACATTTACAGCAGCGTTTATGCCGTCAAAAAGCGATTGACCCAGGCGCTGAAGGAAGTATCTGATGACTCGGACAAACTTCAGGCTGAGTTGCAAGAATGGCGTTCAGGCCTACCAGCAGATCTAGACTTCGATGCGTCCAAATATGCTGGACTTATCCATCTGCCATTCAAATTATCCATGCTGCAGGTTCCCAACCAACTCACAAGTCTTTTAGCGATGCTAACATACCCCTGCAGAGCTCTTTGGAACGTTTTGGTCATACTTCTTCACCGGCCTCTAGTCTCAGATGCGCGGCTGCATTCAACAGACCCTGAGCGCTCTCACCGAGCCCTGACGCTGTGTAGCGGGGCTGCCAATGAGATTACCAGCATCCTACGATCCTATGCCAAGTCTTACGATATGCGCGGTGCACCGTTCCTGCTGTCCTATTCCACGTATATAGCTGCGACTATCCATGTTCATGTCCTAGCCAAATACAAAAACGCCTCAGACACCAGTTCGGGGGCCGCGCAAGCACTTCAAGTTTGCCTCTGGTCTCTCGACGGTCAAGCGTTGATGTATTCGGCGGCGGAGAAGGCGAAAGCTATCATCGTGGGCCTTACCGACCGTATGAATGTCAAGATTCCACCGCACAACGCCCTGCCGGATAATGGACCATGGACTTGCGGCATGCACTCAGATCCACCTGTCCGCGCCGGTAAGCCTTCATCTTTCCGTGGATATAGGAGTCACTCTTTCTTTTTCTACTTCTTTGCTGACGTTGCAGAAGCCGAGCAATTTGAGCAACCGGTGCCAAATACTGACTTCTTCAATTTCGAATTTGACAATGCATCGCGTAATCTTTCATTCGAGTTCTTCCAGGCTGAGGAATGGATGGACTTTGACCAGGGCGTTCTCTTCTGAATCCCCAGCCTGTGTTCCAAGGCGGGAAAACAGAAGAGGGTTTGTGGGTTCGCCGCATCTTCACTGAGCGTCGAGTCGTTACTTAGGCGGTGATTAGTACTCAGATAAGGACCCAGGTCCTCGATCGGGTGGCTATTGGGTGAAGCCACCTTCGGAGAAGACTTCATTTTAACAGCCCGTCTCTTCGGATGAACCAAGAACATGCGCAATCATAACCCCCAACACGGACCGCATACCGGCTTAGAGTATTGCTGATTTCGATAGCATTGCTTTCCGAGGATATATTCTGATTAGGCAGCACTACGCTGAAGAAGCGTGTTTTGACCCACTAGCTCAAGTAAACGGAGGCCGGGCTGGGGAGTATCTCGGATAGTCTCAACCCGAACGAGACCAGCAAGTCGCCACTCTTAAAACTGCATGCAGAGTAATCGGCAGCGCTCCCCCCGGTTAATCAAACCCATTATTTTCGGGAGCCGATAGCAACTGGCAATTTAATGCCCTGAGGATATACGAAGGCCCCGGCGGAGCTTCGAGTTGACTCGGCGCCTCTTGCAATAAGCGTTTTGGTCGTCACATACTCGCTCAAGTCCTACTCGCTTCGTATTCGCTCGAGGTCGAAAGACTGGGCTTTTATCTAGACTCTTTTGTCGACATACTAGAGATCTAGTGGTCGTTATTCGTTTACTTGATGAACCCACGAGCAAGCATGAGCTCGGAAACAGTCCGAGTCGGGCCACCAACTACTCGAGGATATCGTCAAGTCAAACGTGCAACGCGGGCCTGCCAACACTGCCATTCTCGCAAGGTCAGATGCGATGGCGAGAAGACAGGAATGCCTTGTACCAACTGCCGCTTCGATGGCAAACTTTGCCAAATTTTCTTAGGAGGCCGAACTAGTCGCAAACAACTTACGCTCTCACGATCGCAGCCAGAAGCCCTGCGAGCAACCCAGTCGCGCATCGAAACGCCTGGGAGCCATGCTTCTCTGTCCAGGAGTCTTTCTCCCTGCGTGACATGGGCAGCTGATGGGGCCTCGCTGCCGTTATCTTATTTCAAGTTCCTGGAGAGACCCGCTCTGGACGAGCTGAGACCAGCTGAGAGATCCGTTCTGGAAACACAGGGATGCCTGCATTTCCCCAAGAAAACAGAACTTGGAGTTTTCTTCCACCACTACTTCCTCTATGTCCATCCGCTGCTCCCGGTACTCGATGAGGCGTCATTCTGGACAGCTTATCAGCGACCTCTCCAAGGCACCCCTAAACTTCCAGTCCTGCTTGTCCGTGCAATGCTATTTTCTGCGAGCTGTGTACGTCTACTTCCTAACCTGCTTTCTAATCTGTCTACAATCTAAGTGTATGCAGTTCGTGCCAACGGAGGTTCTACACCAATGCAGATATGAATCTCCCATTGCCGCTCGGGACGATCTGTATCGGAAGGCGAAGGTCAGTTCTTCATCATCGCAGCGCAGACATATGGAAAAGGCTAACAAAAGTCCTTAGCTGGTGTATGAAGCAGGAATAGAAGAATGTCCCCTCACAGTCGCGCGAGCGTCGCTGCTGCTGACATACTGCAACTCGGACTCGGATGTGCTCGCCAATTCAGGTTGGCTTCGAATTGCGATAAGTCAAGCACGGCGAGAGCAGGCCAGACAGGATCGTTACTCAGATACCATAACCTTGAGGGCACGGGCCGACCTCAAGCTTGTCTGGTGGTGCTGTCTAATTCGGGATCGTCTCATATCACTAGGAATGCGACGGCCATTGCAGTTAACGATGGCAGAGTTCAATCGTCGCCAGAGCGGCATGGCAGTAAATGATGTGAAGGACGAGATCTTCAACTCTAAGGTCTATCACTTTGAAATAAAGTCCGCATTGTTTCATCTATTGGCTAGCTTGTGCCAGTTCGCTATTGCAGTCACTGAACTGATCACCCTCATTTACCCATCCTGTGAAGACGCAAGCCGTGTGCAGGACACTTGCGCCGAGCTTGAGAGGTTGGAAGCAGCAAGGTCTTCTTTGATACTCTGGGAACTTGATTGGATTACGTGTTTAGAAACGAAGAACTCTCATCTTGACCCATCTATTTCCCTTTTCTCAGGCTTGATTGCCATATACTACCAGTAAGTCGCCTGCTCCAAAACACTTGTATTGTGCGCGATCCAGCAGTTACTCAATCACAATAGCTCCTCCCGAGTCGCCCTGTGCAATCGTTTGTGCTATCTACTCGGCACTTCCGATGTCCTCGACCCGAGCCGCCTCTCTCAACTAGAGTTTTGCCAATCTGACCTGGTCACGGCTGTCCGTTCAGTCGCGGACAAAGTCAGGCAACTTACCATTCTTCAGCTTGTTGATAAGCTACCGATCAGTGCGTGAGTAATGTCCATTATGTCATTAATCGAGTTTCGCTCTTCGTGTGCCCCGGTGTTGTCGAAAGCTCAGACAGAAAAGGTACTAAATATCTCAGGGTGGCATACACAACAACTACTGAAATCCTGTTGACCATTGATCCGCAAGACACGCAACAGACACCACCTGCGCTTTTCGAGAGGTTAAATGAGTCCCTTCGTCTGAGATACCCCATCGCACGGGTGTCCAACCTCATCGCAAGAGCCCTGTGGCTATCGGAACTGTTTAAACACGCCGCAGGGCGCCACAACAATAGCAGCCAGAGCAGAAGCTCCACACCATCGAGTAGTGGACCTAGCTGCTATCCGTGCCTGTTCGGTCTCCCCCTGCAGCAATATAATACGCTCCTACATTATGTTGATCAGTCCATGTCCATTCCGCGAGGTTCCGTACAGGAGACAGATCTACTCTATGCCACAGCTTCGTCCTGGAAGAGCTGGCTACCCCAGGGTACTACAGATACTGATGTTAGCGCAGTGCAAGAGGAGGAACCCGATCCCGTGTGGATGGAAGCAATGGGCAATTACTTCTTCGGGCCAGGGGAGCATTTGTTTCTGTCACCGTCCGCGATGCTGGCTTCAGATACCCGGAGCGGGTGCAGGAGTCCCCTCGACAATGGGTCAGCCAATATAGGAGAGAATAGTAGCCTTTCGCCGAGTGCACAGGTCTACATATCCTTGCCTTGGTAAATGAAGATTGTCAAAGCATCTGTAGATTTCAGTCCAACTCGATACTAGTCGCGCCTTCCATCTGATCCATAGTTCCTTCAGTCCTGGGCCTGGGTCGCTTCCTCCCTTTGCGCATCTCAAGCCATGGCCCTAGAAGGGAAGGGCGACCCATCGTACCTTCCTTATATGATTTACCCAAGGTCGCTCCTTCCTTGTTACAAACGCTCACTCCAAAAGGAAGGAGCCACGTCGGTCGTGCCATCCGTATTATCTCAATTCCTGGGTCGCACCTTCCCTTGCTGTATGCTTCGCCGTCTGCCACAAGTGGAAAGAGCGACCCATCGTACCTTCCACATCTGATTGACTTGAGGGTCGCTCCTTCCTTGCTGCAAACTCCCACTCCAGCAGGAAGGAGCGAACTCCATCGCGCCTTCCGTTCCTGGTCATATCCTGGGTCGCTCCTTCCCTTCCTGCAAGCCTTGCAACCGGCCCAAAGCAGAAGCAACGACCCATAGTACCTTCCACATTTGATATCACAGAGGTAAGGTCGCCCCTTCCCTATTGGGAGTTACAAACACCCATCCTAGAGGGAAGGAGCGACCCCGGTGCACCTTCAGTATCTGGACGCTTCTTGGGTTGTTCTTTCCCTCTGCTGGCCACTCGCTATATGCGGTTGAAGGAAGGAGCGACCCCGCATTCCTTCCGTATCTGAGTTGCTCGTAGGTCACTCCTACCTTGCTCGAGCTACTTTCCCGAGGAGGCAGGAGCGGCTATCACGCCTCCTAAACCTGATAAGTTCACGGGTGACAAGCGGGTCACAGATCTCGTCTACAATTTGAGGGGTTTCTCTGCATGATCGAGGAGGACTCATCAACGTCATCGCTTGATACCGCGGAACAGAGCCGAAGTGATCAGATCCAGGTCATTCCTCGGTGAGTTGGTAGGTTGCGCCTTCGAAATCTTCGTGTCAGCTTCACAAATGTCCATTCGTCTCTATGGAAGGGGTATCTGGCCTGTAAATGATCTGCTGAGCGATTGGTGACTGCGTACGTCTAGAGATATACTCGACTGGTAGACCTGAAAGCCTTCATTACAGCTGCTAGTGATAAAAGATGGGCTTGACCTTTATGCGAGGTCCGAAGCCCGTCACAGAGCGCGATCAGCTGGCCAGTTGGGATCTTCGTCAGCGGACCTGTTGTGTAGATCTATGGCCTCGGTGTTTTGCGTAAACGGAGCAGGGTCGTCAGGACATGGGTACGGTGTGTGCCGCAAGAGAGGCAGTGTCCGCTTCGAAGTCTGAAGAACAGGTATAGCCTGAAATGGTAAGTGTGAAAAGATGCCCGTGGCTAGATCAGCTCAAGGACTTTCGCAAGAAATATGCTCAATGGGTTTGTACTCTCAGGGCTTGCCGAGTCCACACAATCTTCTCTCAAATTCAAAAGGGATTTGCTCTCTTGCCCCTCTCCTCCCAGATTCATCTCTCAATACCGTACTAGACACCATCTCAGCTTCGTTCCTCTGTTCACGATTACACACTCATTACTCACAGCTGCATACTTACGTAGCCTCGAGACCAACACAAGAATCCAAATCACCAAAATGCCGACCCACAGCACCCTCCACTCCAAGACGCAGCACCTCCTCCTCGTTCTCCTCGCAAAGACTCTCCGACCCATAATAGTCACGCTCGCCCGCCTCGCCGGCACCCCAAAAGCGACCCCAGACTCAATCCATTACGTCCCAGTCAACACAAACAATACCACAGACCACACAATCAAACTCCACATCTATAATCCTTCCTCTTCTATTTCACATGAAGATCCTAGTACACCATCCTCCGTCCTAATCACTTGCTGCGGCTCTGGCTTTGTCTTACCGGGCCACGGCCTCGACATGGACTACTGCCGGTACATCGCCGATACAACGGGCCACACCGTTCTAGATGTCGGGTACAGACTCGCTCCGGAACACCCGTTTCCCGCAGCCCTCGAAGACGTTGCGGCGGTCGTCTCGCACGTCCTCTCACAACCAGCCAAATACGACTCATCCCGTATTTCCATCGGGGGCTTCAGCGCAGGAGCGAACCTCGCGACATCGGTTGCAGTCAACAACTTTCCAGCGGGGACGTTCAAGAACCTCATAACATTCTACCCGGTCCTCGACGCGAGTATCCCCGCCGCGACGAAGATAGCGGTCGTCCCCGTGGCGCTGAGGAAGCCGAAATACGGCGGTATGGCTACTGTGCCTGTTCTCGCCATGCGGTTCTTCCAGGCGTGTTATGTTTCCTGTATCGAGGCGGATCTGGGCGAGAGAGGTCTGTGTGATCCGAGGGTTTCGCCGGTTTATGCGGCTCTCGACAGGTTTCCGAGGCGGTGTCTGTTTGTTACGGCTGAGTGTGATGGGCTAGCTGCGGAGGTTGAGGGGCTTGCGGGAAGGCTGAGGGTGGAGAGACGCGGTGAGGGTGGTGGTGGGAGGGAGGGGGATGTTGTGATTTTTAGGGTTGCTGGGTGTGGACATGCGTTTGATAAGAGGGTCAAGGCGGGGAGTGAGATGGAGAAAGTTAAGATGGAGGCTTATGAGGCTGTTGCAAGGTTTTTGAATGGAGGCGAGGTGTCTGGAGTGGAGCCTGAGGTTGGGTCTGATCTTGCTGCGAGAGCGGTTGGTTTTGTGTAAGGGAGGAAACCCTAAGTCGGGCAAACTGTGCGATGTGCGATGAGAGCACAGGGTTGACAAAATCCAAGCGAAGTCATGTCTGCGTCTGTGTCTGTGTATACTATGCTCTGTGCTCTATATCTATTATACTAAGCTACAATGAAATCAAGGCGCTTCGTTATATGTCTATCGAATCGTGGCCGGATCAAGCCAATTCAGGCCAGTATTTCTTAACGACCGTCTTCTTGTTCACCTTTCCCATGGCATTCCGCTCAATGCCATCAACAAGCTTGAGCACGGTGGGAATCTTGTAGGGAGCCATTTCCTGCTTCAATCGGCTTCGGAGAGATTGCAGTTCTAGTGGTTCGGTCTGTTCTTGTTAGATATTGTGTGTATCATCGGGAGGGTAGGAACTCACGCCAGCCCTTTGTTTCACAACTGCTGCCACTCGCTGACCCCATTCTTCGTCTGCAATACCTACAACAGCAACCTCCTGCACCTCATCCAGCGCAAGCAATTTCCGTTCTACCTCTAGCGCAGAGATCTTGTACCCGCCTGACTTGATGATGTCGACTGACGCGCGGCCCTGAATAAAGTACGCGCCCTTCTCATCGCGCCGCGCCACATCGCCGGTCTTGAACCATCCGTCCGCGGTGAACTCTTTAGCCGTGGCTTCGGGTCGTCGCCAGTACTCGGAGAAGACATTGTCACCCTTGACTTCAATCATACCGTCAACGTCGACAGAGTCAAGGACAGCTCCTGTTTCCTTGTCGGTGAGTCGCACCTGCACACCAGGTAGGGGCCAGCCGACACTACCGTCAATGCGCTTCTCAATTTCAAGGCCACAGCTTAAGCCCATGCCAATTTCGGTCATACCATAGCGTTCGAGGAGGGTCTGGCCCGTAATGGCAGCGAATTTGGTCTTGATTGGTGTGGGGAGAGCGGCGGAGCCGCTGACGAGGAGGCGAAGGGCGGCTGCACCCTCGCGGGCGGCGGTTTCCTGTTCCGTGCCGCGGATGTGTGTCTCGAAGTAGTCGACAAGACGGGAGTAGATTGTTGGCACGGCGAAGAACATGGTTGAGGAGCCTTGGCTTTGCCATCGGGTCCAGATGGTCGCGGGATCGAATTTTGGGTGCATTTCGACAGTGGCGCCACTGAGGAGAGTGGCTGTTAAGCCATTGATGATACCATGGATGTGATGCAAGGGGAGGACGTGGATAAGATGGTCAGAGGGCTCATATTTCCACGCTTCGATGAGGGATCGCGCTTGGAATGTGATGGTTTTATGTGTGGTGACACAGCCCTTGGGGTTAGAGGTTGTTCCCGAGGTGTAAATCATGAGCGCGCGGCGGTCGGGAAAGGTTGCTTCAGTGAACTCAGGAAGTTGCACGGCGGAGTTGTTTGTTGCTTGCGTGAAGGGAGTAAGGGTCATGAAAGTGCGTGTGTGGTCAGGGCAGCCTTTGCGAAGAGGCGCCTCGAGCTTCGAGAATGTTGGATGGAGGATTATCAGGGACGGGTCTGAGTCGCCAATTGTGTACAGCAGTTCCTGGACCGGGTGGGATGTGCCTTGGCGAGTTCAACGGTTAGTATACAGGCCATGCCCGCGTTGCGGGGTTGGTGCCGACATACAGAGAGGTACGCTCACGCCGCCAGCAGCCCAGACGGCCCATTTTGTAACGACGTAGTCATATCCATTCGGGACTAAGTAAGCAATCCGTCTCTCTTCCAGGTCTCCAGTGCCGGTGAGATCTAATTCTTCAAGGATGCGCTTCTTCAGAGCCGCGGCATCGGCGAGCAATTGAGCGAAAGTGAAATGCTGGGACTTGGTGGTATCAATCACAGCAATTTTTTCCGGCTTGGCTTGCGCATGCTTCCTCGCTTCGAGGAACAGTGGAAGAGAAGGGAGAGCAGCCAGCGACATGATTGTTTGCGTGCGAGGGGTAGAGAGTGCGCAGAATGCTAAATGTGAGGGGCACGAGCGCCAGGGGAAATGCCAGCCACGATCTGCGGGCTCAGCGGGGGCGGAGAAGCCATAGGGCCGCGACTAAATATTGGCACGCGATTCGGCGCTGAGTTTGAGCTCCGAGAATTGGAGAACAGGGGACTCCGACAGGGGTCCGCTCTCATTTGGAGCCGTCGGGGAGGAATCGGGGGCAATAATGCGACGCGCCACGAAAAAGCCAGCAAAGGCATGTCATGGCTGAGAACCAGTCAAGGAATGATGGTCCATATTAGCTGCATTCGGCAGTATAATCGCTTTGTCTGCGAACCCCATATTCAAAGCATTTGCCGGTGATTGATGTGCATTGACCCGCTTGTCCCTCGCGGGGAGTTGAAAGTTGCTTCGGAGTTGGCACTTTGATCCGCGAAAAGTGCGGAGAAATCATCCACCCCAGTACATTGCGGCATATTATTTAACAGGCAACAACCTGCTTGCTTCTATCAAGCAATTGTTTTCTCTCCTGTGATCTCATGTTATTTAAACTATTTCAGAGACATTATTGTTGTAGATAAAGAACGAACCCAATATCGCCACACGTGACCGTTGACAAGCTTCGGGAGTCCAGCCGACACCGGAACATTATTTGGCTTCAGTCAAATTCACCGAGAAGGCACGACTGCGGCTCTCATGTCGACCATGCTGAGACTTCCAGCTCTGCGGGCCAGGGCAGTCCGTCCCTGCAGCGTCAGATTTCTCTCTCGTGCAGTATCATCACTCTCACCACCATTGATTCGCCTTCAAGACGCCACATTTTACCAAAATTACCCAACCGCCGAAAATCAAGCAAGCGGCCAGAACCCTCCTCTATTCCCTAATCTCAGTCTCGAAATCCCATCGAAGCGCGGCGAAGATGGCCCTCAGCATTGGGCCGTGCTCGGAGCCCACGGCCGAACGCAATTCCTCGACGTCCTTCGTGGCCAGTACATTTGCGTACCGCCCAACGCCCGCAGCTATCCCTACCTACTTACAGAGGAAATCGCAAAGAAGGATCCTCGGTTACGGTATTCAGGAAGTGCAATTCAATACATTGGGTTTAGTGGAGAGGGCTCGGGCGCGATTGGAGGTACGCGAGGCGCATACTTAAGTGCTCGTTATGAGAGTTTACGGGAGGAGACCGACTGGACGGTCAACCAGTATCTTAGGGGCCAGACATCCCTGAATCCGCTAGAGGAAGATAAGGAGGGCACAGTCCGTAATGAGGAATTACTCTCCACGGTTATCAAAGATTTGCGTTTGGACGCACTTCTCGATATGCCTGTGGCTAACTTGAGCAATGGACAAACGAGACGGACGCGGATCGCAAAGGCGCTGCTGAGCAAACCAGAGCTTCTCCTCCTTGATGACCCTTTTAGTATGGCCCAAAAAAACATGGACTTTTCAGAAACACCACTAACATCCCGCTTCCTTTAGTGGGTCTTGACCCGGCTACCGTTGAAAGTATCTCCGGCTTCCTACACCGTTTAGCAGACAAGTCGGACCCTCGACTGGTGCTGTCCCTACGACCTCAAGATACGATTCCAGATTGGATCACGCACCTCCTTGTCCTAGGAAAGTCAAATCGAGTTCTCACGCAGGGGCCACGATCCCATGTCCAGAATGTATTCGACATATGGTCTCAAACGATCACCAACCCGGGATACCGAAAGAGGAACGATGCGGAGTATAAAAAAATTATCAAACAAGCCACAGCCGACATGGAAGCTGGTTATCTCGATGAACAACTCATCACGGATCTTCAATCGCATAGGTACTCTACTGTGCTCACGGACTTCCTTGCCCCCCGGGGAGGTGAGGCTCTCATTGAAATGGACGGAGTCCAGGTTCGATACGGTGGTGATGGTGCCGGCGGCACGATAGCCCTTGGTGACTGGACGCAAGAGGTCAGGGGTCAGAAGAAGCCAGGCCTACACTGGGTTGTCCGTAGGGGCCAGCGCTGGGTGGTGCTTGGGGCCAACGGCTCGGGCAAGACTACTCTCCTCTCTCTCATCACCTCCGACCATCCTCAAGCCTATTCACTTCCCCTCAAGCTATTTGGTCGCTCTCGCCTTCCCGAGCCTGGTAAACCAGGGATCTCCATTTTCGAGCTCCAATCGCGCATCGGCCACTCCTCGCCCGAAATCCATGCCTTCTTCCCACGCCAACTCACGATTCGCCAGGCGCTTGAATCCGCCTTTGCAGAAACATTTCTTTCAAAGCCAAAGCTCAACCACGAGCTTGACCTGGACGTTTCTTCCGTCCTCCGCTATTTCAAAGCAGAACTTGATCCGGATTTCTGCCCTGGTGCTGCGCAAGACGCCCCAAAAATTTCTGCTGACCGCAAAAACTTCCCCGAACTACGCGACCGCGTCTGGTCACGCACTACCTTTACACCTTTCGACTACGATGTCAACTACGCTGATAATATCACCTTCGGCCAGCTCTCTACCGCCCAACAACGCCTCGTTCTCTTCTTACGCGCCCTCGTACACAGGCCCGACATAGTCATCCTCGATGAACCCTTCTCCGGCATGTCCGGCACCGTCCGCGACAAATGCCATCACTTCCTCGAAGTCGGCGAACATGCGGGCCACAAGGCCTCGACCGCTATCCGAAAGCACGGGAGGGTCCCTTGGCTCGAGGGATTTCAACCTGACAAGGACGCTTACAACTCAATGAACCCTCCACCTGAGGTTCGCTTCACCGGCCTCACGGATGACCAGGCCCTGATTATGATCAGCCACGTCCGTGAAGAGATCCCAGACAGCGTGCGCCATTATATGCGCTTGCCATCCGGGAGTAAGGAGGACGGCACAGCTCTGGATTTCCGGTGTGGGACGCTCATGCGCGTCAGTATTTTACGAGATCCGAATGTTTGGAAGAAGGCTTGGTTGTCTGGGGACGAATTTACCAAAAATCTCGGCATAAGACGGTCATTTAGACGGCGAACCGGTTCAAGTACAGTCGAGGAGACTGGGGAGTTTGATGAGGAGGTTTATGATTGGTGGTCAATTTGAGGTTTGCCTCGAATATGATCTGCATATTGTTTTTTTGAGCGGTTGGACTGTACCATAGACTTTTTCATTTTGACTTGGAACGCATTAGACAGGATATAGATAGGGGCGAGCCATTCTTTTTCGGCGAGAAGTGCTCAGCCGAAGATGTACTTTAGAACGGGGTATAATGGGTCATCAAAAATGTCCCAGCACAGAAGCAATATACTATATATAAAAAAAAGCCTAAGAATCTGCAGCACCGGGACCGGGAACCAGCCACAAGTCCAGCCAGAGTCTACATTTAATGCTCATTATTCCTCGCCGCGTCCGCCAATCCCATAATCAACGATTCAGACCGTGTCATTTCCGGCCTCTTAGCCTTCTCTTCCTCCGTCATTTCCAACCCCTTAGCGACAAGATCCGTGAAGTCAACACCAACCTCGGATAAGAGGCTCGCCTGCTCGTGCACGATCTCGATACATTTCTCCCAGACGACTGTCCCACGTTGCACGCTACTTAGTTGGCGCGTCAGGAGGGAGTTGAAGTTGTCTAGGTGGTGCTTCGCCCATTTTATGCATGCGCTTGTCATCACGGAGGGAAAGCATTGTTGGTAAGTGCCGACGGTGTTTTTGATTAGAGTGAAGTAAACGTAGGAGATCTGGAAGATGTAGAGAGGGAGGTCGCCTTCGAATATGCATGCTCTAGTTATTGTTAGAGATACCCTGTATGAAGGATGTGATGAAAATGCTTACCTGATTCGCTTAGAAGTAATATCAGATCGGGCTTTGAGGTAGGCTTCTCGAGCTTGGTCCTCGAACCCTAGCCTGGTAAGCCAGGTAACGTTGGTCTTTGTGGTCGCGGGGAACGCATGTGTGTCCACCAATGCCCGTGAGAGCACGCTGGCTAGTCTAGCCGCTCGTTCATCAACCTTGACGTTGATGACATCTTGTGCGACGGAGTTCCCTTTCAGACCTCGTGCCAGCTTCCGCAGGCGCTCAATGTTGGACACAGCTTCTTCGAAACGTTGGAGAGCAATGTCGATATCAAGCTCATCGACCTGGCTGTCTACCCAGCGTAGATTCTGTTGTTTTCCATCTACGTCAATGCGCACCTCTGGTCTGTCACGGAGGCTATCGGTATTCTCGTGGAAATCTTGTTTTGGGGAGTACACGGAGGCTCTGGGGTCCATGTATCCGAGCGATTCGCCGTTCTTGCCGGCGACCTCCGTCTCGGACCGGAGTGTTCGCCGAAGATCCTCCACGGTCTTCCTAAACGTGGCTAACAGATCGCTTTTGGCTGAGCTGTTGCGCTTGTCATGCCGGTATGTGAAGGGCTTGGAACCCACCCGGACATTGATGGCGTTTGAGATGCCACGGTCTTCGGCCTCTTCACGAGCATGCCCAGTGCCTAGGTTGGCACCCAGGTCTATCATGTCAACATCTTGCAATGGCCAACATTCTTCGGCAATGAGTTTCGTGGGTACAGGTCCACGATGATTCGGATTGCTCTGGTCGACTCGCTTCCGCTTCTTTGCCGCGACCAGCAAATGGTCATTGAGAAGCACAAGGTGCACCGGGCGTCTTGGCTTCCATGTCGCAGAGTCTAGCTCAACCCAATTTCCCGTCTCCAACACAATATGTCGTCCGGGAACCATAGGTAGGAACTTCTGCGATCCCTCGACGGTTTTCCATAGAGTCTGAAGCTGGACATTCCACATACTCTCAAGGTTGGCGACTGAGCTCCGATTACTGCGCTTGGACATTCGTTCATCTGCTGTTGGTGACATGGGGTTTGGAGAATCTCCGATCGCAGTTTGCCCCAGCGCAGTTGTCAGATCGGCCATTAGAGCGCGAAGGGTCCGCATCTCCCCTTTCAGCTTGTCCGCCTCCTGACTGATTTTGATGAACTGCGTTCGGTTTTGGTACACATTTTGCTGGAGGTCGGTTGACGTTCGGTTCTTCACCTTCCGCAGGCTTTGCTGGAATTGCCGAATATCGTCCTCCGAAGCATTGGCGAGTAGGTTGGCCACATCTAGATATCAAGAGCGGGGTTAGCGATTGAAGCTATGAGACAGCATATGACTAACATCGATCAACGGGCAAGCTTGGATCGCGCAGGGCATTCAGATCGACCTCCGGGGGCCCCGATGATTCCGTCGACGGCTTTCGACTCGCCTGCGGGGGACTGAGCCCTGCATAGGCGGATGGGACTTGTGGTACAGTAGGAACCGGAGGGGCGCCGTCGAACTCAGGAGCTTGATTGAACCGAGTAGAGTATCGCCTTTTCACCAAGTCCGAAGTCGCATCCTTTGGGCCAGCAAGATCGCGAGACCCGGAGCCCAAGGAAGCATTGCCAGAGCTCGGTGTAGCCTGGTGGTTCTGGTGTAGTGGAGCGGAGATGGGTTTCGGAGCACTGATCTGAGGACGGGCGCGGCGGTTTTTGCTGCGGAGGGTGAGCCCCCGGCCTTCCATTGTCTCGAGCGGACTAAGAGAGGGGAGAGATAGATGAATTCGAGCTGTAGAAGGAGACCTGCTGCATCAAACCAGCTGTCTCCATGCCGTTGGGAAGCTCAAGCGGGAGAGAAACGCCGAGCGGAACAACGATGATCCAGCCATTCAATCAAAATTATCCCATTGCAGCTTCCGTGAAAACACGCCGACGAGCTCTGCATTTCAGGACAGCGCAACAACTGCCGTTGCTTTCATTTCCATCAGTGCTACTGATAAGCGACAAGAACTAGTCTCCGTCGACTATATACATCTAGTTCGTTTGGCGTCTATAAGCCGATCGCTCCCGGTTCCAGCTCCAATCCATTCGTCATGAAGCCCTCAACACTTGCTGTCGCCTCTGCCGGCACCATCATCACCGGTCTTCTGGGTAAGACACTGATTATACAACGCTATCTGTTTGACGAACATGAATTCATTCTGACTGTCGTCCCTCTTCTCCGCAGCCTATGCCGTGTACTTTGACCACAAGAGACAGACCGACCCCGAGTTCCGGAAATCATTGAAGCGCAACAACCGCAGGCTGGCGCGGGCCGTCAAGGAGGAAGCCGAAGCCCAGGGAGCTCAGTGGCGTGAAAACATCAAGAAGGCTGTTCAGCAGGCAAAGGATGAGGGTTTCCCGACAGACCTCGAGGAGAAGGAGGCTTACTTCATGAGCCAAGTTGCGAAGGGAGAGGGCCTTTGCGCCGAAGGTATGTCCATCAACAGTTTTTGATAATTGTGTCTGCGATTCACGTACCAACCATCAGGCACAGACAAGCTCGAGGCTGGATTGGCCTTCTACAAGGCGCTCAAGGTCTACCCTCAACCCAAGGACCTGATCTCGATATATGACAAGACCGTTCCCAAGGAAGTATTGGAGATCCTAGCCGAGATGGTCGCTCTGGACCAGACCTTGAGGCTCGGCACATTCACTGGCGAGGGTGGCAGTGCTGATAGCCACGGTGTCGAATAAGAGACGCGACGCCTGCGCATTGCCTATCCCGCCCACTTTTATCCGGCATAATTCCCTTGGCCCTCTCCGGCGCGTCTTTTGTCTTTCTGGCTCACGCTGGGCCGTGGCCAGGACTCCTGGTCCTGTTTCAAAGATGGGCCATCATGACGTTACCGATATGCCATGGTTCTTGGGCGTGTACAACCTCTCCACTATCAACCTTTTTATCTTGTTTCCCTGTATAGCTGCACCGAGTCTTGGCACTGCCTCCGACGTGGCGGACTCTTGGTATTTCTCGGCGCCACGACCTTGTCTTTTTCCCCCTTTCTTTGTCTGCACCGGCAATTTGCATTATTTTCCATTTTCCCCGGTGGTCCGGGCTGTATTTTAGAGACTTTGTGAGGAGCAGGGCGAAAATGCGACGATGAGATAGATACGTATAGTATAATACAGGATGTTTGTTCGATTTCAGTCTTGTCTGCAGAAATTTATCAGCCAGAAGTCGCACGACACCCGCTCCATCCACACATCAGCTTCCCTTCATTCGACACAATGCTCTTTTCAGGCTTCCACATTGGCACAATCACAATTCGACTTCCAATGGATCGTCGGCTGGGAGTTCCTCAGCGCCGCGGTCTCATGGAAGGCTAGCCAAGCGCCAATTGCGAGGGACCCCTTTCAGGGGTCTCTTCGAAAGTGGATCGCCGGTGGGCATTTCAGCGAGTGCGAGTCCCTCCTGATCTCCCCGCCCAGCAATCTAGTCTTATATCGCGTTTGATGACTGGCTGGGTGATCATGGGCATGATTACTGCCCAGACATTGTTTTGCGTTTGGGTCTTGTCGCTTTCTTGGGTCTCGTTGAGGGGCGAGCGAGCTCTCTATTAATCTGGTTTCCGCTCGCTTCCTGCAGAGGTCGCTCTTTTTGCTTCCTTTCCATCGCTTTTTCCACGCTTTTTCTTCTTCCTGACGAATCTTTATACATATTTTTATTGATTACTTCTCACACTCGTTCTCCACGGTCTTCTAGTACCGCAGCCACTCTTTCAATACAATCCAGGGTCTTCCGGGGGAAGAGCCCGTCCGGTCATTCACTAAATCCTCATCATATCTCGCCCAATCGCATACAAAATGGTCACTGTGCGTTCTTGCGACCGTAGATTTCCCTATTACACAAACAGCTACCGCTAACATACTTCCAGTCTTACGGTCGCGTTATCGCCGCGGTTGCCGCTCTGGCTACCACCGCAAGCGCTGTTGTTCCCATTGAGGTTCAAGGAAAGGACTTTGTCAACTCGGAAACCGGTGATCGGTTCCAGGTTCTAGGTGTCGAGTAAGATCTCAGATCTCCGGGGGATATTCGATTCGGTTACTTGGTTGAGAAAGCGGTGGTACTGATCTTCATTCCAACAGCTACCAGCCCGGTGGTACATCCGCTGTTGACGGCAAAACCGACCCTCTCAGTGAACGTGATGCGTGCCTACGCGATGCTGCCCTCATGCAGCGTCTGGGTGTAAGGAATACAGTACAAGGCATTGTCAGTTCGATGCCGCTAACCGCTTTGTTGCAAATAGGTCAACACCATCCGTATCTACAACTTGGCACCCGACCTCAACCACGACGAGTGTGTCTCGATCTTCAATGCCGCCGGTATCTACATGATTCTTGATGTCAACTCTCCTCTGTACCCCGGATACATTGACCGCACTGCCCCTTGGGAGACCTACACCGAGGAGTACTACACTCAGGTCTTTGGTATCATTGAGGCCTTCAAGGACTACCCCAACACTCTGGCTTTCTTCGCCGGAAACGAGGTTATCAACGAGGACAGTGTCGAGCAGGTTCCTCAGTACATTCGTGTAAGTTTCAAGAATGGCCTTTAAATAGATTCGGGCATCCGTTAACTCACGCGACAATCAGGCCGTTCAACGTGATATGAAGGAATACATTGCCAACCACCTCGACCGCCCCATTCCCGTCGGTTACTCTGCTGCCGATATTCGTCCTATCCTCGAGGACACCCTGAACTACTTCATGTGCGAGGATGAGGACTACCCCACTTCTCACTCCGATTTCTTCGGTCTCAACTCCTACTCGTGGTGCGGTGATGCCTCCTACGAGAGCTCTGGCTTCGACAAACTCACCGACATGATGCGCGATTCCACCATCCCCGTCTTCTTCTCCGAGTACGGCTGCAACGAAGTCCAGCCCCGTCAATTCACCGAGGTCCAGGCCATCTATGGCACTGAGATGTCCCAGGCCTTCTCTGGCGGTCTCGTCTACGAGTACACCCAGGAGGAGAACGACTACGGTCTCGTTAAGATCAACGACAATGGCACCCTCAGCCTCCTTGTCGACTTCGAGAACCTCCAGGACCAATACGCGAAGCTCGACATGGACCGCATCCGCGCCTCCAACTCCACCCAGACCAACGCCAAGCCCGTCCAGTGCAGCCGCGACCTCATCCAGAACGGCACCTTCAGCAGCAACTTCACCCTCCCCGCCAAGCCCCCAGGTGTCCAGGACCTCATCGACAACGGATATCATGAGGTTGAGGCCGGTCAGCTCGTCGACGTCGAGTCCGAGGACGTTGAGACCACCATCTACAACCACAACGGTGAGGAACTCACTGGCATCAGACTCAACGTCCTCGCCGCTGGCGAGTCCAACGAACCCGGTAACAGCGCCTCTCCCGGTGGCTCTGGCTCTGGCTCCGGCTCCGGATCTGGCAACAGCTCTAACGATGACGATGAGGAGGATGCCGCGGGCATGCTCTCCGTTCCTTTCGGCTTGATGACAGCCACTCTCCTCGCTTTCTTCATGCTGTAGATATCCATATCGTTGTTACTCAGTCTCTGAGGCTTCTGTGTTGCTTGCCTTACGTCCATATCCTCCATTTCTACTACATGTACCCCAGTCTTAGAGAACATCCTCTGTCATTGGTTTTTATACTACCTTCCCGCTTGTATTTATCCCGGAGCGACTACGAAAGCATTTATCTTCCTGTTTACTACTCCGTGGTGACCATTATTCGTAATTGTATGCCTGCATCATCCATGGAGTGTTGTTATCCTAATATCCCTCAATATTCTGCATATATAGAAGTTTACATCTCACCCTAATGGCAGACACATTTGCTCCATGTTTCACTATATCTAGAACACTTTTGAATCGAATCCCTTCGATAATAAGATCAATGCCTTAGTCCTGGACGTTTTGAGCGGACTTTTAGCGCATACTGAACGGTATAACTTATCATCCCTATTCCCAGCTGTGGACGCACATTATGAGATCCAATGCAATCTCCATAGCCTACTGCAAGGCCCTCAACCTCTCCATCTTAACCCTCAAAAGCGTCTCTAAGAACTCAATCTCAACCTCAATCCTCCTCTTCCGGTCCCCAACATCAGTGATCTCTCCATCCCCATCCCCACCCAAACCAACATCACCCTCCCCTTCCCCCTCTCCCAGCAATTTCAACCCCTCAATATCACTCCCCACCTTCTTACCAGCCTCCATCCGTTTGCTCTCCTTCTCTCTTTGCTTGTACTTCGTAATGAAACCCGGCCACCCGAGGCTGTCTGCGATGGTCACAACAGCCACGACGATGAAGAAAAGGATGAGGAATACGATCGCGAGGGCGATGACTGTTGGTAGAACTATGCCGAAGATGGCGTGCATACATGCGCTGATGATGGATCCGATCGTGCCGAAGAAGCCGAGCGTTGGTTTTGGCTCGCAGGGTTGGCAGTGGGTGCGCATCGTTGCTGTTGCTGTTGTGTTTTCTATTGGATGGTCGATTCTGAGGTTGTTATGTGGGTATACGGATTATCATACAATGTGTTGGTAGTGGATGAGAGTTGGTAGCCTGACTTGACTACCTACGGAGTATGGATTGATGAGCGGGGCACCGCTTTATATACCTCGTTATATACCTCGCTACGGTCCTAGACATCTCTTGGTATGTACAACAAGGCACAGCCCTGACTAGACTCACACCCTCCAACAAGAGATCCAAGTGGCTCATCGCAGATCACTTGGGGGCCACGAGAGAGTTACCGTAGACGTCCCCAATCTGCGCCCGGTGCCCTGCAAAGCCTTTCGTGAGCCTCCAATGAAGTACGGGTTGGGCGATCCGGGAGTGGCGAGCATGTACTATACTCTGCAGTCAATAACAATCCCTGTCAGGTTCTTCGTGCGGCGCCCCGCGGATGATGGGGCCGAAGCACTAGGTAGGACTGCGAAGTAAGAAGGCACAATCGCCAGATCCGTTATAGCGGTGCCTAATTGCTTAATGTGGAGGGAAAGGAATATGGCAGGGGCATAGGGACGAGGAATAATAAGCTAGGAAGTAGAAAAGGTGGGGAATTGGAATGATTGAAGATTATCCTAGATCCGTCAGTTCATATATTCTTATTAGGACTACAACATTACGTCTCAGGACCCATAGAGATCGCTGATGAAAGAGTAAAACGAGCTTACATCAATCAGAAATTTTGAATTGCCCAGTCAAAGAAAGGGAAAAAAAAAAATAGTGCCATCAGTGAGCTAGAACTGGTCATATATCTGAGCATTGGATCTGTTCGTACAACTCCTTAGGACATGATATGTATATATGTATGGTAAATGTGGTCGCCTGAATCTCGTTGGAGACTTCAAAGCATAGTAGGGCATGCGAACGAAGTGCCTGAGGTATCGAACTCGAAACCCATGGATGGGCCATGTACCAGAAACATGCAACAGATTCGGAAATTCCACTCAGCCAAGAGGGTATTATGAGACTTGATTGAAGTGCTTTCCATCCGACATCTCTGATTGTCGCCCAGATGTAAACATACAGCATGGGCAGCGAGCCCTACCGCGCCCTCTCTTGTCTTTCCGTTTGCTCGACGGGCGATAGTCCTCAGATCTGTCAGAGTACGCAGAAGAACTCTTCTCGGCTGTGACGGTCTGTCATGCCGCTATTTCTGACGCCGTTGTTGATCCGTTGATGGTGATCGATCCCGCGATGCCTTCTCGCGCTCTCTCTTCGAGATTCCCGGCCCCTCCCTGAGGAACAGACTTGATGTCCTAGTCAATCCACTCGCAGTTGCTGCGGCTTAACCATATTGGCGTCTTTTCTCCGCCTGAAGGATGCTCAGGTAGGTATCGAGATTCTCTGTGGTCTCAGGAACGGCATCAAAGTATTTGGTTGGAAGTAAGATGGCGTCGGGCGTTGAGATCTCGACTCGGTTTCTTTCCGACTTGAACGGCTTCTCAAAATATGTTTCTGATTTGTCTAAGTCATTTGAGGATCTTGTCAGTGCTTCTTTTCCTTCTTAAGCTACGTAAGAAGCCTCGGAGGAAGGAAAGCTATGCGTCCATTCCAAGTCCGTATGCTGGTGGACGCAGCGGAGCTAGTCAAGGACTTTCAGGTTGGATCAGATAGCTTCGAGGGAGATTCTGAGGACGATCAATATGACGGTTAACCGTGCGCTGGGAATTTTAGAGGACCGACCATGTCATCCATGAGTTGAAGAGAAGAACCCCTTTGAGTGACGCGTCTGAAACTCTTAGGAGATCTAGAAGAGGCAATTCATATAGTAACGACGACGCTGTCCCAGGTGGTCCATGTTGCTGTTCTCGTGCCCAGTTAGCCTGGCTTATATGTGCATAAGTTGGCTGGCGTTGCACAAAATACTACCTTCCCATGAACAGTGACCTTGGGCGCGTAATGCCAAGTAATAAATGGATACCGTCTCGCCGAACGCAAATGACAGAGAACCGCCGAGCCGTATGAAAACGCGGCGAAGTAATGGGGGTCTAGGAAACGGGAAGGTGCGCGGGAAAGAGGCAGGAGCCACCCATACCCATAGCACGAATATGGCAGGAGTGACCCGCGGTGCGCCAGACCGCTCCTTCCGTTTGCGACGAGAAGGAAAAGATTGAAGGAAAGAACGACCCGTATGAGAGCACCTTCCGTTTATATTATGCTCCGCCGGCGGAAAGCGCGACTGCAAAGTACCTAGGGTAAGTGGGTGTGCTTTCCTAAAGCAAATTAGGAAGAACAACCGGCGGCGCCGGGGACCGTTACCATATTGATGGTCGGTGACGCCTTACATTTGTATACTGAGGAAGCGGGATGAAATTGCTGCATGACAGGGCGGACGGACCGTTGGGTGGAGTTAGGAAAGTGGAACATGGTGGAAATTTCAGTAATTAATTGCCCCATTGAAAGGGCAATGAAATAAAACGCAAATTATAAAAAACAGATTTGAACAAGGTCTGACAACTGGTAAATACGGCACAAAAATCAATCACCACACCATTCGACCTTTGCCTTTGCTCTTTCCAGGGGATCCTGAGGTTGCTGGTAATGACGGGAACTCTTCGTCTGGCTGCTGCGGAGAATCGCGGTCATGATCGTGGTCGTGGTTGTGGGTTTCCACGAGGCTTAGCTGGATGGCCAATTCCAGATCGTCAATCTCTTGTTGTCGGCTGCTTTCTGCGGCTTTGGATTTGCCGGGGGAGAATGCGCCCTTGGACGATTGGGAAGCACTTGAGTACTTGATAGCGAAAGGCGATGGTACCTCGGACGAGCCAGGGTTGTCCTCGAGTAAACTTAGGCGAATGGCCTCGGCAATCTCGGGATCCAGGTCGTCTTCAATGGGATCATTGCACGGAGAGGAAGCAGAGGAAAGCTCATCGGGTGCAAATGAACTATCGTTTGGACCGATGGTATCGCTGGGAGAGGTACTGATAACAGACCCGTCCACGAAATCACCACGCTTCACGGCTTCGCTACTGTATGCTTCTTGACTTAACAGCTGTGCGTAGGCGAGAAGCTCCTCTTCGCTAACATCTGGACCCAAGAGATCGATACCGAATCTATTACTCAGGTGCGCTCTCTCCTTTTGGTCGGCCAGCGCCTGCCGCTTCATTTCTTGTTTCTCATCCTCGATGTGATCTATGATGGCTCCACGTCCGCTGTTGTTGAATCGCTGTCCGCCAGCCGCCGGGTTGATACCCCTTTGACCGTGGCGAAGCCTCCGCTTGTTGCTCTTATATTGGTCTGCGGCTGACGAACTGTACGACCAGTAGCGGAGGTGTGTTCCCAGAGCAACCATTCCCCTAAGGTTGGTTGGGTCGGGGTCGAGGGAAATAGCCCCGGTCGCGTAGAAATTGTTGCCAACCCCATGTAACGAAGCTTCTGCTTGTACCAACCGGCGGCGGGCACGCGAAGAGAAACGCGAATTGATAGTGCGAATTGGCCGAGTTGTGGAGGCAAGGGGATCCCAGGCTTGTACCAGCCCATCATTTCCACCATGAACCAAGTACAGAGACGTAAGAGCGACACAAGACACTTGCGGCGAGTCTGTGTATATGGTACGAATCGGATCAATGGATTTGACTAGTTCAGAAGTCTTCGATGTGGGCGTACGAATGTCCCAGACGAAGACAGACCCGCTGGCGGTCCCAACGGCCATGTATCGCGCGCGGTGGCCTGGAATCTCGGAGCCAGCTGGCCGCTCCATGTGCGGAAGGGGTGATGACACGACAGAAGACGACTCAGGATTACCGGACAGCAGTAGAATATCTTCATCGGCCGTTATTATCGCATACGTCGAAAGATCTATTGCGCTTGCTGTGATCTGTACAGACTTCCGACCACCGAAGTTGAAGTCTGAGATGTACCACTCGGTATTCGAAGGCGAGCAGACCGACTGGTAAAGTTGACTTGAGGCCCGGGAAGGTGGGAAACTGCTCTCAGCAGAGGAGACTGCTGGAGGGTTCACGGGTCCGCCGAAGATGGAGCTTGTGGGGGGTGCCGAAGTAGTCCACAAATCATTCTTGACAGGCACTGGCCGGTGGGAAGCAAGAAGCTTGCGGGTGTATCTCCGAATGGCGGCTTTCTCATCCTCTCCATCACCACGTTCTATAACGATAAAAGACTCGCCAGCACCGTGGTGGTCGTCTCCAGCGAAATCGACTTTGAGATCGCGCCTCATGTTCCAACTCTCGCATACCTTACGGAAATGTTTCGGTTTGAATGACAAATACTGCTCAATCTCCTTAGTCTCAGCTGCGACTTGTTCGTCACTAAGCTTCATTGAGTCCGAAGACGATCTAGGGCTGTAGCTGCCATCAACGAGCTCGCGGTTAAACGGATCAGGTCGAGCAGTCCGCCTGCTGACCTCCACTAGCTCCCACCGAACACTACGCCCCGTTTTCCAGGCTAGGAGATCGGCAGCTTCGGGCGTGATGTTAGCTGGCATGGACTCGGGCGGCTGCGGTAGATCGGACAGATAGAACACTTCTCCCAACGCGTTGACGACTGCTGCCCACACTCGGCGCCGAGAATAGCGCTTCTGGGAGAAGTTGTCGTCAACGGCGATCCCGACAATTGGAACACCGGGGCTAAGAACCCATCGAGCGGTAGCCTGACCTCGCTCGAATCGCTTCTCGTATGTCGGGTGAGGCCCAAGTGCATAAGCAGTGAGGATTCCGGAAGAGGTTCCAGCCAACATGCCAACCAGACCGCCAGTCATTTTGAGTATTTCCGCAGATTTCGCAATCCACACTGAGGTAATGGCGGTTGTTATCTGGTTGATGGCGGGAATGCCGAGTTTAGGCTGCGAGCCGACGTCGCTGAGGAGACCCAAGAACCTGCCTCTCTGTTCGGCGGTTGATATATAATAAGTGCGGCCCTGTGGGCAGCCCTCGCCATAAATCATACCATACGGCTGGCTGACATCCATAGAATTCGGAACACCAACAAGATTCCCAGACCCAAGTCCATATTGAGCTTCACCAGGAAACGAATCCGCAAAATGGCGGGAGAAGTTGTGGTCGGCCAAGCCCCAAGTGCCAACCTTTACGGCCGATGGCGCACTTGCGGTTACGGCGCACTGTTCTGAAGCTCCGTGGATGAACAGAGGTTCCTTCTTCGTAGTTTCTCCCCCAAAGGTCCCAGCCAGATGGCTGACGGGATACAAAAGCTGCGAGGTATACGTCGCAATCGCACTGCCATTGCGAACCGATGCGGACCGAACCGCGGCGTTTCTTTTCGCTAGCCCGAACTGCGCCGGCTTGCCTCTGGAAAGAGACCGCAAAAGCCGAGTTCGTAGAATATACTCACTCCTCCACGATGCGAGCGCAGTGAGTCTCGAGAAATACCGTCGGTCTGACGTCAATCGATCGGAGGCATGAGCGTCTTCCGAGACTGATGGTCCGGGGAAATACCGCGAGAAAGCGATCCGCCATGCGTGAGGGGTAGTGACAAGACTATGGAACCGACGAGATACCAGCGCAATAGACGAGAGAGCCGTCGGAGGCAGGTGGGAGAGAATATGGGTTAGGACCTCTAAGACGCAGATGTTAAACACATGATCATATCAGTAGCCATGATTGGACGGGACCCACCATTTGGAAAATCATCGAGGGACAAGTCGGAGGGCTTCGAGTTTGGCGTCACTGTGAAACCAAAATCCGAGTGCCTCGGCGAAGATCCAAAAACCGTTTCCTCATACTGGCTGACTTGACCGGCTGCGGGCGAAGATTCAGAGTGCTTCAGAATCGACGGCTCGCTGATCGATGAGTCAGAGTCCACAGAGTCTCTGGCGTCTCCGGGGAGACAGCCAGAGACTTGGGAGACACCATAAAGATCATGTCCATGCTGGGTGGGATGGAAGAGGTCTTCTGAAGATGGTTCTACCGTGTGTGGACGATTGAAAACGTCAGAAGGCTCTGATTGCATATAAGGTGTTCGCGGGGTAGTAGATAAGAGCGATGGCGACTGAACCAGCTGATAGTTCTGGATCAGTCGGGTTGAGTGGAGGGCGATTGGAGCGTGGTAGGCGTACGAAAGAGGCGATAGTCGTTGCTATGAACGTCCGATGTTCACGAAGGGGAGGAAAAGGGGGGAATGGGAAATAAGGGAGTGGAAAACGAGAGGATGAAGAAGTTCGGAGGATGACGGGATAGCCAGGATTTCGCGTTATTGATCACGTGATGACGCGCCGTGGCGGATCAAAAGCGTGTCTGCAGCACAAAGAGAGCGGCGTACGAACCACGGCATTATCAGGCTTGATTACTCTTTTCTTCGCCATGGCAGCTGTATAGCAAAGTACATTCCACGCCTGATAAGACAATACAGACAGCGTCGTTGAATCGACTCAATCCGACAGCAATATCTGCTGATCAATGGTCGGTTACCTATCCGCCACGACAGGCTATATTGAAACGTCAAGCGCTCTTCCCAATCTAATTTGAGCTTCGGCATTCAGAAACTAGACCGACAGCAATGGCCGAACTTGGAGGTAAGAATTGAGCTTTCGCCGAATTTTAGGTCCTTTCTCATGCAATCCAGACGCGGAAACGATCCGCATACTCGTCTCAACGGACAACCATGTCGGCTACAATGAGCGAGACCCAATCAGGGGCGATGATAGCTGGAAGAGCTTCCACGAGGTGATGTGCCTAGCGAAGGAACACGATGTGGATATGGTGCTTTTAGCAGGCGATCTCTTCCATGAGAACAAGCCTTCGCGAAAGTCCATGTACCAAGTAATGCGCTCGATTCGCATGAACTGTCTCGGAGACAAGCCTTGCGAGTTGGAATTGTTGAGCGATGCCAGCGAAAACTTCCAGGGCGCCTTCAACCACGTGAACTATGAAGACCTGGACATCAACGTCGGTATCCCTATCTTTTCTATCCACGGTAACCACGACGATCCCTCCGGCGAGGGCCATCTTGCCGCTCTAGACCTTTTACAGGTGTCGGGATTACTCAATTACTATGGACGTACACCAGAGTCAGATAATATCCAGATCAAGCCAGTCCTACTTCAGAAAGGACGAACGAAGCTGGCACTTTACGGAATGAGCAATGTGCGAGATGAGCGATTATTTCGCACATTCAGAGACGGAAAGGTCAAGTTTTTCCGACCTGGCATACAAAAGGAGGACTGGTACAACTTAATATGTGTCCACCAGAACCACCATGCATACACGGAAACTGGTTACTTACCCGAGAACTTCCTCCCTGAGTTTCTCGATCTGGTCATCTGGGGCCACGAGCATGAATGCTTGATCAACCCGAAGATCAACCCCGAGACGAAGTTCCGCGTTATGCAGCCTGGCTCTTCGGTCGCCACATCTTTAGTACCCGGCGAGGCCGTACCGAAGCATGTCGCTATTCTGAGTATAACGGGAAAAGAGATGAAATGTGAGCCGATCCGGCTCAGATCTGTACGCCCGTTTGTGATGCGGGAAATTGTCCTCTCCGAAGAAAAAGAAGCCAAGAAGTTGGCTCGCAAGGAGAACAACCGCACCGAGGTAACCCGCTTTCTAATGACGATCGTGGAAGAGCTCATCGAAGAAGCCAGAGCAGACTGGATAGAACTACATGGCGAACGAGACGAGGACGGTGAAGAACTAGAGGTCCCGCTACCTCTTGTGCGCCTCCGCGTGGAAACCTCTACACCAGAGGGAGGCAGCTTTGACTGTGAGAATCCGCAACGTTTTTCGAACCGCTTCGTGGGGAAGGTTGCCAACGTCAACGACGTGGTGCAGTTTCACCGGAAGAAGAAAACCGCCAGCGCTCGGAAGAAGGACAACGAGCCGGACGAGGCATCATTATCCCACCTCACAACCCTAGATACTATGAAAGTCGAACAGCTCGTTCGCGAGTTCCTCGCCGCGCAATCGCTTTCTATCCTCCCGCAAAACTCCTTCGGCGATGCTGTCTCCCAATTCATCGACAAGGACGACAAGCACGCTATGGAAATGTTCGTGAACGAGTCTCTAGAGGGCCAAATCAAGCACCTACTCGCCCTAGATCGCGACGACAGTGATGCCGAAGACGAGGGCACACAGAGCTCACTACACAAGGCGATGGAGAAATATCGCACGCAAATGGAAGATATGTTTTCCAGAGGCGTCAAGAAACGCACCCGCGGCAAGAAACGCTTCAAGCCGAAGCCCGACGGCTGGGACAGCGAGTTTGACGGGGTCTGGGAAGATCAACCGGGTGCCCTCATCCACTCCGACAACGAAGGCGGCGACCCTGCCGAAGAAGAAGCCGGCGAGGACGACACCGAACCCACAGCAGGCCGCTCAGCAGCAACCACACGAGGTCGCAGCCGTGGTCGGGGACGAGGAGGCAGAGCCGCAGCAACTACAACGACCCGCAAAACAGCAACGGCAAAAACATCTCCGAAATCCACGCGGAAGACTGCAACAACAACCAAGACAACGGCCGCTCGAGGCCGCGGTCGCCGCGCCGTCTCAGACGATGAAGACGAAGATGACGAAGACGACGTAGTGATGCTCGACGACGACGACGAGCCGGAACCCAGTCACTCCATTTCCGACGAAGACGAGGAGGAATCCGACTCCCAGGCTCTCTTTGTCAAACAACCTGCCCGGAAAGCTGCAGCTTCGAAGGCAACAACGACCAAAACCGCTACAACGCAACGCACGCGTCAACCGAAACGCACCGCTGCGTCGCCCGCACCGTCGAACACTGCCAGCCAAGCAGCGACGACTTCGCGGCGCGGAAGAGGAGGGAGACAGTCTCAGCTAATGCTGGACTTTGTCGGATCGCAGAGTCAGCGTGGCGCCGCTGGTTCTTCCGTTGCTAGTAGCAATACACGGTCGATGAGACCGAATCGCACGACGAGGAGTGTTAGTGTTCTTAGTGAGGATATTGATGATAGTGATGGGTTTGAGCCAATGCCTAGTAGTAATCGGAGGAGGAGGTAGGCACCTTTTCACGTGCCTCCAGGACAGGGAAGATATGAATGCGTATAGTTGAATACCCATCATTTTAATGATAGCCAAATTGCTTTACCCGTTTTGCTTGCTTTGCCTCTGTCGGATTCATGGAATCATCATGTATGAATATGAATACAACTAACGATACCCATCCTCGAAACTACACCTGCCGACACATACAAAATCTAGGAGGATCCCTAGGTCTCTACGACGAGCTACAACCTCCCCCGATTCAAGAACCGCACCGGAATATCCACCCACCTCGCCCTCAAAAATTCCGCCACATTCTTCCCCAAAAAGTCCACGGTCGTCGTAATCGACACGCCCCTGTCCAACAAATTGCGGAACAAAAAGTGTACACCGCGCAGGTTTGGCAGCTCGAAGCGCTCAATCTCCAGGTCCGGCTTTGCATTGTACTCGTCGCCGAGCAGTTCTTGTATTTTTGCAGTCGAGAGGAGGGACCGCAGCCAGGCGAATTCGTCCCCGTGTCGGACCCAGAAGCCGCAGTTTGCGTCGGGGCCTTTGTCGCCGGAGCGGGCGTGCACGAGGAGGCCTAGCGGGCCGGGGGTCGTAGGGCCGAAGGATGAGGAGGGGAAGACGGGTTTTAGGGTGTTTGGTAGGGAGGGTTGGCGGGGTGGGTAGGTCGTTGTCTTCGGTGGAGGAGCTATGTCGAGGATTGTGTCGTTTTTGAAAGGGAGATGCACGCGGTGCTTGATGTCTTCTTGCGAGAGGAGAGTAACGTAGTATTCGAAGATGGGCTTTGGAAAGCCCTGTCGGAGGTCGAGGTGGAAGGTTGCTCCCGGGTATCCCTGCATGATGTTGTCGGTGATATGGCGAAGGAAGTGGTTTGGCGCAATGTCTTCGGCTTGCCGGGCCTGGACTATCACGCGGAAGGTGACGGTGGCGCTATTTTGGTCTTTAGGGTTCTGTGGGGCGGTGCCTAGGGTTGAGAACTTGAGGGATGTGTACTTTGAGCTGTAGGGATGGAGGAGGCGACGAATCTGGGCTTCAAGCATGCGGGCTTTAGCGTCGATGTCGAGGCCCACGAGGAACCAGGTGGCTTCGGCTTGGAAGCCGCCGCGAGCTGTGATGCCGACTTTCGTTGTTGGAGGGGGCGGAGAGGAACGGACGCCGTGGAGGGCGACACGATTGGTGCCTACTTGTTCGAAGTGGATGTCTGATAGAATGGCAGTGACGTCGGAGTTGAAGTACCAGGGGCCCTGAATCTCATACAGAAGTTGCGATGAGCAGGTGTCGACGGTGACGGTGCCTCCTTTGGCATACGATTGCATTGTGATGATCACTTTTCCATCTGCTGATATCTCTGCAATGGGGTAGCCGATGTTTGTCCAGCCATCTTCGCCGAGTGTCTCGAGGTCCTTGAAGCCGGTAAAGTTTCCTCCGCAAACGTAATTGCTGCACTCGATGAGATGACCCGCGACAAACGCATTCGCTAGCTGGTCGAGATTATGCCGCTCCCACTGGTGATACCAGTACGCCGCTCCAATGACTGGAGACGCATCGGACACTCGTCCGCAGAGCACGATGTCTGCCCCTTCAGCAAGGGCAGCAGCGATCCCCAAACCTCCTAGGTAACATTGCGCAAAGATTGGCTCAAAGGACCAACTCGTCAATACTTCGTTGTTATAGATATTCTTGAACGTCGATTTCCCAGTCGCCAGGGCTGATTGCACGGTTGACAAGACCTCATCGCCGGATACCCACGCTACCTAAACAGCCAACGCGTGAGGCGAGCATGGAAGAAAGAGAAGTAAAGGGGTATATTGACCTTCAAATCCAGCCCCTTCGCACGAACCATCTGCGCAACCACCTTGTATAGCCCCTCTGTGTCTGTGTTTCCCGCATTGACCGCAAGCTTGATCCGGTACTTGGCCAAGTCCTCCAGCGCCGGCTGCAAGGCCAGGAGGAAAGAAGGCTCATATCCGGGCAGAAGATCTGCGGCATCCGAGTTCGACTTTCCCCGTGCTATCTCCGAGTCCACGCGACGCCCAGCAGCGACTACCATATTAGCTTCGCTCATGAAATCGGCAATTATGACGTCCACGGGATCCTGGGGATAATTGCGAGCGAACTCAGCAATGGCATGGCGACGGTCAGATGCGGAGCCGGAGGCACCTAGGATGAGTCAATTGGAGCTTGTCTGTGTTGGTTTCTAGACGTACCGGCGATACGAATCGGCCTGGAGCCCATGGTGAGGTTCTGCGGGGTGTTACTCGAGGTGAAGCATAGAAAGTCGGGTTTGTGCGATAAGAATGTCTTTAGGTGGCTAATAAAGGGACTGTACGAGTGTCCCATGCCATGCTCGATGGAACTGCGCGCTGGTAAAAGTAATTCGTCGGGTCATTAGGCGATGGAGGAGGGATGAAGCGCCGAGGTTGTCGGTCTTGTCGGTCTGGGGTTTGCGGGGTCACTGTATACTCAGGAAGCCGGATTGGAGGACTGGAAATCGCCGTTCAGGAGCTCAACTAGGATAAGGCAGCAGCAGCGTGAATTATTCATATAATCTTTTCGTGATATTGTCAACGTCCTTAATGCCTTGTTAAAAAAAATGCTGTCGCTGCTCTAGTCGAATAGACAAGCATTTCCTGGGGGGAATCTGGGGGATCAGCTGGTCTTTCACAGATCAGATTATAGTATTGGCATGCGAAAGTTCTCAATCAGCACAATCATATCGAGCATAACACAATCAGCATAAACATCGTTACGATACTCATTATATACTAATATATCCCACCCACTGAAGAATCGCCATTGTCACAAACAGCAGAAGCAGCGAACTCTTCACAAACTCAATCTCGCCCCGGTGATAGCGAGCCCAGTTACCCAGACTGGCTAGGAGAGGGCTTTGTCCCTTATCCTGCAAAGCCGTCCGAAGACCCGGAAGTCCATCTAGACTGCGACTGTTCCATTGCGACTGGTATTCCCGGATGGTACCGGCCTCGACCTGCTTGCCTGCCCAGTTGCCCAGGGTTTCCCGGTCCTTGAAGTACGGCTTCGGCTCGTTTGTCTCGGCGTCGAATGTCAAGGAGAGTTGCGGAACGCCGTAGCCACATGAGGTTTGGATCTGGGTTTGGGTTAGTGTTACATGGCGTGAAGGTTAAATAGCATGGGGAAATGGTACCTTGAAGACATCCAAACGGATAATGGCTCGCGCACCAACGAGACCCTTTCCACCCATGCGCTCGAGATAGGCCTGGAATCCAGACTCGCTCCATTCGATAACGGATCCCGTGCAGAAGAGTCGCAGGATGCGGGGCGATGCGTCGAACGAGCAGAAGAGAATAGTGATGCGCCCGTTTTCGCGTAGATGGCAAATTGTCTCGCCACCTGAGCCTGTAGAGTCGACATATGCTGCCTCGTTGGGGCCTAGAATCGCGAATGAGGCATCTGGGAGACCCTTTGGCGATACATTTATGTGGCGGCCGCGGAGGGGGGCTGAGGCTGTGAAGAAGACTTTCTGGCTCAGAGCCCAGTCGCGAATCTCTGGGGATATTGATGGGTAGAATTTCCCCATATTGAAATACTTGTGTTGGGGAGTGTTTGGCAAAAGATGCGAGGGGTGGCGAGAAGATGAATGAACTAAGCTCGTATCACGGGCTCGAGGGCGGAGAAGGTCTCCAACTCCGGTGACTCAAGTCTATGCACTTATGACTATGCGAAGTAAGGACGCTCCCATTCTAACATTAACTCCTTATTAATCCCGAACCCAGGGCTTGCGGCTCGCGTCAATAAAGTAAAATATCTACATCATATCTAGGATACTTAACCTGAGTAGCGTAGCTACCAGCAACACACGTACAACCTAACGCATCGTCCATAGATGGTAATAAATTATAAAAATCTACAAAAACATACAACAGCAGGGATTTGCATGTGGTCACCCACCATACTACTAACCTACCAGCGTGCGGCTTAAAACGCGGATAGAAGTAGGGTGGCTGCCGCCCCGGCAGAGCTAGCCAGCGCGACCGCTTTCTCGTCGCGCGATCAGGGTGAGGAGGGTGAGTGCGTGACAGACAGGGTGAGCCGCTCACCCCCTCACCCATGTGGGAACCTCAAGATCCGCTGGCTGATAAATTTTGATCAGCGATTGGCTCCTGGGTCAAGCACTCAAAACACCAGCGCCCTTGGTAGTCAGGCAGAGCCATAATACCCGCACAAGAATATTGCTACCTCAAACGCCTCTATGATCATTAAAAGATCAAAAGGATCTCTTTCACTAAAGAGGAGAAAAGAGATTTGCTCAGTCTATTCCTCCAAGGGGAAATCACGTCTAATGAGTGGCGATGTCTAAACTACATGGCCATAGATATATTGACCTATTGGCTGGGTAGCCAGAATTACTCTCGCGCTTAGATGAATCAAGGCATTTATCTAAGATGCAAGCTAGCATACAGACTGATAACGAATCTTGCCTGCTTCGATAGAGGTCGAAAACAGGAAGGTGTAGAATATCCAAAGATTAAAGCATTTCATGAGCTAGGCATAGGGAAATCAGACTACGTTAACACTTCTTTCTCCCTTTCCAGTTACCCTACTTAAAGGCTGTGCAACCCTCATCCACTTCAGACATTCCAGCGACATACGGTAGCAGTAATCTACCCTTTATAGCCTTCATGGAAAGATTGGTTGCTTTCGTTCGCATGGCCGGAACCAGAAGACTTCAGCTATGCGACCACAATGGGGTTCCGTTTCGGATGGCCTACGTCAATTGAGTCGGGCAAGAGCAGCTGGTTTCGAATATCACAGTCAAGGTTATAAAATAAAATGGTTAGCTTATCCTCTCACCTCAAGCGCAAGTTTTCTTGACATTCAACCAACATCCCTCGCCTTAGCCGATTTCGGTTGTTCTAAACTGTTTCTCGTCCTTCATTATGGAAACTCCGCCTGACAATGATCGGGTCGCGCTTGATCTGGATTGTATTGGAGACGAGCTTGGCCTGCAGACATCCAGGACATCTAAAAGACTCAATCAGATTGATCGTATCCGGGCCAAGGGAGTTGGCGACCATATTCCATTACCGCAGCTAGCTGTCTGCGGTGACTAGTCCGCTGGGAGGAGCTTGGCTCTAGAGGGCATTACAGGAATTCCATTCGCTTGTCAGGCTAGACTCTGTACAAGGTTCGCGACTGAAATCAGCCTCCAACACCAGCCCGGGGAGCAGCATGCCACCGCCATGATTATTCCACATGTATATGCTCAGAGGGGGAGAGAGAACAACTTGGTGCGTTTTAACACCAGATACATGATTTTATAGAACTCCTAAATATTATTAAAGAGGCTTCAGCATTAATAGGACTCCGTGGGCATACCACGGACTTAGATACACCAGCTTTCTCTGCTAACATTCTTCGCTTGGAGTTGATCGGGAACACAGGTCTCTATTTAATGATTATGGACCTTCCTGTACTCATCTCTGTATCAGAGAATAAGGAGGGCGTCAAACTTGTATAGGACCTGGTGGATTCATACCTCGAAAATTTATAAATAATTATTTTGTCTGTGGTACCTGTAAGCAGCAATGTTAATACCTAAGGAATTCTCTAATAAGCTTATTACTTTAATCAAGGCGGATGCGGCACTGTTGGTATAATCACGAAGCTTGACTTAATTAATACTGGTACAGAGTCTCGTGTTGCGCGGCTGGCGAAAAACGGAAATAATATAAAATTAAATCTAGGATTCTTTCTCTTGAAGAATCCAACTCCTGCCTAGCTAGAGAAAGGCATAACGCTAGCGGAGCGTTAGAAAGCAGAGCTTGACTTTTTCTCTACTAGTCTTGGAAGAACCAAGGAATTGAGTCCGCCTGATGATCATTAATTTCTGATGTTAGACTAGATACTCCGGGCACCACGATGTGCTGCAAGACTGGCCCTTGTTAAACTCCCCGAGATTTTGCTCTAATGGTATAGACTCTGCCCCAGTGGACTTATTATATGTGCGCATCAAAGCCAACGGCTATGCTGGGCATGACGGGACTTCGTATTTAAGAACACTCGCTCTTGTATGTGATTAAGTTTTAGTTACTGTCTGTTATACTCAGAATCAAAGCTATCCTACCTTTCAGAACCCAGTTTACCTTTTTAGTCCGTTAAGAAGCCGTCTTCTCTTTCGATATCAGAATATCCTTAAGCCCCTCCAGGCCTTAAGCAGGAACGGTTGGACTTATCTGACAAGCCAATACCATTAGAGTAAAATCTCGCGGAGTTTAACAAGGGCCGGTCTTGCAGCGCATCATGGTGCCCGGAGTATCTAGTCTACATACCTATGGCAGGGTGCTAGAATACACGACGCCACCGGGATCTAACATATATACCTGTACAAGCTATTCGATCTGCTAATTGGCCTGCAGGTAACCCCCGCCTCAAAGTTCCAGAAACACCACACACATAGCGCAGATACGCTACTTGGTACCAAGAACCGAGACTGGGGCAGTTATGTGCTTGCTTCAGATGTTGTGCGACATTCCGGTTCATCTCACAGACTCACTACATCCATCAACGTTCCATTCTCCAAGTTTTGCATCCGCGGCGCCGATCCTAGGGGGTCATGGATATGGCCCCGGGTTTGACGTGCCGTGGATCCACTCAGTGCTCGCAAAGTGTGAACCCATCAGTCGTCCTTCCCATCCCTGTAGTTGACGGCTGACCAAGCGAACCAAGTCCGTCAAACTATGGGCATTCTGGAGCCCCTACCAAGATAACAGCGCATCTCACGCGGCCGGATCATGGATACGACCACTAGACTATTATGCTTAGGGCCGAATGAGCCGACACTCCACTTTATGATGTTACCGTTTTCCCTGGGCTGTTGATCATGAGGCTAGACGGCATGGGTAGAGTAGGAAGACACAATTGACCCTGGCTTTGTTAGCTGTGTGGTTGAACCTGGGAAATCGTTTGTTGAACAAAAGCATATATTTCTGGACTAAATTACTTGGTGCCCGAGGCCTAATATCTAATATATCAAAGAGATGTTATCAACGGAGGGAGAAATACCACATCCCCTGTAAATACCATCGCTATATACATACTACAGGTACTCTACCTCCTCGCCAACGCCCTCTCCGCCGCCAGAGCCCCAACACCCTCAATCGTCGCCCCACCAAGCATATCGAAGATGGCCATATCCGCCTTCAGCTCTTTCGCAAACCAGTTGCGCATCTCTACTGCAACGAGCGAGTCGACCCCGTATGCATGCATCGGTTTCTTCACATCGAATTCTTCCTTAGCTACACCGAGCACCTTGGCTAACTTCGAGACGAGTAGTTGTGTGACGATTGGCGCAGCTTCCTCAGATGTGGAGACAGAGGCCAGTTCAGCGCCTAGGTTGCCCCCGCTGTTGGTGGTTCCTGATGAGGAGGACGTGGCGGAGCCACTCGAGGTGTTCGCGAGCGCAAAGTAGCGGAATGCTGGGCGGGCCAGCCAGGTCTCTGTCTCTGGGTCCCAGGGTCTGCCGTGAGCAGAGGGCTGCAGGCCCATTATTGTCTGCGCTGCCGATGAGCCTTCCGACGAGGCTGTGCCAGGGTGACAATGATACGCCAACAGCGCATGAAGCTGGCTTTCCGAGATCGGACTAAACGGCAAATTCGCCAGATATCTCTCCCGCTGCGCAGCAGCCTGCGTCGCGACACCAGCGTCGAGGAATAGACCTAGGTTTAGCGACGTCGCGCGCTGGCCTTGCGCGTGGCGGTGGACAGCGAGGCCATCCATGAACGAGTTTGCAGCCGCGTAGTTAGCCTGTCCGCGGTTGCCGATTATGCTGGAGATAGAGGACATCATGATGAAGAAGTCGAGGTTTGAGGGGAGGAGGGTGTGCAGGTTCCAGGTTCCGGTGATCTTGGGGGCTGTTGCTGAAGTCCATTGCTTGTGGGTCATTGTTTCGAAGATTGTGTCCTGCGCAGACGTTAGTACTCGCGGCTCGGGAATTAGAGCATGGAAAGGGTCGTACCTGCAGAACCATGGTAGCCTGTATACACCCCTTGACCGGAGGCATGCAATGTGATGCGGCTCCGAGGACAGCCTCGAGCATGGAGTAATCGGTGATATCACACGGGGTTGCCATCGCTGTAACACCGCTGCTCGCCAGTTCTTGCAAGAAGGATTTTGCGTCCTCATCCTTTGCACCGCTGCGCGACAGCAAGACAAAGTATCGCGCACCGGACGAGACCATCCACCGTACAATGCCCCTGCCGAGACCCCCAAGCCCACCGGCTACGACGTATGTAGCGTTGGCGTCAAACGACTTTTGCTGCACAGCTGACACAGCTGGAATTGCCTGAATTATGTGAGCTAAAGAAGACTCCTTTCAACCTCTCGTACCTGGGGGAGGGAAGGTACATACCCGCACAATATCCGCATCACGCATTTCTAACACTACTTTACCGGAGCTCTGCCCACCCTGCAGAGCGCGAAATGCTGTTTCCATCTCACCAATACCGTACACGTGGTGAGGGCTGGAGATTCGCAGCGCTCCGCTCGCAATCAAAGGCATGACTGCCCTCAGCGCACGCCCAACAAGTGCTGGCCGCTCCTTGACCATCATCGCGACGTCGATCGCGCTGAAAGTGACGTTCTTCTCAAAGTGATACATATCGAGTGGTCGATGATTAAGGATATCGCGCTTGCCGATCTCAATGAACCGCCCGTACGGAGCGATGATTTCCCAGGAGGCTGTCAGGGCGTCGCCGGAGAGCGAGTTGAGAACAACATCCGCCCCTTGCCCGCCGGTGAGGTGCTTGATCCCACGGACGAATTCGAGCGTCCGACTGGAGAATATGTGCGTCTCGGGGATCCCGTATCTCTCCATGAGGAACTGCTTCTTCTTGACGTTGCCAACCGTGGCAAACACCTCAGCTCCGAAGTACTGCGCGACCTGCACGGCAGCTTGGCCCGTGCCACCAGCAGCAGAGTGAATCAAAACACGCTCCCCACGCTGCACATTCGACAACGCAACAAGCGCATGCCACGCCGTGATGAAATTGATGGGAATCGCCGCGGCCTCGGTGAAGGATATCCCCTCCGGAATCCGCACGGCCGTATCCCTCTGCAACCGCGCATAGCTGCGATACGTATCAAACTCGCAGCCCAAGACGCGGTCTCCGATTTTAAAATCGCCGCAGTCTTCCCCGACACGTGTGACAATTCCCGCACACTCAAAGCCGACGGTCGTCTGGTCCATCCGCCCCAGCATGATGAGGATGTCGCGGAAGTTGACGCTGACGGCTTTGACTTTCACTTCGAACATGTGCGCTGGCAGTGGGGACTGGCGGTCTGTGTCTTCGATAAAGTGGATGCTGTCGAGGAGACCGGGGGTCTTGATGGAGAGCTTACGGGCGGACTCGGCGTTCCAGGATTGCAGGGTTAGGGCTTGGGATGGCTGCTTCTCCGATAGAGAGTGCGAAGTTTCAGTTGCGTTGATCAAGCGAGGGATGTGCAAAAGGCCCGAGCGCTCGACGTATTCAGTTTCGGGACACGGAGAGTTCGCCATGGATCGAATGACTCGGGATATGGCATCCGCATTATCTGGGGCTTCCTCAATGGATAGCGTAGCAAAAGTCTTTGCAGTAAGCTCCGAGTTGAGCACCCGGAAGAGACCGTCAATGGCGCGGAAAGATGGAGATGATGAGTCTCCAGACCCAGAATTCACCCAAAGGACCTTCTCGGCAGATGAGGAGAAAAGTTGCTGGAGGTGTTGGAACTTTTGGTCTGTGATATTCGCCAGGACTGGCTGTCCAATCTCGCTTAGTACGCACATTATACTTTCAGCAGCAATATCCACTGTAAGCGCCTCTTCCAGGGAATAATGATCGACATTCGCAGGCCCCAGCAGTTCAGCCAGCTTTGCGGCAATCTCGCCCTGTCCGGGGATCTCAGGGTCCGATACGATCGTAATCGGACAGATAGGCTGTGGGATATCCCGTGGCTCTGCTGCCGACACGATGATGCTCATCTCGTCGGAGGCGTTGTCGGTGTGGTTCGGGAAAACCAGATTGGCCCCCGAAAAGCCAGTATCGCGCAGCGTTCGATCCCAGGCCTCTACACTGCAAGGGTCTGACCCTACCTTGGTGGGTTCGCCCGTTCGTGTATCGAATCCGGCGTCTTTCTCCTCCACGACTGACTCGCGCAGGCCGTGGATGAAGGTGTGTCGACGAGGTTGGGCAGTGACGGTCTCGATGACCACGAGCTTTCCATCTCTGTTTAACATTAGCACAACGATTCCTCTTGTCTGGCAAAGGAGCGTACGCTTTAAGCATAGAGTGACAGTTCCGTAGAGCGCTCTCCCGCGCTGGCCCACGCATCGCCTGGTCAATGTTAGTACGGACCGGAAACCCAAGATCGGTGAGGCGCAAACTAACCGTCGAATACAAAACGATAAGATCATATTCGTCAGGTGAGGCACTCTGGTGAATAATATCCATGTCTTTCAAGGATACGCGACTACCGAACTCACCCAGACTCTCGCGAAGACTATCGAGGTCACTGTCCGATCCAGATATATCCAGTTGAGCGAACCGGGGGACTTCAGCTTCTTCCGCTGATCCAAGCTTCAGAGTAGAGACGATCGAGTTTGCAGTAGAGCCTGTCACGCCATCAACCTCGAGAATCTTCATCCCAGGATGCTTGTGCGCCAGGGCGTCCAGGTATGCGGCCCAGCACTGCGCACCGGGGGCTTGTTCCCACTACTCACGTTAGCCAACCAATGCCCTGACACAAAATTAACCGGACAAAATTGGGGAGAAACATACAACTTCGACACGGGCAGCTTCGAACAGTTCAGTTGAAAGTATATCACTCGCGTCGAGCTGCCCCCCCGCGCGTACTTGAGCAACGCTTGCCCAGTTTCGACAATTAAGCGGCCGTCTGCACTAGCGCCAGCAACGAGCGCACACATCTGCTCGAAGCGCTCTTCGTCCACAATCCGCTGCGTAATATCGTTGGATCGCGACGTGAACGAGGAGATGCCGAGAGCTTTGCTTTCTTGGCAAATCCAGTCGATATATGTGTCCATCACGGTGGGAATGTTGTCCTTGGTGGTACGGCCAGTCGCAGATAATACGCTGGCAACGCGTGAGATGAACCCGTCGACGACGGTGTCAATGTTGAAGCGGAGCATCGCAGATTTCTCTGCATTGTCCCCTACGGCCGCATCGCTGCAGTACTTCTGGATCTGCTCAGCTGTCATGAGGTCTAGGTCTGGTTTCCACTCGATATGTTGACACTTCAAGGGAGGGGCGCTGCCATCTTCGTCTCCCTGCGGTGCCTGCGAGTCAATATTCGCAAACACAACGCGCTCCAGTCGAATGAGCCTTTCTCCGCCTTTAGATGTAAACGCCGCGATATTCGAGACGCACTCCTGGCGGCCGAGACTCTCAATCTTCGTTCCCACTCTGATCGCCGTACAGTCTTGTGAGGTAAGCCCCGAGCTCGAGATCCAAGCGCGGGACACATGGCGTGGGACGGAGATTGGAACCTTCCGCTGTCCGCCTCGGGATCGAAGTGTGGGAATCGTCTGCATCAGTCCATCCAGCGTAGTAGGGTGCACGGTGTAAGTTTCCGTCCAATGCGGGTTCTCGGCTGGATAGGGTGCAATATCCGAAAGCAATTGGCTCTCGTCGTCGCAGGCAATACTAGAGATTCGCACGAATGCAGGGCCGAATTGGTATCCGAATGATCCGAGCATTTCGTAGAACCGGTCTGCGTCGAGCGCCGTCGTGCACGACCTCGTCAGATCAGGGATCAATGTCGCCTGGTCGTCAGCCAGAGCCGGGGACACAGCCTCAGTGGGTTTTGGTGTGGTAACAGCCTGGATCGAGCCATCGCAGTTTGTTACCCAGGACCCATCGTAGCTGCACAGTCTGAAATCGAACCAGTTCCGGTCGGAGCCTGCGGCTGGTGGATGTAGATAGAAGCGCGTCTCGACGCCTGGTCCACCGGGAATGACTTTGAGGGCTGCGCGGAAGTTGACGTTTTTAAGCTCAAACCCGGTGATGCTTGACGCGGGCTCAGTGACTTGCTTGATTGCTTCAATGGCCATGGTTATCATCGCGGCACCAGGAAGAATGGTGACATTATCAATCTAGGGATATTTGTTTAGAAATCGACACGGTGACAACTTGATGGAGTGAACCTACTGCGTGGTCTCGGACCCAGACTGGATCAGAAGACTGGAGGATATTACTCCACTTGGGCTGCAGAGGGTTCCAATCGTCTTCCGGCCAGCCCAGGAGTTCGTGCCGTCCATACTTGCGGAACCTGAACCCCTTGCTCGTTCGCCCCTCATGCCAATACGATTTGGCGTGGTTGAAGCTGTACGCCGTTAGATCAGTGAGTACTTTCTCTGCCCCAGTAGCGAGATTCACGGCGCCCAGTTCAATCTTCGCTCCAAGACAATGCAGCCGCCCAATGGCCTGGAGGAGGGTGCGCGATCCATTCGTGTTCCGCACGAGGGCAGAGAGATACTCTACTCGTGCGGATGCATTTGCGGCGAGAAGGGTATCCCGACATGGTCCCCGGAGCGCAGCATGTGGGCCAATTTCAACAAGCACGTCCACGACAGCAGACTCGCGATGAGACCCGTCCAGCTTCTTGATCAGCGCCGGGGCAGCACGGGACTGGAACTTGCGCACCGCATCGACAAACCGAACAGGTGAGACGAGATTAGTCACCCAGTACTTCGCCTGGGAGAGTTCCTCCTTTAAAACCCACCGCGTATGCACAGAGGAAACCATCCTGCAGCGTGTTGTGCGCTTCACAGAAAGTGGTTCGTCATCTCCAACAGCAGCAGCGTAGCCCGCCGCAACCTCCTGCATTTGAAACGAGTGATACCCGACAGGTACAGGCAGAAGCCGCGCAAGGACATTTTCCTCCTTCAATCGTACCTGCAACTTCTCGAGTTGGGCGCGGTCACCGGACAGGGTAATACTCTTTGGGCTGTTGAAGCAGCCCACTACAACGCCGACGGCGACTTCTTCGCCTTCGCGCAGCCCAGCAAGGTATGGCTGGATCTCCTTTGCGGATAAGGATACGGCCATCATCGCGCCCGTCATTGTAGATGTTGTCGCGAGCTTGCCAGCGAATACCCCCCTGAAGTAGGCAAGCTTCAATGCGTAGTGGCGCGAAATTGCCCCGTAGCAGTACCTTTAACTGGTTGTCAGCGTGTTTTGCAATCTTCTGAAGTAAGAGAAACAAGGGTTTAATCTCACGCGGCGGCAATTTCACCAGATGAGTGGCCTACAACGGCACTTGGAGAGACTCCAAATGTGTCCAGCAGATCAACTAGTGCTATCTGGATCGCGGTGCAGAGTGGCTGTGCGAACCCCGGCTCGTCAATTGGGTATATCCCCTTGTCGGCTTGAAGGACATCTAAAGTGTGGTTCCATTAGTTCAACCTAGGTAATTGGCCGGAAGCGAAACCAGACCTAGCAGATCCCATTCAACACCCTGAGAGCGAAGGTACACGCTTGCCTCCTTAATTGACTGACGATATACGGAGTACCGCGCTAGGAGTTCCCTGCCCATGGTCGGCCATTGGGCGCCTTGCTTTTACAGAGTCAGTCTGAGACTCGTAGATGTAGATGAGGGCACGGATCGTATACGAACCCCGGTAAAGACAAACCCAACCGAAACATCAGCACTTGACTGCACGGGTGGGGTCCACGAGTCAACCACCTCTTTGCCTGGGGAATTATGCTCAGCGACGGCAAAAGTACGCCAAGGGTGATGTGTGCGTCGCTCGTTCAGCGTATGCGCCAGACTGGCCAGATGGGACCGCGGATCTCTGGCGGATTGACAGGACGTGTCGAGGTATGTTTCCCAGTCCCCAGCGAGTCGGCTCAGACCATCCTTGTCTGCGGCAGACCAGGTAAGGAGGTGCAGAGAGGATTCTTCGGGACATGTGGCGTGTCCGTTTATTACACCATTCGCTGTGCCATTTCTTGTCCCGTTCGTATGACCAATCTCTCCGTTGCCATTAACATGTCCGTACGAGTGGTCATTAGCCGCCGCTCCAGTTGAATGCCCGTCAATATTCCCATTCGTAACTTCAGTGTCGTAATTGTCGTCTGGCATCGAGCGACGAATGACCGAAGTGTCAACGACTGTACAATGATTTCCGTCAAGACCGCGCGCTTTCATGTAGTGGTACGCATCATCGAGAACGACATGGCTATTTACACCGCCAAAGCCGAACGAGCTGACAGAAGCTCGGCGTAGCCCCGGCGGCCAGGCTATAGCTTCTGAGACGACCTAATATATGTATCAGGTGGTGATACCTCAATAGTAACACAGAGTGGATCTAACCTGTATGTTTAGATGCTCAGCATCAATTCGCGGGTTCAGCCGCTTGTAGTAGTCGCTGACAGGCGGGATGAGCCCCTTCTCCAGGGAGAGGATTACTTTGATGACACCGGCAATTCCACTGCCACCTTCAAGATGGCCTATGTTGGATTTCACGGAGCCTCTGTATAGCATAGGCGTCAGCTTTCCTCCACCCGTGGTTGTACGGTGG